TAGTAAATAATAATTACTAATACCGTGGCTGCAGCCAAGTGATGATTACAGTCTGCTCCACGACTTGCCCCACCACGGGCGGTAATTCAGCGTAGAGTCAAAGCAGATTGCGTACCGTAGACAGAGACCCACCACCCCCTTCCCCCTCACTCCCCCTCTTCACCACCCACCGTAAACCTCCATCGAAGCTGCCAGCGAGGCAATTGACCAACATTTTCAATTAATTTTTGCTCCAATAAGCAGGCGGGCTACGTTGCCAGTGGAGAAACGGGCGCGACAGTCAACCCGCCCACCCCTTGACCTACCCTCCTTGCAACACCGCCCCTCCCCCTCAACCCCCTTTTGGGCACAAACATATTTACATACCCCTCGGATGGAACTTTGCGTTGGCCTTAACGCACAGTTGAGTTATTCGAAGCGCAGCTGTTGGCCAAAGTCAACCCATGCCACAAAGTGTTGCAGTAACGCTGTATGTTTTCTTTGCAGCTCCACAAAGTGTAACTTGTAATTAACTATCAACATGGAAATTGTGTTTTAAGTTAAGAAGGTGATTGTTTGATCTATACATCCTTGTGTATCTTAACGTATAGAAAAAACAAACTCAGAGATGAGTTGGGGATGTATTTGTAGAGCTTAAGCAAATCTTCAGTACTGCATTATTTATAGTATTTTTATTCTGTCAATATTAAAAGCTGTAATCCATCCCTTTTGTTAAAATTCAGAGATGGCTAAATTGTATAGTTTCTAAAAAGTATTTTAGCGTAAAACTTTAAAAGCCCAAACACAGAATATCATGTTTCCCATTACACCATTATTTTGGCTTTGCTTTTCTGTTTGCCCAACTATCAACATGGCTGTAAATATTCTGGTAACATGTACTTAAAACCATGTTCCCGTACGCACCTGCATTTTACTATGCAGGCGAGGTGCAAGTGATCCGTGTGCATTAACTAAAATGCTTTGCGGTCTGGGCACTTTGCTCTCTAAAAGGCAAAACGAAAATAAAATAAAATGCTTGGATAAAAGAGAGGGGGTTCACTGTAGCCAGCGCTGCAGAGGAGTAAAATGAGGTAAAAGGAGCTGGGTAAAAAATGCTTTTTCAAACATTTAACGATTTTTTAGGTCAGCCAAGAGCGCACGAATATTTTATCATAAAAATACGAATGTAGAGGCAAATATAAAATTGTGTGTTTGAGCAGGTGCACATAACTTTTTCTTTGGCTTTCGTCCACGAGAAGCGAGACACACTCACAAATAAGCAGTACAGTTTATGAGAATTTCCCTTTGGAAGTTGGCGGGGTTTTCTCAAATGCGAAACTTATTAACGTACTTCAGGATGTGCATTAGAAGTGTGCGAGTGCTGCTGCTGCTGTTGCTGCTGCTGCTGCTGTTGCTGCTGCTGCTGCTGTTGCTGCCTCTAATTGCGGCGTCCACAAATGTTGGCCTTGCCACGGCTTGACAATAAGTAGACTGAAAACATGGCTTGCAAAAATTGTGAAGGAGCAGCACAAATCGCAGAATGCGTTGCGAAGGCGCGGGGATTTCAACGGGTTTTGTGATTATTGAAAACAGAGCCCTCGTCACTCACATGCACTCGTCCTCTACCTCTACCTCTCTCTTTCTACGGATCTCTCTGTCTCTCTCCCACTCTCCCACTATGCTGCTGCTCTGCTGTAAATAATTTCAAAGTCTGCGTACCGCCGAGAAAAATAGGTCAACAGTGTTTTTGTTGTTGTTGCTGTTGCTGTTGTTGCAGTTGTTGCTGCTGCCGTTAAACTGGGCGTGACGGTAAAAGTGGCAAGCTGAAGTTGTTGCATGCACCACGCCCCTGTATCCCTTTTCTGTTTCTGGTTTGGCTTCTGGTTTTCTGGCTGCGTTCCCCAGCTGAAATTCCCGCCCTGAAGCTTTCGACCATAAAGTAGCTGGTCCTAAAAATTCAGCCAAGTTTCGCATATTTCTGCAACTCCCCCACCTTCCAACTCCCCTTACGCCCCCCACCATAATTGGGCTGGCTGTGGGCGTGGCACGGGGGCATACATTCGCACACACATAAATTGCATAGGATCAACTAGTGGTTAATATTTGATGGCTGCTGTTTGCGTTTTCCCTTGCAGCTGCAACAGCGAACTGCATCCGAGCTAAACTGCAGCGACCTACTTTCCGACAATGCATTTTTGCAGAAATTGCAGAGCAAAAGGGTGGATGGTTGCATTGGTTGGGGGATTCAATGGAAGAGGGACGGGGAAAGGGGAGGAGTGGGAGGGGGTGGTGTATGGGGGATTTGGGGTGGTGGGTGGTAAGTGTTATTCGAGGGCTGCATCAACAAGTACACACTGAATAATTTGCAGGACTCCCGCTAGGATGCAAGGGGGAAATGAGTAAGAGCTCTGGTTGTTGATTCTACTTCATATCTCAGCCAACTGAAGTGATGCTGCCCATAAAGAAAGCTACAACAATAAATGCATTCCCAAGAATATTAAGTTGGCAGAGCAGATAGAGAAGTTCCATTAGTCTACGCAAACAAATTCATATTCCATTACCATTCAAACAGAGTAAAAACAAAAGTAAAACTGTTTAAGGATTACAATAAGGAATAAATCAACAGAAGAAATCTATAATAATCTTTTAATCCTTGCTCTAAATCAAAAATTCATTGCAGACTAACTGGTTTTCCTTTTCTAAAATTTGTCCTAAACTACTGAATGAGATAAAATTAAATATGTTTTATTTATTTAAATAGAAGAAATCTATAATAATCTTTTAATCCTTGCTCTAAATCAAAATTCATTGCAGACTAACTGGTTTTCCTTTTCTAAAATTTGTCCTTAACCTTCTGGATGAAATAAAATTAAATATGTCTTATTTATTTAAACGAATGAAACTAGATTTTCCAACTGTATTACACTTTGATTAAGGCCCTTAATTGCTTTCAAGGTTTTAGCTGCAACTGTGACAACTTTTGCCCCAAGCCGAGCCCTTTGAGCCCTATTCCAGTTTCCACAATCTCTTTTTGTTAGCAAACGAACCGTGAAAATGCTCAACTTAAAATCTAGAAAAAATGTCCGCCATCAGCGCGGCATCTTTGTGGTAACTATTTATATAATTCGTTTATGAATTTAAAAAGTTTGTTTTCCGTTTGGTAGTTTCCCAAGGTTTTTCGCCCGGCCGTTGCCAAGCGCTTTTTATTTGCGAAGCTAAAACAATTTTTGCCAGCAACAAATAATAAATAAATAACTAAGCAGCGAAAGAGCAAACTGTGCGAAAAATAAAGCCAAAAAAAATGTGTAAAAATGAAGAGCTGGCGGAAGATATGGAAGCAAAAGGAAAGGCGATGGCAAAAGGAAAAGCAAAAGGAAAGGCAAAGGAAAAGCGAGTCCAGTCGAGTCAAGTTGAGTTGAGCCAGGCCATGTCCTTGGGCGACTTCCCACGCAAAAATATTCACCAGCAAAGGTTACCCCAACACACACACCCTCACACACACACAATACAACACACACACATTTGCAGGAACGAAAGCAATCAAAGAGAATGGCTGAAACAAACACACAGATACAGATACAGGATACAAATACCAGCGCAGCTACAGGACACACGCACTCAACGCACCGACAAAGAGAGAAGAAAACAACATAAAAATTAAAGAAGCTTTAAGTATTCCCGTTGTTTTTCTGTTGCAGAGCCACGGAGGCGCAGATGTATGGGTTTGGGCCCGCTTCCTCTTGCAACATTTCGTCCTTTTTCTTAGAATTTGCACGCTGTCAACGTTTACTCGCTCTCACGCACTCAGGACTCAGGACTCGGGACACTCTCTTCGCTGGCACTTTCTCTGCGGTGGATTTGGCTCGGCTCGGCTCTTTCCCGGCTCTGCTCTCCCTGTTTACCTTAAAGCTCTGCTCTATGCCTTTGTGCGAAACACATATAAATGTGCAGCGATTATGGCCAAAAAAGATCCTTGTGCCACCGCCGCCAGATACACTTTGCACGGGGCAAGGATACAAATACGGATACACAAAAGCGTTCGACATCTGATGCATATGGCTGGGTTCGAACAATAAATAAGGATTAAATGCTTCCTTTTTTAACCTGGCTAAGAATTCTTTTATTTAATTGTTAAGGTAAAGCAACTAAATACTTGATTTCTTCTTTGCACTACTTAATAATTTATTTAACCATTTAGTGAGCTAAGCCATAATATCTCAAATCTGTCTGTTCATTTGCCTGAGTATTTTTAGCCACTTACAACTCAGCGTGTTTGCCGTTGTGCTGAATACTCTTGCCTCGAATGTTTATGAATATTTTATTCACATAAGCCAGTAATCATCATATGAGTCCGTATTACAGCTGAGGGACTCACAATCCGTAAGCGAGACATAATGGAGTAAAATGTGTAATAAACTGTTTAAATTTATCTGCCAGAGGTTAAGCATCAAACTATCAAAGGCTTAACAAATTTCCCCTGTGCTCCGAAGAATGATAACCTTTGGAAACATATTTGCTTATCTTTTCTTTGTTCGGAAAATCTTTGTCGGACTATTGGGCTTAAGAATGTACTTATAATTATCCCTTCGGCAAATGGTTATCTACGTGTGTGAATGAACCTTAGTCCTGAGCTGATAGCAGAAATCACAACAGGGAGAGGAGAAAGCATTTAATGATTAATGGAAAATGTTCGTATTTATCGGTGAGAGTGAAAGGTTTTCCTCTGCTGATTAAAGACATTCTTGGCTGTTAATGAGCGTAAAAGAGAAAAATACTTGGTTCGATTAAATACACATGATATCGTACATTAAACTTGAGTTCCGGGAAAGGGCAAAAGAGAAATGATTTTAAAAGCGAGTCGAATGCAATTTTCTCAAAGTTTAGATAATAATTAAAACGTAACCTACAGACTGTTGCATAAATGGAAACGCATACTGACTTTTGCACACGGAACCCAAGAGTACTTTAGTATACTGGTTAAGTTTAAGATAAATGCTTCACATAAAATATTTTAGTGCAAATTTGTATTAACTCGATATGCTTTATTCTCAAATGAAAAATGGTTTTACACTAACAATCAATGGTGATCTAACACAGCCCAAAGCCGAGGGATATAAGACTCCTTCATGGCACCCACTCGTCCACGTCGACGGTCTTCTGCGAGTACTGGCACTCCATCTCCTTGTTGGCCGACGTCGCTCTCTCCTGGCGATACCGCCTGCCGCCGAGGAGGCCCACAATCAGCAGGACGAAGAGCACGCCACTGGCAACACCGATGATGGGAATGGTCCAGGGATTCAGCTCGTCCTCGTCGTCGGTGGCCTCGTTCAGGCCGAGTATCTGGTCGAACAAAGTGCGGCGACAGCTGAGCGTTCCGCTTGACTCGCTGCTCTCCTCCGGGACATAGCCGTCCGAGCAGTGGCAAGTGCCCGAATCCAGGCAGGTCTGGTGGGGACCACAGCCGGATTTCTGGCAGCCTGCCTCATTGCTATTGAATTGCTTCTCGCGGCACTCGCCACGGAAGAGGACATAGTCCTCGGGACACTCGGTGGCCGTGAAGGCGGCCGTCGAGCTGGTGTCCAGGGATGTGGAGCCCTCCTCGGTGGTCTCCTGCTCCTCGGATATCGACTCCGCACTCAGTTCGACGCAGCGTTCCTCCTCCTTGTTCCACCGATAGCCGAAATTGCAGGAACAGCGATCCACATCGACGCACTTCCCATTGGCACAGCCATCGCCCACCTGGCAAACTGGAGCACAATCGGCACTCACACCATCGCCAGCTGGCTGCAATTGAGTGTAGCCATCGCGACAGGCGCAGGTGTTGGGCGAAATGCACTGGGCTCCGGCGGGACAGAGAGTCTGGCAGATGGGTTCGCAGTAGTGGCTGCCATCCTGGTGATTCCTGGCCGAAACATAACCGGAAATGCACTCGCAGCGATCGGGAGCGGCACAACTGGCGTGAGCGGGACAGCCGCGACTGCAAATGGGTTCACACAAGCCGGATTCCACTTCCAAGTAGCCAGGACAGCACTCTTTAATCATCCGATGGGTAACCAGCTCCTCCTCGGAGTCATACGACTCGGTAATCTTCTCGGCTTTTTTCCAGATTTTCCACTTTGGCTGCGGCTTCACAATGGTTCGCTGTTTGGTCACCGGCGTTCGGGTTCGAATCGTCTCGTTCCTTTCGCAGTAGTTTTCCCGCTGGGCAGACACAGCAGAAGTGCCCAGGAGCAGAATCACAGCCCAAACCAACTTCATTTCCCAGTTTACTTGTCCGTTCACAACTACAGTCGATACAGAACTGAATTTTCTCGGAAATAAACGAGCAGACGAGAGCTAAATGGTCACTCAGGCAGCAGATTGCGGGGAGGATCGGCGGAGAGAGAGCATGCAGGCCACCAGATAGGACACAACAACATCCGCAGCTAGATAAAATCTCACTCTGCACTTGAAGAAAACTAACTTAAAATCGCTCCTAGGTACACAAACGTTTTAGTAGATTTTTGAGAGATAAATTTATCTTTACCTCTATTGTATAGCCTTTCTAATTATAAATCAAATAAATCCATATAAATCCTAAAACTAGATTGAAACAATCACACCTTAATTAAAATTCGATCCAATACTTTAATAACAAATTTATTAAATTTATCAAAAAATGTTCTATACATATATGTGTTTACAATTCCAGTAAAGTTTTCCTTATTTCCCTCAGTGCTCTGATCCCGGAGGGTTGCAGCATATCTGAGCCGCTGCCAAAGGTCACCCTCGTGTTGATGCGACCGCGCTGGATTGCCTGACTTTGAACCTTCCCCTCTTTATCGCAGTGCCTCTCTCTATTTGAGTCCCTTTAGTGCTACTATCATAATGCCCGCTTCAAAAGTAGCCCGCATGAAGACAGTGATAAGGCTGAAAACAACATACCATAAAAACGCAATTGTTTTCCATTGAAAATCGGTTCCGTATGACTCACAAAGAGCGGAACTAAATGCTTTACATGGATGTATTTTTACTTCACGACTTCCTTCACAACTAATAGGAAATAATAATAATTGTAGCACCAGCGCTTTTTCTATCAGTGCGTTTGCCTTTTATGGCTGGAAAATATTTTTCGTGCTCAAACTATTTGTTCAAAGATTTCTTCCACTTCGTTTCTATCAACTGGTCCTTTTTGGTACCTGCTCTTCTAGAGTTTTACCTGCTTAACTGGATTTGAGTTGGTATTTTAAGTGAAAAGAAAAAAGAATTTGTAGGAAATTTATTAGAAAAGAATAGTTTCCATATGCTAATTTGGTTAACTTAAATCTGTGAGAAACAATAAAAAGGAACGAGGCTGTTATGTTATGGAGTCCGTAAGTAAATCTAATTCATGGGAAAATCGTTAAATGTGCCCAAATGTTTTCCTTGGAGTTTTGATCTATCTAATCAGAATGTATAACTAAATTCACAACCAGTTTGCATATGGAAGTTTTCTTTTATAATTAATTTCTCACCAAACTCGGGCGGACAATTATCTCAATTGAAATATGATCCCCAAGCATTTAAAAGGTCAGTCATTGGCAGACAGGCTTACTCCGGTTTTACAGAATACAAATAAATTTGGCAGGATGAAGCACATAAATGTTTGAGGCACTTGAATATATTCTAGCCCCCCAGAAAGCCTGACGTCATTGGGCTTGTGGCAGTCGCACATTTGTTACTTTTGTCACGCTCGTTGCGAGTCGGGATCTCTGGGACAATGTTTTGTTGAGCACATTCACAGTGAACCCGAAACCCCATATACGTATACGTATGTGTGTGTGTGTATATATCAATGCAGGAAGAGTCGGCGTATAGGGCACGTATCCTGTGCCGCAGAATGCCCCAACTTCTTCGCCCCGCGGGCTGCCTTTATGGAACATATGAACGAACGAATGAACGAACGGATGAATGACAGCTGACATAGAGACAAAAGTGTGTGTGACACAGTCACATTCTAATCTAAAATAATTGAATTGAAGTCAGATTGCAACTGATGCCTTGTTCGCCTCAGTGTGTATCTCACAGATGCTCGGGCTGTATCACAGATACAGATACGGCACGATGGGCTTCTTCTTTTCCATCCAAAGAGAGTGTATGCGTGTGTGTGTGTGTGTGTGTGTTTTCTGGTTGTGCAAAGTGTAACTGTTGGATAACAGATAAACGAAACGGCATGTGCCACTTGCCACTGACAGTCGGCCCGTATCTGTATCTTCTGCTGGCGTCGTATATATTCGTACATATCTCTTTTGAAGCCGCCGGTTTGCCCACATCACATACTATATGCACATATAGCGCCGCCGCCTAAGATAATTAATGGTTTGCTGGTTTTCGCTAACTGGATTTTGGTTTGTCATTGTCTTTGCGCTGCCACAACTCCCCAAACGATGCGAAATGGAAGCCATCCAGCTCCATTTCTCGCCGAGATTTCTCACGTCGACAAGTGCAATTAGGCCGAGGGACTAGTCAAAGTTGCGGCAGCCGCGTGAATTATTGCCAGGCTTCGGCTGCGATTCGCGACTCGCTAATTGCCAGCCATAAATTTGCATTATCTCATGTAGGTAAACCCCCTTGAAGAGCGCTCAAGGAACTTCCTTCCTTCCGTCTGCCGTTCCGTTCCGTTCTGCCCTTCCGTTGAACTGTTAAATTATCTAAGTTGCTGGCGTTCCTGGCCCCAAAAACTTTGGCCCAGCCCGTGTGACATCTGCTGCTCAAATGCACAGGCACGTAGCTTTGGCTTAAACCATCGGGTTGAGTGAGGGGGTTCGTTTGCTATGTACAGTTTAACTGGCAGCATGTTAGGCCATTTCATAGCTAAGCCTCTCTCACCACCAAGGCTCTCTTATCCCCAAGCCCCCAAAACCCCGCAAACCCTCAACCAACCGAAGCCCCACCCTCCAACCACTCAGGGCAAAAGTTTTGGTGGCACGAAAGTTTCCAGCTCCCGAATGATACGACAATAATTTTAATTATAGATTAGCAGACAAATCCTCGAATGAGCACTAAAATTTCACAAATTATGACAGCCGAGAAACGTTGGCCTACAAAACTGTTGGTTCAGGCCTGGAAATTTTAGGAACATAAATATTTGGTTTGTGCAGGAACCATTTAAATACATAGTTCCAAAAACACCATTAATTAACTGCTTTTTAAGTGAAAGCTTCCTAACATTAGATTTAATAATCATTAGTAAAAGTAATAAAATATTTATTCTAGTTTGTAAAATAATTATGTAGTTAAATATCTACCAGTTAGTTAAGTGGTTGAACCACTTAAACCTCGTTCAAGGACTCACAAATGTTTCTTCCCCTGAGCGAAGACATTTTTAGCATTCTGACCTCTTGCCTTCGCCAACTATCCATATCTAAATTTACCAACTGGCCTAGTTACGGTTAAAATTAAGTGGTTCAAGAAAAAAATGCTGCCAGAGAATTGTTAACCTTAAATCTTTTTCTCATTCGCGCAGCGAAGGTTAATAGAACAAGCACACAAATCTAGAGACGTCCAACAAAAAAAAGGTGAGCATTGTTTGTCAGCTTTTGTGCGTTGGACTTGCCAGCTGCCAGTTGGCCCCACTACGATGACAAAAAAAAAAAAAAACGAAAACAACAAGAGACACAGAAAAGGACACCAAGGAAGAAGGTTGGGGGACACACGTGAGAAACTTTACAAATGGAAAAGTGAAACTGAAAACTGAAAGCTGAAAACTGCGTCGCCGGCTGTGATTAAAAAAGTAGCGACGCCATTTGTTGGATCTGCACACTTGTATACGTATAGTTGTACTAAATGTATATGTATATAATTTGGTTCATGGGCTGGCTCCCTGGCTCCTCATCCCCATCCTCATCTCGCACTTCCTCGGCTGCGGCCATTTTCATCCGCTGCAAAGTTTAAGGTCCTTCATACATAAATAAGCAGTAGGCAAAGCGGCGTCGCCTCAAAGCACGGCGGCAAACATCAGTGGCAGTGGCAGGAGCAACAACAACTAAGCGGACATGACACCCACTAGAAGAGCGCTCTTCAAAAGCGCCCACCAACAACAACAGCAACAACAACAACAGCGACACTCATCAACAACGGCCAAACAAGGGCGATAAAAACAAGCGCAACAAGGACTCTGAAACCCGAGACCCGGAGTCCAAACATGACACATCGTCATCATACACGAGCGCCACGTAACAGTCGCGACTGCCACTGCCGAGATCCTGACAACGCCTATGTCCCAGTGTTTGCCACTGTATGTGTGTGTGTGTGTGTGGGTGAGTGGGTGTCCTTTGAGCAGTCACTGTGGCAGTGTGGCAGTCAGTCAGGGCTGCTGGCACATAATTAAGGACATCGTCGGCAAACACGAGGAGGCAGCGAGGAGGCAGCGCGAAGTGAATTACTTTCGGGGATACTCTTTCTGAATGGCACTGGTCCAAGGACAATAGGCTTGTGGTTTTCACTTTCGCAGCCAAAGTGGCAAACTTTAACGTTTGATTGTTTTCGCTTCAAAAAAAATTAAATTGAATCGGATTTATGAAGGGAACCGAAAGTTATTACCCCTACAACGACAAATAGGAATCAAATACCACTATCATAGTTTTATATAGTACTAGCAAACCCGGCGAACTTTGTTCTGCCTTTTTTTGGAAAAAATTACAAAAATAATCAAAAACCTACATTAATATTTAATTTTTATTTCTGTATTTTGGTACATAGGCGTCGATCAAGTTGTTCTTCCATGTTTCATTGCTTAATGATACATCTGCTGAAGATTTCTCGAAGCAATTGCTGACTATCGGCAATGGTCAAGTACCTGTCGATGAATCGAGCGGATTAATATCATTTCGAAATAATTTTTGTAATTTTGTCTCATCAAAAAGGAACTTATCAACAATGTATTTGCAAACATTATTTCTAACTACAAAAATAAGGAATGGTTGAGTGAGAGAGCCATTTTAGCGGCTAAGAATAAAGATGTTGATGACCTGAACTACATAATTCAAAATAAGATCATTGGAACAATGCATTCATTCAAATCTATTGACTGAGTCACAAATGAAGATGAAGCCACCAACTATTCAATTAAATTTTTAAACTCTTTGGACGTGCCTGGCTTACCACTTACAAAAATTATTTCGAAATGATATTAATCCGCTCGATTCATCGACAGGTACTTGACCATTGCCGATAGTCAGCAATTGCTTCGAGAAATCTTCAGCAGATGTATCATTAAGCAATGAAACATGGAAGAACAACTTGATCGACGCCTATGTACCAAAATACAGAAATAAAAATTAAATATTAATGTAGGTTTTTGATTATTTTTGTAATTTTTTTCCAAAAAAAGGCAGAACAAAGTTCGCCGGATATGTCGCTGGCATTCCCAACCTGATTAATAAATTACCACACATGAGGTAACACATATCTTCGATCAAGAGTAAAGCCCGATTATGTATCTCCTCATTCATCTCAATGTCGTGATTTCTGGAACTGACACGAATTTGATGTAAAATATCTTCTGACATATTATCCTTGTATTTGTGCCACAGGTTACATGGGTTTGAGGGAGTACATGTCGAAATTATGATAGCGAATAATGTGCGTATCTGAATAGGACTTAGGGTACTTTTTATTCCGTTCGACATACCATTAAAGCAGCATAATCCAGGCGTTTCTCCGGAAAACTTCAGTGCACCGCAATACTCGCAAACAACGTCCATTTGCCCAATGCAAACGCTAGGATGCAAGCTGTAATCAGTGATGCAATCGTATTGAAACGCTGCTCGATTCAAATCAGCACTTGATAAATTTCTTCTGCGTCGCAAATGATCTATTTCTTGACCTCTGTTGTAAGCTCGACGATTCTGCATTGTCAACCGAGCCGTATTACGGATTGCCTCTCTTTGCTCTGCTGATTGAGAAGCACGAAGTCGACCTATTCTAACGCGGTTCTGTTCACGTTCAATGTTTTGTTCTTCTTCAGACCTTCCATTTGCAGTATTTTGTAGTCTTCTTGCATTACGGCTTTGTCGGGAAAGATTCGATCGTCTTGGTCGCGGCATTATTAATTAAACTTCCCTTCACTTCAATTCACAAAAAGCACGAAAAACTTCACTTCACTTCAATTCACCAAAATCACAAATAATTTCTACTCACTTTAAAAAAATTGAGTTAAAATGCTATGGTAGTGTGTGCTTGTCAGTTTGATGAGGTAATAACTCAGTTTATATGCGATTTTTGGTATGTCGAACGGAATAAAAAGTACCCTAACTCCTATTCCGGGCTCTAAGCTACCTTCCTACCAATTTTCAGCCAAATCTGTTCAGCCGTTCTTAAGTTATAAGTGGTGGAACTAACACAACTTGCTTTTATATATATAGATAAATGAATATAATATAATATAAATGAATACTATATATAGTATAAATGAATATAATATAATTTAAACTCATAGATAAAATATATAAGGGTTTTGTTACAAATTTTTTAAGAACACAAAACTTAAAAAATATATGTAATGCGTCTAAGTGCGCGAATAAAATATTAAATTAAAACAAATAAAAATTGTTTAATTTAATAATGAATGGAAGAAAAATTAAAGAACTAATTTTTCCATTTCTTCACTTTCCGTGAATTTAAGATCTTAATTAAATGTAAAACTGTTTTCCTTTTCTTCACAAATCGAAACACTTCATTGCCCACCAATTCAAGTAGTACCCCCTAGCATTTTCCGGACGAATGTAGATGGATTTCCAGGGTATAAATCTACAACCCACTCAAAGCTGCACTTTTCATCTGACCGCCCCGCTGTTTGCATTCCGATTTGACGACTGGCGGGGAGTGTGTGGGACTGGGCCGGAGTCCGCATGAATGAATGATGAAAGAAATGGCTAAAGATGCTGCCTGGCCGGGCAAAGAGTGGGTCTGGGTCTGGGCTGAAGCGCCGAAGAAGACAAAGCCTCAAATGGGCATAATGAGCGTAAGGAGGCGGCAAAGCCGAAAGTGCTCTTGGGCGCTTCCAGCTCGGGACAATGCAGCGCGAATTGTGTCATGTTATTAATGAAAAAGAGCCGGGCCAAAATGAGCAGCGAGTGCAGATGATGAAAACAAAACAGGAAGCCGGAGCACTTTTAATATGCAACAGTCTCTGCCAGTCCTTATGTGTGCGTGTTTGTGTGTGCGTATTTGGTAGGCCACACGTGTGTGTAAGTGTGTGTATGTGTGAGTGTTCCTTCCGAAATGAAAATGAAAATCAAGCCAAAGCCCAAAAACCACGGCACCAGAGCAAATAAACCGACGACGTAGCGAGCGTCAAGTTATTTATTTGGCAATTGTGCGCTGCTTTTTATTGTCCTCCGAGTGGCTGCTGCTCTGTTTGCTTTTGGGCATTGCTCCGGAACACCCAGCGCACCCGCCCACCCACGCACCATCGCCCACCCACCGAAACCACCCACCCACCTACTGCCAGCAGCCGTCATCCGGCCACCCACTTACTTGCCAGCTGGGTATTTGAATGTGGCTGTGTGGTCGTCGAAAGGTCAATGGAACAATTTTAAAATGCTTGCCCGAGAAGTGAAACAAAAAAGCAAATCAAGTCCAACTGCGTGCACGGGGATCTCCGGCGGGGACCAAATTTTTGGGGATTGGCGGAAGGGGGGTAGGGGGTCCTGGGGAAAACAGAAATAATGCCTGCGGCTATGGCGCTGAGTGTACGAACGCTCTCCGTGATTATGGCGAATTTTAAGGGCGTGGATTCGAAATATGGTTGAGGAAATTCCAAAAAGATTCTCTACACAACATTAAACCAAAACAAGAAAGTCGATTTAGAGCAACTCGCTACTCTCTTCTGAGTAAAGCAATATTTTTTATAAAACATCCTATAAATGTTTTCTTTAGAACGGTTGAAAACCGTTTTTATAACTAAAGTAGTGCAAACAAAATGTTATTTTTAATCACTTTATTTAAAACGATATTCAAAAACCTAGTTAATCCAGTTTCTTTTCAAATTAATATATTTATCTTTATATTAAATTCCAAATAAAACTGTTTCAGTGAATTACTCACCTTTATTATCTATCTCCGTTTGTTATGCAATCAAAATATTTTCCAATTGGCATATTAGGATTGAGCTGATCGTGTTGAATATTTATTTGTAGAATTATTCCGTTTACTTATTTGTGTATTGAACTTGCTTGATTTTTAGTTTGCGTTGTATTATAATAATTTATCAAACTTTTTATCAAAATTGTCTCCCAGATTTTTTGTTTGATAAGTAATGAAGTTAATGCAATTAATTTAAGTTCAATAATGATTATTATTTAGTTAGATGCGATTATTGAAATATGAGTATGTACGTATCGATATAAATCGAATAATTCAATTTCAGTTAATCGAAGATTTTCAGAAAACTCTCGAATTAATCCACTTTAGATTCTTCAGCCAATTGAACTGTGGTTTTATTTGACTTGACCTTAATCTTAATCGTATTATTTTTAAAAATTTATATTAATCTTGTGCGCGTTTCAGTTGCTTATCGAGAATTTGAACATTACTCATCAAATGAGTTTTCTATATAATAGAACACTTTTTTAATAATGGATTTCTGTTTTTGTTTGTTTATACTTTGTGTTTGAATGGATATTAAAATTGTTTTGTCGTTACGATTTACGATTTTTTGTATGTATGCATTTTCTATGGTTAATGACTGTGATTATATTTACAACTGGCTTGAAATGTTCACTTTTGCGTCTCTGAACATTATTAATTAATAACTATCATAATCCATTTGTTTTGCGGTTGTTATAGTTACAAAATTGCTTTAGTAATGGTTTTATGCGTTTCGCCCGTAATTGTGATTATTCAGTAAAGCGATTGAAAAATTTTTCACGGTTGGTTTTTATTTCATTACTTTAAAATGTAATTTGTATTTTATTTTGTTGTGATTTTCACTCAACCGAATTAAATATTGCTTAGTATAAGGTATTGTATGTATGAAGTTTTATATTTATTTATGCAGATATCCGGTCTTAGTTCTGACATCCATTGCGTGTGTTATGCGTGTCGACGGCTATAAAGTGGAGGAGAACAACGTTTAATTTAGTTAATGAAATTAGCCATATATTATTCAATAAGCAATAATCACGAGTTTCTCACTTGTTGATAATGGCCCAGAATATCATTCGGTTTTATTCATTCGTTCCCCCTTTCCGGCAGCCAGCCGCCCACACAATGTGAACATAAAAGTAACCATTGCCATTTATTTTTTGGCACCTGTTATACAGACACACACACATATGTAAATGGAGACGGGGACAAAGACAGAGAGCGAGCATGATGGAAAGAGAGCGAGAGAGTTGCACTTGACATGTATCTGAAAGATACTTTCCATTTTGAATATTGATGGCTTGATGGTCAATTAGCGATTCGCATTCACGCTTCCTTCGCAGAAATTCGAAAGTAATAGAAGCGACAAAGTCGATGACATAAAAATAAAATAGAGGTAGGAAGGATGTACGAAAATATGTGTACAGCTATAACGGGAATGATAATGGTTAAACCGATGATGATGGAATTTTCACAGACACACGCACACGCACACACACACACACGAGCTCTGGGCCAGAGAGAGACGGACGGAAAAAGAGAGCAAAAAGGATACTTTCGATAATTGTTTTTTTTTTCGTTTTCTGTTTCTGTTTCAGTATCTTTGCCTCAGAAGAAGTAGAAGTTTCAAGAAGAACATTTCATTGGGTTTACCTGCTGGAATTGTTGTATATTTTTCAAATATTTTATTTGCAGGTCGTGTGTGAGTGCGGGCCACACTTGTATTGGTATTAGTATATATATGGATATAGTATTGTTGTGCACACACACACACACAGTGGCAGCTGGGGCACGCACAGAGTCACACACTCACACAGACAGACGAGCGCGCGCACCGTTAGCGACAGACAACAGGCACACCAACGCAAACGCAAACGCACACGCACAACAAGCAAACGCACAGCCACAGGCACACACTCACACACCCGAAGAGAGACGCACACGGAGATACGGATACGGATGCGGACACAGACCACGGGTAACGCGACAGGACTCTCCGGCTCCGGTGGCAAACTCTCAACCGCTCAACGGCTCAACCGTCCAACCGCTCAACCGTCCAACCGTTCAATCGTTCAATCGCTCAATCGCTCAGCCGCTGTGCATGGAGGCAAAAGGCAACTGACAGCACAACCCGAAACCGGAACACCAACTGAGCCCGATGCCCGTGCAGCATTGCCAGCTAGGCGGCGCTGGAAGTGACTGCAGAGTCCTTTGGCGGAGCCGAGCACGAGCTTCGGCATCCCACGACACATCCTTGTGCAGAAATTCGAAAATCCGAGCGCCCTGCTTGGGGATGCGATGCCGATGTGAACACGGGCTGGAACCCCAAATGCCCCACGAGTCCTGACGGATGGCAAGGACTCGTGACTCCACAGAGCCTGGAAAGCCTTCGCTATGTGCATCTGTATATGTGTGGAGCTCTGGCTACAGCTTTTTCAAGCTCTTCCCGGAGAGCTTTCTTCGGAGGCTGTAAGAGAACGTCAGGAGATGCGCTCTCTCTCTCTCTTTTTCTGCACTTGTGTTGGTTGGTCCTCAGCTTTAATTATACAGGGTGCGGGGCGCTCCTGTCGATGTCCATTGCGTTGGTGGTTGTGCGTGGTCAACTCAAGATGTTAGGAAATTTTCCGAAAAAAATTGGATACAAATGAATTAAGGCTTAGCAAACACAGTGGTGCGCTAAGAGGTGTTAGTTGAATACTCTTAAGTGCAGATGCTATTGAAATTTCTTATCAATTGAAGAATACAAATTTTAATGTTCTTAGTTACGATATATGTGTTAACAACTCTTATTGTTATTAGTATGTTTTTCAGATAAATAAATAAAAAAAACTATTTTAATACTTAAAAAAATAAAATAATTTTCAAATCTATAGGAATAGCTTAAAAATAGCTTGCAATAAATCAATTTATTATCAAAGCAATTAGTTCACAACTTAAAATATTTCCTTTCGTATTGCCTTAAATTAAATGAAATATTGTTCAATATAACATCTACATAAATGGTACTCCCCCATTTCCCTCATACCCATGAGACCACAAGCTTCCCTCGTTTTTTCAAGCTTCTGCTACTATAGCTAACTTGACCTACTGCTGCCGATTCTCACCTTCATCAATTCAATCGAAACTAATTTGAAAGTCTTGCAAACACACGGAGCACATTCATTCATACACGCAATGGCGAATGCACGATACAAGAGCTTACACTCATACCAATAGGGTATAACACGGACACACGAACACACGGACAAGCTTCCACACCCACACACATACACACAGACGCAGCATGCGTAGGTCCAGAGCCAAAAATGATTTATGACCCCACAAAAAAATTAATTTAAAGTAAGTTCGTATGAATGAAAAATGGCTTTTACAAACGCAAAACTACAGGGTTCCCGCAGAGCGAGAGAATTGCGAGCGAAAGGGGCAGGAAGCGGAGAAAGTAAGAGAGAGAGCAGGATGCTGCACAGAACTGTTAATTTTTCTAATGGCCAACGGTTCTCTTTCGGGCCAGGACACTTGTGGGCAGCTGTCTCTTAAGGAGCTCGCTCTCGGGAAGCTTTAAGCTCTTCGGTGCCTTCCATTGCAGTTATCCCTGTTTGCCCTTCCAGTGGCTCCCAAACCGTTTCGGGTCGCGCACCCGACCACAAAGTGAACGAAGGACAAAGGAGCCACAGGACCTGCTCGGCTTTCCATGCTCACCGCCTTCTCACACCTCTGCCATCGGTTGGTATCCATGAATGAAGGCTGCTGATAATGCCAGTATTTGCGCCGGGAACGCAGCGAGGTGCAGACGGGCTGTGGCCGCAGGATATGCATCCGCTCCTTTTTCCGGCCCCTGCCGCACCCAAAAAAAAAACCCGATAGGACGATCTTGCAGCGACAGCAGCAGCGCATGGCGCATGGCTTGCTTATGAATTTGCATATTTGATTATCCAGCTTAGCCAACCCCTGCATTCATTACTTAGTTACGTATACTTCATTTGTTGGTCGAACATTGTTGCATACTTTCAGGCGCGCATTTGTTTCAGTTAACAGAAAGGATTTAGTTTGTAATTTAGCTTTTACGAAATGTTTGGTAAACTGTTATAAAATTAAAATATGGTCAAACATGAAATAAGAGTTATCTTGTATAAAGGGAGTTTGAAAGGGCTGATTGGTTTCTCATAAGGAAGACCTCACCCAAATATAGATATATTTCTGTAAAACTATTCATTTAAGTTGTATCATAGCACAGTCAGCTCTCATCATTAACCATGGCAAATACCTTTTGCTCTCGTTAGCCAAGAGAAAGAGAATACCAACAGCTAATTGAACCTGATTATTTCCGATTAGGTACCGCACTATAATTAAATGAAAAATGCTAACTAGAGTCGAAGCTAAGCGAGGGGCTAATTAATTTTCTCTCTCTCTCTCTCTCTATCTCTTTTGCTCTATCTCCATCACATTCCGGCTGAGTTCCTTCAGTCAGTGGCTTTGGCCCATTGTTGTTGGCATTTGTCGCGGACTCTTTCAATTGCTTCATTTTTATCACAAACAAAACACACACTCACTCGCTTCTTGTGGCTGTGTCAACCGTCATCTAAGTGGCCTGCTCCAGTATCTCTGTGCATGTGTATCCTTCTGTCCTGCCCCCCATTGGCTCCCCCTACCCCTCCTGCTCCTCATCCTCATTCTTTTTGGCCCGGTCCACATTGCTTTGTTTGTGCGGATTTTATTTAATTTGCTTGGCACTTTGTTTGCCTGCCTGTTGGCTTATTTGTTTTGATTTTTCATGCTTCGTGTTTTCGCTGGCGTTTTGGGTTTTCCTCCCAGTTTATTGTTTGTTGCCTTTGTGGGCGGCTGCTTTTCAGTTGTCTTAACCTTTGCCTTGGCTGACTGATTGTGAGAGTGTTTGCGAGTGATACCCAGAAATTCTTCATCCTAATTGAATAGTTAACTCTCGAAACGTTGAAGGTTCCTTAAATGCAGATTCCGAATTTAATATTTGCCGAGAGCAACGCGCCAATCAATCGCCCTTCGCTGACCCATTTAACCGATGTCCATTCGGTGCAAACCAATGTCCATTTGCCTCGGTCAAACCCCCCAGTCCCTTTAGATGTCCGCTCCACTTGGCAGCCCTGCTCAAATATTAATTCATATCAAGGTTTTGGCATTCATTTTCAATCCAACGCCACCACACACACACACAGCTACCCGCAAATCTCTTTTCCCTTGGCCCACTTCCTTTCGGTTGGGATCGTGTAATGAAATTTAAGCAGAATTGTAAACAAAGTTGTGCAATAAAATCAACCAGCCGCAAATAAACTGCAATTTAGAGCGGCGACCACGGAGAACTCACTATGTGAAAAACATGGCAAGGCTTTTTATTTTAAAAGTAAGAGGCATCTGGCTGATTTCACGAGCCATTTGCAAGACACCATTTTGCACCGAGTGCAGCCAGTGAAACCAAGTTGCATTTTTAGCCAGGTAGAAAGTGCCAAAATAGCGGAAAAAAAGAAAAGGCAAATTGGAGAAGCACTTTCACAAGGCCGCACAGGAACTCCATTTGAGGCTTCGCCAAATTGACAGTTCCTGGGAATTTTCCGTGACACTCAATTGTTTCAATTTGCTGATCTGATTTTTCGATAATTTATGCAGCTTGATTTCGTTTCTCACTTTCCGCTTATTCACTTTTCCAATTGATTTCGTGTCTGTCCAATGAATTGTCGCCGGGCGAGAATTCCTCTCTCAGATTTTGGCCCTCGGCTATTAACCGAAAACTGTGTCGAGGACATCGTCACTTAAAAATAGTTTGGCCAATAGTTGGGGAATTTAATTTGTTCTCTTGACTCCAAGATATAGTGAGTAATGAAAGGAAAAGGAAGCCAAGTAATTCAGTTTGCACTAGAAGAAAATATCTTGGCGTAAACACAAGGTTAAAGTAAAGGATAAGTACTGTGCCATCAAAACATTTAAGTAAGTCAGTCGATATATTCCATTCCTTTTACATTCCCATATTTCCACATTACTTAAGGCATTAAAGAACATGGCTGCCATAATTGCATTGGCACTTGATGTTCAATGCTCATTTGGCGTTTCATATCGATGCTGGCTGCACATTATTCATCTCCATCCGAGTCAAACACGATAAATGATATGCGAAGGAACGAAATTTATTGGCACTTCGAAGGGCGATACCATCGCGATTCAGTGAGCGGTATTGATAGCCGGCTTACCAGCGAAGGTAAATGCAAAAGTGAACCAAACAGGGACAAAGACTTTATCGCAATTTTAATCCGCAAGGAGCAGGAAGTTCAACCTGCTGCAGCTACTTTCGAGCCACCTGAACGCGAATATTGCATTAAGCTCTTGGATGCCACTCAATTTCGCATTTCGTTTTCAGTGGGTTCTATAAAATGGTTTATAAGAGCAGGCTAATAAACATGAAGTGGTCTAAAAGTATAGTCTAAAATTATTTATTTAATAATTGGCTCCTTCTGCCTTTAATTATGATTTTATTTATACCTCAAACTTAATTTAGCTTGACAATCTAAATTCTATCAATGTATAAAACATTTCCACTACCTCTATAATTTTCAACTGAAAGGTTCATGTTATTATTTATGTGAGTTGTGTGCAGCTGGGGAATACCAATTTAAAAGATTTTCAAAGAGCAATCATTCAGTTAGGGTACTTAATGCTGCAGTTCCCAGCGCAGTATTTTCATTGTTCGACCACTCTGTTTGTACTCGGAGTGCTTCGTTCTGGTTGCTTTAATGCAATAATCCTTGAATGTCGGACGCACGAACGAGTTGATAACAATTTCAATTTTTATGACAAGTCAACTTGGCCAGCCATCCAACGGCGGGCAGCCAGTTATCCGGCAACAACGTAAGGGCCAAACGAAACGAACTCAATCGTGCCGATGGCGAACAATAATAATAAGAACAGCAACAATAATAACATGGCCGATTGCACCATTACCGCTCTGCCAGCCCTCCTCTTCTTCCCTCTCCTTCCGATGGCCACAGCTATATGGATATATATGTATATATTCCGATATATATGTGCATATACATGCAGTCTGCAGCCGGAGCGTTATGATTTATTGGCATGCAACACGGCGTTCTCCTCCGGAAATGTGTGTGCAGTCAGCCATTTTGGAAAGGGAAGGGAAAGGAAAGGAAAATGAAGGGGGTGGAGTGGGCGGAAGGGCGGCTTTATTACGGCTGTTGCCACGGAGTAAGCTGAGATATCACTCAATTCGCCTTTTGCACACGACTGTCAACAAATTTGCATCAGCATCCATCTGCAACGACAGAGCAGCACAGAGTTCACATTCCAAGCTGTCTGGCGCTTAATGGCTTCATCTTTGATAGAAGAAACGTCAACCGGAAACGTCTTATAAGAAACGATTTTGAAGTTATTTAGTCTTAACAGAAAACATAAATTTGTAACCCACTTTTCCGTGCTTATTTTAATACTTTTTCCATTACGAACATTTTCGCTTTGGTTATTATCATAACTAAACAAAGCTCTGATTTCAAATTTGCATGCAAAACTTTCGACTCAATTCATATTCATTTTATTTCGGTTTATGTCCGACTACCACCGCAAATCCCCAGAAAATTACGTCGATTATTCAATCATTTTTCCATCATCCATTTTGCAAATCCCTTTTTAGCTGGACGGACAGGACTCTGATTTGTTGAAAGTTTCGTTGTCAGCAGCAATTAAAACAACACCGCCTACGCCCCCCAGTTGCCCCATTTTCCAGCCACTAAAAAATGCACTGAAATTACGAGAGTTGTGCAGCACGGCAAACAAAAACAGAGAGTCGTCGTTGAATAAAAACAAATTGAAGCCCGGCCTGGCTGGTCGGGCTACCACAAATGGAATGTGTTTTTACAGGCCTGGAACCGGGATTGGAATAGGAACTAGGACTCGGTTAGAGGGAGCCGAAATGAAATTAAATACGAAAAGCCATGGTACCGGAAAAGCACCACCGCCCAGCGGGCAAAAATACATGTGAATGTGGCTTGAAAGTCAGCCAGTAGTTTGGGAGCGATTTCAGGTCCGTGTCCCTGTATCCTTATCCGTATCCGCATACGTGTCCGGGTCCGGGTCCGAATCCGAATCAGAATCCTTTCCCCCGTTCATTGTTGGCATGCCAAAATTTTAACTGCACACCAAATAAATAAACACTGGCATGTACACGAAGCCAGGAGAAATTGTGACTGCGAGCTCAGTTGGGAAACACAAACTAAATGCAGTCGTGTGTTTCCGGCAATGAAACTCTAGAATTTTCTTTGTCAGCAGGTTTTTTCTTTTTGGAAATCATATTTTCATTTAATTTTTCAATAATTCAAAGTCAACTTGGTAAGGGTTTTAAAAATATAAGTATGTAATTTACATCAAATACCACGTATGCTAAGAAAAATTTAAGGCAATGATAAATGAAACCATTTTTTAAATTCCGCATCGTGTTCTACTTCGTTTGTTGTCTTAGTAAATAACGAAAAAATTGTATTAAACGTGAAAAGGAAATGTTTTGGCGAAGCAGCTAACTTTTTGCTAGTCGTTGAGTGGACTTTCCCAACCTTCACAATTGCAATTACAAAGAACCTTGTTTTCCACAGAGGAAGTAGGAGTTTGGTTAGGGACATGCATTCCGGATGAGTCCTGTGTGGGAGTTTGGCCAAGGAAAACCGAAAACGTATAAAAAGGACAATGCGCTTATTGAAATATTAATACGAAAGAAAGAAAGAGTGGTAGGGTTTCAAATCGCCCGATTTCAGGGGAAATTATTGTGCAGCAGTAAAGGAGCTCAATTACAAATTTAACAACAGGAAAGACCGCTCTATATTTATTTCATTGAAAATGAAATTAAAAAGGATCCTGTTTATTTTTTTGGCTACTTTATTCCCACCAGAACCAGCAGTAAGTCATATACTATATTTTGGCCAATCATCTTACTAAAATGTTTAATTTACTATCATTTGTAAGTGACATAAGTTGAATCCGTTCCAAGTCTTAATTTGTCACAAATGTAATACGTATAAGTAAATAATAAGGCTCTTTCATGTTCATCGTATGAAAATGAAGGAAATCACAGATACTCAAGAGCAGAGTGAGCAAAAAAATGGAAATTTATATTGCGGAACTAAATTGAAATAATTTTGGCAGCTGAAATATGTAGGAAAATATTTTAATACCCATATATACACACTCCAAAACTGAGAGTCTCCGCAATAGAGCTGGGAATCCCAGACTTGCTGGCAAATAAAAACAGTTTGGTAAGTGTGCGGATATTCCATTCGCTCCTCCTCTCCCCGCAATTCTGGCCCAAACCATCTGCAATGCTTCTGGCAAATGTGTTGGCCGTCCTCTGCCTTCTGCGTGCTGCAGCTGGCATTTGGCCAAGTCTCCGTAATTTTTTCTTCTTTTTATTGCATTGGCCAAAAAGGAAAATGCAGCTAAAGCGCCGAGAAGGCAAACAAACAAGCGGCAGACAAGGAGTACATATTAAATTTGTCATTTTAGCGCAAGGACCGACTTTATATCTATGGGGACATTGAAGTCAAAGTTCGTGCGCCGCTCAAACTTGTTGTGGTATTTAAAACCGCATTTTAGCGGGCAAATCGAATGCAATTCGCTGTTAAAAAAAAAGCTAAAAAATAAAAAAAAAATAATAAAAATTATGCATGCCACTGGGCGTACAACTAATTTTTGATTATGATTCTAATGGTCGCATAAAAGAATGCTTTTTTTAATGTTTAATCTGCATGAATAAAAACTAAATTCATGATTTCACTGCACTTTGCTACAAGAAAACTATACTTAATTCGTAGGATAAATTTGAAAGGCTTTGCTTACCACCTCTGAAGATTGTGGCTGGGTTGTTATTATTATATCATTTACTTGAGTGCAATAAATTGCACTTAATTCACCGCCCAGTTGCCCGAGTTCTTGGCTCACCAGGCTCACCGCACTGCAATTATATTGCGATGGCATTGAGATTGTTTCAGGATTGAGCTCTCGCTCGGTTGCTAAGCCTTTTACGTCGTCTGCCCGGAACTTTTCCACATTTCAATTTCAATTTGCACGCCAACTAAAGCAACGTGGACAACAACATTTTTGGCCCAGAATCAACCTTTGCAATAATAAACATGGCAACAATGTGGCAATAGGCGTGTTTGCATAGTCATAATCGTTTTATTTGGGGTGGCTATGGTTTCGTTCAATATCTGTCCCGGAAAATTTCTCTGCTCTGCAGAACTTGTTGTGGCTTTTCTGCTGTGGTCATCGCATTCCCAAGGACTCCATCCATACGTCAACCTCTTCCCATTTGCACTCGCATTCAGCATTCAGCATTTGCATTCATATGCAATTTCGTAATGCCGTCAAAATCAGCAAATAGAATAGAGTAAATGTTGAAATGCAGGTGAAAGACAAATAAACCATACCGAAACCGAAACCAACCAGCAGATATAAAAAAGGAGGGACAGAAAGTGAAGAGAATTCAACTCTGCAGTTGTTCGTTTTAATTGGACAAAAGAGCATTATGAATATTCCATTCCAGCTGAAACTGCATTCAATTATATTGTTTAACAACCATACTTCTTCGTTTTTGTCAAGGAGTAAGTAAAATAAATGACCGACTATACAAATATGTGTTGAGTAACTATCAGTATATAATCTAATTGATTTCTGAGTGGACAATTAAAATTTATTAATACTCAACTGCGCTACATAAAATTCAATTAAAATAATATTAATAAGGCCTTGAAATAAATTGTTTTAGTATTCACAAAAAGTGAGTGAGGCAAGTTTGTATTTATTTTTAGCTGCATTCAGATAAAGATATAATTCTAACTAATGCAAGGCCTCAAACCATTCGGTTTATGCATTTTGCATGTTCTTGAAACAGTAGCCGAGATTCTTCCCTGTTAACTGAAATGTAGGCAAATATTTTCCGTGGGCAAACGGCTGCCAGTTGATCAACTGATTAACTATCTTGACGGGTTGTCGGCTGGTTTCGTGAGCTGCTGCAATAAGATAAGGGCTTTAGTTACAGATGCCCGGATCCATGAGTTTAGTCTGCGGCAATTGGTGCCACGCGATGTACCCGCTCCCATTTTTTCTCCTGCTGTGGATCCTTAGCCTCGGCTTCGTGGTTAATTGTTTGCAGTTGAGCAACTGCAATCGCACCGAGGTGACCTTGATCCGGGATACGGAGCTCCTGACTTCACTCACCTTGAGCAACTGCAGCTTGCCACATCTGGAAAATGCCTTTTTTGTGCGATTTGACCATCTGCTCCGTTTGGAGTTGCAATTTAGCGGACTTACGGATTTGGATGACTTTTCACTAAATGGTCTGACCAAACTGCAATCTCTGTCGCTTTCTCACAACAATTTGAGTTCGCTGAGGCCGTGGTCAAACGAACCCTTGGGAGCCCTCATAAACTTGGATCTAAGTTACAACAAATTAAACAAACTGAAGGCCAAGAGTTTTGAACTATATCCTCAGCTGCAGCAACTCGATTTGCGAAATAATAAAATCAGTGAAATTGAAGATGACTCCTTTTTGGGATTATCACATTTAAAACATCTTCACCTGAGTGGAAATCAACTGCAGCACATTGATGGAAATTATTTTCACGGTCTTCATCGCCTCTCCAGTCTATCTCTTCAGCATAATCTAATTGAAGGTATAGAAAATACATCCTTTGAAAGTAATACCCATCTTCGAAGTCTACGACTGGATCAAAATATTTTGAGTAGCTTGGAATTTCTTAGTCAACGAGGTCTTGCTCGATTGGTTCACTTAAACCTATCAAATAATGTAGTGCAAAAACTGGAGCCACTTGTATTTTCTAAAAACTTTGAACTTCAGGACCTGGACTTGAGTTTTAATAATTTAACTGAGATTAATAAGGAGACTTTATTGGGACTGGATTCATTGGAGGTGAGTTTTTAAATAAATTCTGGTATCTGTCGATAAAACAAAAATGTTCTTTTCAATTTAGCGTCTCAACATAAGCAATAACTATTTGCAAATAATGGATGTTGATAGTCTGGAATCTCTTCTCGGCCTTCTTAGAATTGATTTAAGTCATAATCGACTGACAGCGATTCCAGAGACTCTTTTTCATGCCAACACTCAGCTTGAGGATATTATACTGTCCGATAATCAAATCGGGCAGTTGTCGCCACAACTGTTGCACAACCAAAACCATTTGCGATACATAAAATTGGCCGGAAATGCACTTGGCAATGCTGATTTCCTCCAAAGACTATCTCCATCCCTCAATAGTCTTTCCCTTTACGTGGACATCAGCTCGAATCGTCTAAAATCTGTTAATCTGAGCAGTCTTCTCCGTTTTCGTTATATAAATCTGGCAGATAACAAATGGAACTGCGCTTGGTTGGTATCGAATTTGGTGCGAAAACTTCCGAGGTCTATTAATTTTGCCCGTTCCTGGAATGTTATTAATAATTGGAGTGAAAACATTACAAATATCAAGGGTGTGGATTGCACAGAAGGTGAAAGTAAACGTTCTATTATTCTTCTGGATGTGAGTACGGTTCCCAAAGAAAAGACACAAAATTGTGAATGTGGGGTAAGCTAAACTAAAAGTTATAAATGGAAAATAAATTTTAAAGTATTTTTTGGCTTAGGAAAACTACGATGAGTTTAACCCTTCGCCACCTCCTCTAACTTGGCCCAAGATACCAACGGACCGCTTTGATTCGAGATCAGTGATAATCTGGATGCTGGTGGCCATTGCATTAGCTTTTGCAGGACTTCGTTGGCTGCGACGATTCGTGGATCGCAATGAGAAACGTAAACAGGGAAAAAAGCAGCTAAATAATGTGGTTTGTTAATAACATTAAAATTCTTGACACATTATAAAAAATATCTTCAAAATTTATTTTATGTTATTTATATTATGTACAAATTAAATTAGATTTTAAGTAATTTGATTGCGATCTGAGAACTAAATTTAATTGGCTTGACTTTCTGCCTTATCAATAACCCCCTTGTTTATTTCAGTACGTCAGCAAAGTTCAGTGGCAGCCTGTCAGAAACGATCAAGAGAGATCGTAGCCCACTCTAAAAATAAAATGCATCGATTTAGTAAACACATATATTCGATTCAGAATGCCTTAAAAAATAAGAGAATTGTTTGTCAATAATGATTACAATGTAAACTTTGAGCAATAAAATCTAAACCTAGGCTAAGAATCCCTTTGAAGAGGTTATTTTTACTTATAGAGACGTTCTATAACGTTGGTATATTTGGCGTGGACTATATTTCGACGGATTTTCAGTGTGGGACCCAGTTCACCGGTGGCCAGTGAAAATTCATGAGGGATGAGGGCGAACTTTTGGATCTTTTGGGCATTCGAGATGGCATGTTTATTCGCTCGCTTGATACCTTCTTCGATGGCTTCCAGAAGTTTGGGTTCAGCTGTGATTTCCAAGGCGGCAGCTTGAGCAGCTTCGTCATTGGGAAGCTGCAGATCGGAGGGAATATTTAGGAGTTCAGAAAGACGGGTGGCGTGGATATCGAGCTCCCTGAGCCACTCAATTGTCTCCTCTCGAAGGGCATCCAAAGGAATCCCCGTCTTGCCATCGAACTTTGTCTTAAGGGATAGCAAAACTGTCAAGTACTTCCGATGATCACCGATGAGCAATGCATTGCTCACACAGGGAAGTTCCTTTTGATTAATTCCTCAATATGCACCGGTGGAATATTCTCTCCACCGGCGGTGATGATTAGTTCCTTGAGTCTTCCGGATATCACCAAATTTCCCTTGGGATCAAGGTAACCCAAGTCACCGGAATGCAGCCAGCCATCCTCCTTTATCGATTCCTCTGTTTTCTCCGGCAATCCCAAATATCCCATGAAAATGCTTCGTCCTCGCATCAGGATTTCCCCCTGGCCATTGCAATCGGGATCCTGGATCTGCAGAGTTAGTCCTTCGCACGCTTGACCCGCACTGTATAAATTGGTGATTTGAATGTTAAGAGTGATGGCTCCACCGCTTTCCGACATTCCGTAGCACTCTCCCAGTGGAATATCCAGTCCCAGAAAGAACTGCTTCATCTCATCTGAAGTTGGAGCTCCGCCTGTCAAGAAAACACGGCAGTTATCCAAACCAATCATCTCCCGAATGGGCTTAATGACGCGGGAGGCCAGCCAATATTTTGTGCTGCCGTAAATCGAGGGGGTTTTTCTGAAAATTAAATCAAATTATAAGCAACATTAATTATAAATATAATTTTAAACAACAGAAAATGTTGTTCTAAAAACTTTTTGTTAACTTTATCATTCATTACTCCAAATTTTAAATTTTGATGTCTTGCGTTTTTTAAAGTTGTGATCACAACCAGTTGCCGCAATTGTTTTTTAAGAGTTTCGTTTAATAGACTGAAAATTGAATTGCAGTTTCGAATAAAAACACATTTTGTAAACTCTAATCTTTCACAAAAAAAAAGAAAAGGAAAGCAAGAATAGTAGACACTTTAAGGGCACAGATTTCTTGTAGATAATCGGCTTTGATTCAACTTACCCTGCCATCAGCGTTATCTGGTGTTCGGCCACAATAGCTCTAGCCCGTTCTAGTAGCAATCTGGAATAGGGTTTCGCCTTGGCCTCAGCGGCCACCAGACGCTCCTGAATTTTCTCGAAAACGCGTGGAACTCCAAACAACTTTGTTGGCCTCGCTTTGCGGAAGGTCTTAATCAAAGTGCCCTTCAGTGCATCCTTGTCCGCAAAAGTAACACATCCGGCATGGGAAATACCCAAAAATACGTCGAAAATCTGGGCAGCCACGTGACTCAGTGGCAGATAACTCACAAAACTCTCTTTGCCGATCTGCACATCCTGCATCATTGCCGCCGCGGATTTGGTATCGAAAACGATGTTGTCGTGGGACAGCATCACTGCCTTTGGCATTCCAACAGTTCCAGAGGTGAAAATCAGCATGGCACACTCATTCGCACGAATCCTGCTCTCCCTGGCAACCAGTTCCTCTTTGAGTTCCTCGGAGAAGCTTCGCTCCTGCAGCTTTTGCCAGCTGAAGAAGCCAGGTTCCTGATCAACAAAGGCTTCAAAAGGTCCATGCAGCTGAATCACAGCCTTCAGTCTTGGCAAACGATCCTTAATGGCTCTCAGCTTGGCCATCTGCTGAGCATCATCAACAATGCAAATGGAGGATTCTCCGGTTGAAAGGACGTGATAAACTGCCTCCGCTGAGTTGCTGGGATAAATTCCAGACACAACAGCACCAGCTCTTAAAGCTCCAAATTCCGCGAAGAACCACTCGGCACAATTGAAGGCCAGAATGCCCACCGAACTGCGCTCCTCGACTCCAACGCTCAGGAGCATCAAAGCGGCCTGCTCCACTCGCTCCTGGTATTCTGCATAAGTTATTGAGGTCCATCCATCAACTCCTGATCCTGGGGTTTCCCACACCAAGGCGGGCAGCTCCGGATGGCTCTCACATGCCTCCTTGAAGAACTGCGGAATGGTCTGCGGCGGGACTGTCTTACTTAAGAATCCCGGCTCATCGAGGCGCAGTTTTACAGCCTCGTGAAGCGAGGTACTTGTGTATTTCGATGCCGGCTTGAGGTCGTTCATGCTGAAGGCGATCGCGATGAATAAACGCGGTGGGGTTCTGGTCACGGGTTTTTATGCCATCGCCACCAGATGCTGATAAGAACGGACATATGAAGCAGGCAGAGAAGCCGGGGATCCGACCCGAACACTCCGGTTAAACCAAGTACGTGGATGAATGGGATTTTACGAACGACAAACAAATGAAGAAACAGACGCTGCGGAAGATCCTGGTGTAATATAAACGTCATAAACATTTTTAAGGAACGCAGGCAGTAAAGTTCTTTATTCGAAAAAATAAATTATTTAAATAAAAATAATAAAGATCTAGAAGAATCGCGATAGATAATCAAATTCAATAGTAGTGATAATAATATTAAATTCACAAACATGTAATACCAAATCTTTTTCGTTTATTAATTCCATATTAATAATTATTATTTTAAGCACTTTTAAACCACAGTGCTTAGACGCAATAAATAGGTTAGCGGCTTTGGCAATCACTTGAGCCACAAGCAACGATTAGTCAAGAGTTCTTGTCGGTCATTTCAAATACATTGGCCGACCTTTAAGCATGTGCCAAGATTCGGGGTGACATCGGTAATTGGCAGATAAGAGCATATTGTCTGGCTGCTTCGCTCCCCGCAGCAACAAACCTGTAAGAATGATGCCGGTACTCTTATCAGCCGTTAAGCGATCTGGTTCTTTTGTTTTGTCTAGAAGAATCCTGCTTGCTTTCAAATAATATTTCCAAGCATCTCGCGGGTCCAAAGGTTTCTAAAAGAAAGTGTAAGTGAGTGCGTATTTTTTGTTTTTTTTTTTTTCATTGTAAAATCATACAATAAGTAGTATTTATTATTCTTCTTTTTTATGTCCGTTTAGCAACAAGAAAACATAATGATATGAATATTCAAAATCGGTCATAAAGTGTTTGTAAAAAAAAAAAATAACGCTATACCTTTTTGAGTTAGGATAAGACTATTTATAAATCAAATTGCGTTCAAGCAAGCTAAGAGCCTATTATGTGATTAAGTATTTGTTTTAATAATAAACATATTTTGGTATAATATCAGTATAGTATTACATGGCATTTTTATTTTATTTAAAAACTGACCTTCCACAAGCGGTTCAGGTAGTTCCAATACTTAATTCTTTGAGTGTGGGAACTGGGTTACCCGCGCCAGACATCACATATGTGGAAAAAGACCCATACGCCCCGTAACCAGGTATTGCAGCAGTGCGGGAATCATGGTTTTACGGCCGGTAATCCCCCTCCAGAACCCGGACTCCCCTTTTGGTCAGTCGGGCACATTAGATGTATGCCACACACACGCACACATACACACACACTCACGCACTTCGTCACATAGGAAGAGGAAAAAAACTTTCACACAGGCCGGCTGAAAACAACAAATCGCAGCCGAGTTTCCACTGGCTTCACGTTTCTGGGCGCCTGGTCGTCGAACAGTCATTTTTTGTACAAATTTATAATTTATTGTTTAATTTATTTTATTGCTAAGTGTCAAAAGAGTCGGACATTCGCATACACTGAAACTTAGGCGCCACACATGTGCGGTGACTTTGGGCACACGCGATAAAATGAAAATATTATTAACTCAACTGTAATTGTTGCAATTTGCAGCTTATCTTTTGTTATGCTCGCAACAACAACATTATTATGAAATTATTTACCAATGAACAGCAGCCCATGAATCCGTAACAAGTGCACCCATTGTCTGTGGGGCTTACGACGCCATTGGGGGGAGCTTTATTGCATCAAAACTACAACACAAATAGTTGCAATATTCTGTTTTCCTTGCTTGTTCTATTTTTTTGGTTTTTTTTTTATTTTTTTGATTCCACTCGCAACTATATAAATATATATATGTATTTTTCGAGTGTGAGAGTGGGGCATGTGTAACGGTACATGGGATTTATATCAACTAATGCCGGGAAAGAATAAAAATCCAAATATATATGTATTTGCGGGCAGTGGTTTGAAGGGGCGCCAAAGCAGATGTAATCGTATGTACGGTTTCTGGTGCAAAACATGGCCGCATAGGCATGTAGAAAGGAAAAGCCCACCTTAAATGCGAACTAGCAATAAAGCCAACAATAAAATGGACATTGAACAAACATTATATGTTGCCGTGGTAGCTTGGAAAGTGGGACTTAAAGGCTTTCATTCCGAAGGGCTTATGGAGGATGCTTAAGCTTAAGTTAAGGAACAATAGTATTTGGTAATATTTCCGTTCATTGAGTAAATTTGGAATTGCTAGTTATTTTTGATACCTTTTCTTTTGAACAAAAAGGTTATTGCCTCTAATTATTTAAATAATATATTATATATACATATATGTATATTTGATAATAAATATTTTAAATTATATTTGTGTTAAATTAGTTTTACATTTAATTATCTCTCTGATTAAGATGGAAACTGTATCCCATAGTCGTTGCACAGAAATCAAAGTTGTTTCCACTTTTATCTAATGCATATAAAGCATACAAAGTAACGACATGGTCCAGCCTAAATAGAGTGGCACATTGATTCGGTCAACCATTTGACTCTAAATCGGGACATTGACACGCACACACTTATGCGCACACACACACACACACTCAATAGAGACGGGCGCACTTGGCGTATACATATTGAAAGTGATTTGCCATATCTTCGCCTGTGGTTATGGACTATATCGATATGCAATCCCTCACCCATTCATCCGATCGGACCGGCATGTGTAACAATATGTTCTGTACATATTTACACGCACATCGAGTGACCTAATGTGCGGGCAGTGGGCGTGGCAGGCGGGGCGGTGGGCTATGGGCGGCGGACGGCAGATGGGTGGTGGCGCATGTCTGGGACTTTTGTAGATTTGTTTGTGTACATATAGATATAGCGAAAACACCCGGCGCACAGCATTGATTAGCAGGCGTGAAAGAGCCGAGCCAAAGCAAAAAGTTCATGCGAGCAAAGCAGCAGCAAGAGCAACAATAACAACTAGCAGCAAACAAACAAGTACACACAACAATAAGGAAACACATTCGTGCACATACAAGAGCAAAACACGAGCACAGACACACACACACACACACCACACACTTGACTAGAAGGGGAGGTGGGGTTGGGCCGAAGGGGGCGGTACAGATAAACAGCATTTATATTCATGTACCACCAGCAACAAAAACTGAAACAGCAACAACAACAAAAACAACAGAAACAACAGCAGCACAGCGCAGACATAAAAAGCGAAACGAAAATCAAATAACATGTGTACATATTGACAAACAAGCGGAGGGGCGACATACACACGAACCAGTACAAGTATGTACGAATATGTACGAATATGTACGTACATACTCGTTCGTCCCCCTGCAACTCATTCAAACTCATTTCTATACAAACATATCATCAGCTGTACTCGGAACCCACTACTCTCTCTCCCTCTCTCGCTCTCTCCCCGATTCTGGTTCTATATCTTTTCCCCTCCATCGGAACTCGCTGGTCAGCCGCATAAGTAGCAATTACAATAGCAACCGGTATTTAAAACTGTTTTCAATACCCACATTAGCACGAAACAGAGATCAAGTCTAACCCGAGTCTGATGCCCAGGTGACGAAATCGTCGCTATAGCATAAAGAATATACATTTTAAACCGACTTGGAGATACCCTAGGTAGTGGGTATATATTGTTAAAGAATATTTCACCTTTTTCTCGGCAATACATAAAAGTTTGTTAAAAGATTTATAAGGTAACATTTTTTTTAAATTGCTTTAGCTTTCAGATTAACATTTGTAAATTTCGAAAAAAATACATTTTTCTGATTATAAGCTTGAAGATATAACTTCTTAAGATAATTCAAATATGTATTAATAAACTGTGATTTTAACGAGTACATTTGAGACCCTGTTAGGTTTTTAAATTATTTATAAATAATTTTGAAATCTAGTTTTCAGCCCATTTCCACAAACTACAGCTAAAAAGCGTAGAAAATCTAGACTCAAGCGGAAAAATGCAATCTCATCTGTAATTAAACATACAGTCATAAATTTATTACCTATACATGTCCGACGTGACCCCCTTTTCCATTCTGTCGTCAGTGGAGTCAAAAAGTTCAGCTTGAGTGCATTTTTGCTGATAAGTTCTATAATTTAATCGGTTCAACTGCACCGGGCATGCATCTAAGAAGCCCATGCAATAGTCATCATTACTGTCACTAAACCCGGCGATAGTGAATAGTCGTCGTATTATCAGCCATCATTCACGCACCGATTGTGGAGTCACACTTTCCCTCTCTTCTGTCTTGTTTTTCAAGGCCCGTTGTTTGTTTTCGATGATGCCTGCATTTTTCTGTCGTCATACTTGATCAGTGGAAAATTCTGAAGTCACTTCTAGAATGGTTAATATTGATTGCAGAAGAGCGGAGATTGTGCATTGTGCTTAATCATGGAAAGTGACCATAACTGTCAGAATTTATTCAACTGGAGCAGAACGCTTTTCTTTGCCATTTGTCTTTACTTAATTAAAGCATGACATATTGATTTAATATTAAAAATTAAATGGGAATCGGAAAGGTTAAGTGCAAGTACTTAAGAATGATAATTTGTGTTCCTAAAATCCTGAAAATCCTAAAAAGCGAAGCCGAAAAAATAACAACAAAAAAACTAATATTTTCCGTTGATATTGAAAGTATTTAATAGTTTTTAAAATTTTTTTCTTATTTCTTAAGTTTATGTATATTTTTTCTGAAATTGGGAACACGGATGATCTTTTAATATTGTGAACAATTTTTCGGACCGCTTCTGTGGAAGACATATCTTACTTTTCTGGTGGCGACTGTCGGCAATTCTCTAAACGCCTTTAGCTGATAATCACAACAAATGTAGTTGTTGCTTCTCTGTTTTTGTTGCTGTTTTTGCGACGCCAGCAGCGACGTTGGCTGCGAATGATGGCGTGCCGGTGAGCAATTTCCATGAGAGCTGCTACGTCATCGTCATCAGCGCCGGCGAACAACAAACACAACAACACACATGCTGATTGGCATGCGAACAGGTCGCACTGCCTACATACAGTTACATATGTCGTACATACTACCATGTTTATACACTAAGAAAAGCAAATGAAGACACTTTTAAAAGTGCATATAATAAATGTTTTCACTTCATATTAAATTTGATAATTTTTTTTAACTCTTTGCATTTGATAATCTTGTGTTTATCAACAGTGTTAAGTCCTGATAAGTTATTCGGATTATCACAATCCCTACAGTTCGAATTTGAGCTTATAAAATGCAGTTGATTTGAAGCACTTGTCATGCAATTAAAATCGCACTTGAGAATTATAATCGCACGCTTGTAAAAAAAACCAATCGCAGACCATTTGCATACTAGCGTTCGTTCTTCACATTAACACTAACTGTATTTCCCTTCGGTATATGATTTGTGCATTCATAAATTTGTTTTAAGTGTAGCTTTGCATATTTGAATACTCTCCTCGGCGTCACCTATTACATTTCAGTTTCATTCCATTTCTGGTTTTGGCTTTCGCGCTGCCCCAGCTATTGCTCATTACACACACACGTTGGAGAGAATGTAGATAGACGGGTGTGTAAGCATGTGTACGTTATTACATACCTACGAATTTGTGAGAACGTCGCCCGTTACCGTTTTAGCTTTCATGGGGTAACATTAACCGCCCCTCCCCCTCCCCAATCCCCCCTCTCCGGACAAACCCCTCCACCAACCGCCCTCCCCCCGCAACCACATACAATACGGTCACAGCAACAACAACAACATCGGAGCATTGCACACCACACACACGCTCCTCCGGTCTTTCGGCCTGCTAATCGTTTCTGCTCGCCTGCTGGCTGCTTATGTTTATTTGTATATATCGAGCAACACAAACGCACAAAGCTCATATGCAAAACCCGCCCGGCACATACAACTCTACTCTACCGCTGCGAAGCGATATACTACACCCGTATACCCGTACAGCCCAGACACCCCGTACAGCTCGGTAACCCCCCGTAACCCCCCCTCTACCCCTTCTAAACCCCATCCACCCTCCGCCGGAAGGCATCCGCATCCATCAGAGCTCGACTAACAAACGAACACGTGTCTGGTTGCCTAGTCCGTCTCACAGGCGGGTTGTATGTTGTCCACTCGGAGAAACGATCTAATAAACCAATTTACAAGTTTCAGATGACATATACCAAAGGTGAAAGTAATTGAATTTCTAAAACAGCTGCCACATTTGGTGTGTTAACTAGCCAATTCAAACACTAATTGAATAATGATTTTGTAACTAGCTTTGCAATGTTTACCATTAAACATTTTAACGTTCCAGAAAATATTTTATGACTTGGGACAAATTTTGAGGAAATATATTTAATAATCTGGAAGAAATTATTGACAAGTTTAAATTTTATCTCTATATTATTTTTAAACAAAATCAAAACTTTTATCTTAAGTGTAAGATATGCGTTCATACCATCTTAGTCAAATAGCTTTAAGAGTATGCTAGCAGACGACCAAGTATTTACGTATGTTTAAGTTTAGAACCAGTTAGGGGAACCCATTTGCTCAGCTGATTTCGTGTAGACGAGTGTAGAGAGAGGCATACATAGTCATGTACGTAGTACGTACCTAAACACAATTGCTAAGTAAGGCTATAAAGTAAACAAAGTGCTTGCGATAGCAAGTCTTGATTTAAATCGTTTATGTTATTTGTGCGGAATTTATATAACACAAAAGTGTGTCGAGTCATTATAATAATAAATAAATATTTTTAAATCCAAATATTTATAAATTTTTCTTAAATTGTAAAACGTTTTTATGAAAACGTTCTGGTTTTGTATTAAATATAATTTTTTACTTATTTTATTATATGCAGTATATGTTTTGAGATAACACATAGGAGTCGACCAAAACAAAATATTTTTGAGGCTTTCCTACATTTTTTAAACTATTTTTAAAATAAAAAATTAATAATCTGGAAAAAATTGTTTATGTTATTTTTAAGCAATGCTTTTTATAACCAATTTCGGTAATTCTTGTATTGCCCAAACAACATGTTGCATCGATCGGCTTGCCCATCGAAGGTCTGGACTTAAACTTGGGACCTTCCCCACTCCGACGCAACCACAGCCAACATGTTCGAACCAAGGCCGATTCTCCACTCTCCAAACGGTCGTCTCGGTACATTTCCAATGCTGTTGATAAGGACTGCGGGCGATGCAAAAAGTAATAATAATAAGAGACCGACAGACTCACTTATCGTACGACTGAAGACTGCAAGATGCACACCTAAAAAAATCTCAATGAATTTAAAACGTAAACAAAAACTGAACTTGAAAAAAAATCAACCAAGTTACAAATTAGCTTATGAAATACAAAGTTGAAGTAGTATTGTGCAAGTCAAGATACTTTTGGAGAATTAGTTAAGGACATTATTGATTAAACCTATTTTGTAAGGCATTAGCATTAATGTATTTACTAATAATAAAGCATTTTTGAAGTACAAATGTACTTATGAATGGGGTAATGAACCTGAGATACATCTTTTTCCAAGTGAACAATAACAAAAGAATCGGATTGGCTTTCTCTTTAATCTGCGGCTGTTGCGTTTAGTGCACTTGCGACGACGTACGCACAATCTTGAGCCCAGCCCAAAGTGAATCGCTGAATCGATGCTGCTCCGAGTGCTGTGTCCTTTTGTGGTCCTCGTCCTGGTGACCCTGCAGCTGAAGGTGGGCGGCATGGCCATAACCAATGGACACTGCCAGAAGAACATCAGTGTAAAGTACCAGGTGCCGGTTTCCAAGAACCGCAAGGCAGCTACTTTAAATTCCAGCCATCCGGTTGATTTGGATAACTACGTGGTTTTCGAGGAGCGAGTGCGTTGGGACAACATCCAGGTTTGCTGTCCGGGCTACAGGACTATTCTGTTTGGCTTCTGTGAACCGGTTTGCCAGGAGGCGTGTCCCGCCCACAGCTACTGTGCGGAACCCGATCGATGTCACTGTCAACGAGGTTACGAGCCATCGCACCACCACACCACCCACCGGCCCACGGGTCATCAGCTGGTCTGCCGACCAATCTGCCAAGGTGGTTGCCCCGAACACAGCCACTGTGTGGCTCATAATGAGTGCGAGTGCCGGCCAGGATTCAAGGACTCGAGCAGCTGGTTCAGCATGAGCCTCCGCTGCGAGAGGATTCAGTGTGGCCACGAGCAGCGATACGATCCGGGAAGACGCGCCTGTGTCCAGATCGAAATGAGCATGGAGGAGCTGATGCAGCGAGTGGCCGAGCGACTGGCCAAAGGACTTGAAGCGGAAGCGGAAACAGAAGCCACCACGGAAACCTATAAGCCGTAAAGTGAGGAGAGGTGAATCCTTACTTCTTAATTCAATCAAAATCTTCAATATTTTATGTAACAAACTTTTTAATAAAGCAGAGCTTCCATTCAAAGCTTTTAACTTGTTGTATTACCTTTAGATTTGTTTATAAAATACTCAAGTGAAATTTGATCCAAAAACAACAAACTTTAATTCAACTACTAAAATCGAAAAGTCTCACAATTAAAGTTGTCTAAAATAAAAGCAAAGTTAAGTAAAGTAACAATTCAATTGAAATAACGAATATATTTCACGAGCAAGAACACAAAATACGAATCCCAGTTTAACATCTAGTTACGAATTTATTGTTGCTCTTCAGACAATAAAAAATGTTCATTTGTTCAGTTGGTACAACCAAATAGCATATACAAAATAAAACTTAGATACTAGTTGAAAGATCTAAATGGATCTTAACGGAGGCAAGCTAATGTCGTCCTAAGTATAATATCCAACAGTTAACATCAGCCTAAATCCTATAAAAAGTGGCACTCAATTGGCTTGGAAGTCCGATAAATTCAAATTCACATTAAAGCTCAAGTTCCGCGGCTAACTCTATCCTCTCTGATCATCGATTCTTGAAAGGAATCTACTCGTATAGTTTCTCGATCACGTCGGCGTACATTTTGGAAACCACGTTGCGCTTGACCTTCAAAGTGGGTCCAAGTTCACCGGTGGGAATGGAGAAGTCGTGCGGCAGAATGGTGAACTTCTGCACCTTTTGGGCGTTGGAAATGGACTGTTTGTTGGCCCGCTTGATGGCGTCCTCGATGGACTTCCACACCTTGGGGCAGGGTCCTGCGGCCAGGATCTCCGACACGGTCTTGTACTCCACACCCAGGGACTTAACCCAAACAGAGGATTCGTGGCTCAGCTCGTCCAGAGGCTCACCAGTTTCTTTGTCCACTTCGGTCTGCAAAACACCGATTTTTAGTTATTGGTGTTACTTATACTTTAGATATTTAATCTTTAAAATAACTCACCTTAATGGTAATCAGCACAGTGAGATACTTGCGCTGCTCGCCCACCAAAAATGCATTGGAAATGGCATCCAGCTCCTTTTTGATGGTGTTCTCGATGTGCACAGGTGGAATGTTCTCTCCGCCAGCGGTGATGATAATCTCCTTGGATCGTCCAGTCAGCGAGACATATCCCTTGTCGTCCACATAACCCAAATCACCGGAGTGCAGCCAGCAGTCGTCGTCCAGCGCCTCCTCGGTCTTCTCCTTATTATCGATGTAGCCCATGAAAACGTGACGTCCTCGAATGCAGAGCTCTCCATGACCATTGCTGTCCTTGTTGATGAACTTGGACTCACAACCAGGCAGGGTTTTGCCAATTGTATTGAGGCCGGTGGAATCGGGCAGACAGATGGTGTGGCATCCAGCTGTTTCGGACATTCCAAACGCATCCACAATCTTCAGGTCCAAGCTGAGGAAGTACTTCTTCGTTTCTGGTGACATGGGAGCTGCGGCACTGGCCAGGGTCAAAACCCGATCGAAGCCGAGGGCCTGCTTCACCTTGGACATGATGAGCGACTTGGCAATCTTGTAGCGAAATCCCCCGGAGCTCTTACTGCGAGAAGTTGCGGGCGAAAAGTTTAATTAGCTTTGTTGACTGATGAGTTTTTGTTGAAGGCTGAGCGGAGGGTGGTTGGGTGGTGGGTGATAATGAGGTGGGTGGTGCTTGCGAATTAGGTGCACCTCAATAAACAAGAGTACATAAGCCGATTGTGCAAATGGAAATATGCATTAATGGAAATGCACACTAATTGGAAAGGTTTTTTTTTTGTTCTACTGAAATATTCCTTTTAAATTCCTTGTAAAATGAAGTAAACTTTTATTTGTGCTTCTCCAAGTCGTTTAAAAATTTCTCAAGCTGTTTTTAGAATTGCTTGCCATTTTAATTTTAAATTTTTGAATTACTTTTTATTTTTGCTTGGTTTTTGGATCTCCTGATGGGCTTCGCAATGCTTCAATCACTGCTCAAGTATTTCCACTTAACAGGACCTTTCCATCCCTTTCTATCTCTACTCCCACATGCATCCTCTTTTACTTAGGAGGACGTGCCCGCATGGCGTGTCCTGGCGCTTCTCCCAGTTCTGATCCTGCTCCTTCTGCACTTGCTGTTTTCTATTTGCTGGTAAATGCCAGCAGCAGCGGGAGCTGCCTGCGTGTTCCACGTGACGTATGAGTAATGTTGTTGTCAGTGATTTTCGCTTAAACCAGAGCGAGGAACGCTGCCGTTCCTGCTTGGCTTGCATAATTTAGCAGCAACCGAAACACGGTATACAGGTGCACAGAAAAAAAAAACAAAATAGATTCAGCACAATCTTGGTTACAATATCTGTTAATTGACTGCCTTTAAAATCATTATGTTTTGCTTTAGGCTTTTCAAATTAATTTAGTCATCCTACCCTGCTAATGCATTATTTTCTTCCAGTGCCGTTAAAGCCTTGCCAGGATTTAGCTTCATGGCTAGAAAGCTGGCCGAAAAGCAAACTGAGACATGAAAAATGCAGGCATGGGAGTTGGAAACGGAATTCTGTCGCTGCAGCCACTTTAACTGTGCATCCTTTTTGCATAATTTATGCGCGCACAAAGTCGGAGTTTAAGTATTTGAAGTAGAAGATGAAGTAGAAGTAGTGGAGGTTCCATTGGGGAATACTTACCCTTGACTCACCATGTAGTGCTTCAGCGTGATGCCCTTGGCCCAGCTGGCGAGCATCTTCTTCAGGCTTCCACTGGAGCTGGCCACCGCGACCATTCGCTCCTGGAACTTCTCGTAGACACGCGGCACTCCCATGAATCGCGTGGGTCGAGCATCCTGCAAGGACTTCACCAGTGTTCCTTTAAGCGCATCCTTGTCGGCGAACCAAATGCAACCGGCCACAAAGGCGCAGGTGTAGATGTCCACCGTTTGGGCGGCCACGTGGGAGAGAGGGAGATAGGAGACGATCGCCTCCGCACCCACGACCACCCGGTCCATGGCCTTCACAATGCCGCGCACGTCGAAGGTGATGTTGTCGTGGGAGAGCATCACGCCCTTGGGCATTCCCACCGTGCCGGAGGTGTAGACCAGGCAGCAGCACTCGTTGATCGCCACGTTCTCTAGGCGAGTCTTGTACTGCTCCTCCACGTCGGCCACGTTCATCGATTCGATCTCCGACCACTGGATAACAAATAAAACATAATAAATAAATATATATATATTATATTTTATTTTTATATAGTACGACACAACATTGTAGTAAACTCAACATTCTAAATTTTATTGATTTATCCCGGTCTTAAATATTCTTGAAGCCATTTTATTTTAAGTAGAATGAAGAAGCAATATTGCTTTATCATTGCTTTATAAACACCATAATACCATATAAGTATATATTATATAGGATAAGCCATAAAGCCGTATATCGTTATGAAAATTATTTTATGAAATTACTATTAATACAAAGAAAAAAAAATACTAAAAGTTCCTTTTAATAATTATGTGGGGAATAAGAAATATCTGAATAAAAGCAGCAATTAAATGCATCAATTTATATTTTGGACAACTGAGGATTTAAAATAAATAAACACAATTAATCGAACCCAATGCACGCTAAAGCTTATTTGGCTTTCCATGTATATTTCAGTTGTCGATATTATAATAATTAAACTAACAAAGTTAGTGATTAATGCAATTAAAACGAGAAATTGCAATCGAATTAATGAAATGAGTTAAACAAATGCAATTAAAACAGCTTCGTGGACAGCGAAAATTTCTCACACATCGAAATACCATTTAAGATTGGTTTCAATTTAAAATGGGTATAACCCACTCACCCTGTAGTAGCCATCTTCCTTCTTGAGGTAAGGAGCATATGGCTCCTGGATCTGGATGGCTGCCTTGAGCTTGGGCAGCTTGTCGCGGATGGAGTGGATCTTCTCCATCTGCTTGGCATCATCCACCACGACAATTTGGGCATGAGAGCTCTCCAGAACGTGGAGAACCGCATCGGCGGAGTTGGTGGTGTAGATGCCGGCGATGATTCCCCGAGCGTGGATGGCACCCATGGCCGAGTAGAACCACTCGGCGCAGTTGAAGGCCAGCACACCCACCGAGTGGTGCTCCTCCAGGCCGAGTTTGATGAAGGCCTTGGCCACCTGGTGCACCTTCTCCTCGTATTGTCTGCGGGTGGTAAAGGTTCACAATTCGGTTAGCGTTAAGTGAATCGGGCCCAAATTGGCAATTGGCCAGCAATGCGATTAGCGGTACTCACTTGTAGGTGACCGTGTGATAGCCGTTCTTGCCGTTCTTGGTCCGCAGGGCCGGATAGTCGCCGTAATTGTTGACGGTGCGCTTCAGGAGGCCGGGCACTGAGATGGGCTCCTCGGCGCCAATTCCCTCCTTCGCCAGCCGAATCTTGACGGCATCCTGGCGGTTGGTGGTGCGGTACGAGTCCGCCTGCCTGAGGCGGTTCGGGCCAGGACGGTTGTAGAGCGCGTCTATCGCGGACATCGTGTAGGTCTGGAATTAAGTAATCATGGCTATAGATTAATTATTAATTTTTTATACACAAACTACATTAAGCCAATTAAATAATTCATTGTAGAAAACATGTTGATTGAAAAGTGTTACATTACACGTGTTAAATAAATAATCACTGCATATTAATAAATATGAAGAACTTATTCCCTCAGGCATAAATTGTGCAATTACTTTCTGCGATATGTTTTTAACTGTTTACAAAGTGATTAAAAACATTTCCACGCCACAACGCATATGTAAGCAACATAAACATAACATATTTTTATTTAAAGTGGCAGTGACATATCAAAACACCATGGTTAATCCAGCTTTATGGAAATTGCCTTGTCGCCTTAAGTCGTACGATCTATGACTCAAGTACCTGCGTTTTTAACTTTCGAGATAAGATTCACTTTAGGAGGCCTATGTCAAGGCTTCCGTTTAAAGGGGTGTTCTTTTTCTTATCTTATGCGTAGCACTTGATTATTAGGTGGCAACCAGCAATGTCAAGGTGGAATGTATGTGTTCAACACTTCTAAAGGGAAACATTAAACAACAAATTGCTTTAACCATAGAAACCAACAAAAAGACTCATTAGAGTCCCAAACTATTCCCCTGATTATGGTATAATAAGTTATCATGCTCTGGCGCTTATCAAATTTGGTATATCAGAAGTCGCTGCCATTCGACACTGGTAAGTTCTTTGAATGGGTTTTATTTTTGCAGTACAAAGGCCAAGAATCGTAATTCTTGATATCTACAATAATGTCTGCTTGTTTTACTTTGCAGCTTTTGTTTTTTTTATTAATCAATAAATTCTAGGCATTTGAGCGGCGATAAGAACCAAAATAAGCAACATGCGGCTGGAAAATTAAGAATAAAATAGCAGTAACAGCTGACATAATAGTCAACTGAGTCCAAAGGGTCGCAAAATAAATTACTTCCTTGGAATAGCTGAAAATAATAATTATTAGATATATTTTATGAAGTTTTACCCGAGTGATGGGCATAGACAGCAAAAATGATTGGCAGCTAAATTGTGCTGTTAGTTTTAGATTGATTTACACGGAAAGACCCCAGGGGCAAACATTATCAGGTTAATGGAAGTACGCCTTCCCAACTTTCGGGAGATATGGGAGGCACCTCCAGACATTAACATAGTTTACTCGAAAATCATAAATCATGGGCAAATAAATAGCTGTCTGCTGATAATATTTAAAAGTACTCAAAGTGGCGCACGCAATCGAGGCATGGAAATGAGTGAGTAATTTTCGCTACAAAAGTCAATCCAAGAACAGTAAGACTTTTTAGAAATTTTTGTTTTATAAACTAGTGTTTTTAGCATTTGGACCGGAAGAACTGCACTATTCAACGACTCCTTATACAACTGAACAACTGTCTAGAAAAATGCTGTTTGTTCCATATGTTCTTATGATTCAAAGTGAGCGAAACGGGAACCAAATGAAACGTAGAGGGAACTATAAAAAACCGGCTTTCCGATAAGAGAGAACTCGGAGACATTTGTCATCGCGTGATGATCGGGTGGAAATGTTGGGTGCCCAAACCAAACCAAACCAAAAGCAAAACTACGCACTGCCGCGCAGAAATTGTGTATGAAAACAAAACCGATAATGGGGCACAGCATCTAAAAATATTTGGCAACTATTCGGCGAATATTCGGCTCCCCCAAACGAAAGACATTTCGAAAGTGTGGGTAGCGAGAGCACAGAGAATGATCTGAAAATGGAGAACTCAAAAGCTAACGCTTGACCGTGATGTAAAAGAGGCTCGATCGAAGGCAAGGTGAAAAAGAAATAGGGAATTCGTGCGGCGAATTCAGATCTGTGCGGTGGGTGAGCAAAATCGGTGGATGGATGACAATGAACCCACCGAAAAAGTGCACTGACCCACAAATTAGATTAAGACAATACGAATCTCACGTGTTGGGCGGAAGTCACGAACTATCCAATTTAGGCACACATTTGTTCTCTAGATTTCTTTCTAGTTTCTATTGTTTTCCCTAACGAACTTACATAATTAACTAGCTGGGTTTAATAGAGTTTTCGATATAAGTTATTTGTCGGCCACGCAATTCGATTTTCGTCTATAAAGCTCGAGACCGATACGTTAGCACACACGACCGCAGGCAGCGAGGGCAAAGCGTGAACTGAACGCGTTCAGGATCGGATGCTATAGAAAAGACTCTGTCCGTCGGGGCTTCGATCGCTCTGCCGGCGTCGGCGTCAACGTCGACGTCGATGTCGATATGGGCGCTACCTGGTACCCCCTTATCAGCAGCATGCGATCGGCGTCCCGCTCGCTCCAACTATGCGGGAATACAACCGAATCTTTCCCAATAATAACCATATAGCTTCTTATCAGTGGGGCGTGACGGAACCCTTACAATGAATATCATAAAACTAGGATGGATCCTTTTTGGATATTACAAGAAACATGATATTTTGGGGTTGGTTATAGTGATAAGACTGGTTGTCGCTGATATTACAATTGGATGTAGTTTTACAAATTTTTTTGTATCACATAACATGCAATTCTATTTCAAATACGATAACAAAATACGAAGCTACACAGAATTTTGTTTAAATTAATACATGTAACGATCTCACTGATAACCTCAGAAATATTAAGCCTATAGTATATGATTGCGATTGCTAAAGTAGTTTTAGCAATTACGCATTTAAATATAATGAAGTTTACTATGTATTAACCTTGAGACGGTACTTGAACTTGGGGGGCTTGTCATTATTTTTAAAATAATACAAATAAAATGCTTACCTGGAAAACCATTTTTTTTTTTATTCCTATCAGTGTACTTCAAGATTTTCCTAATAATACGCACAACTAAAGTTAGTTATCACAAATAAGCCTCCTTATAAAAATAAGTTTGAACTATGCAGGTGTTCAGCCAATTATAGACTATTTAAATTCGGCAAAGTCAGGCTCTTTTATTCCAAAGGGGGCCAAGATAACTGGCATTCCGGGAAAGTAAAAACAGATTATTATAAGATAGTTAATTAAAAAAAGAAGAACAGCTGATCCAAATGCCAAATAATAAGCCGTGACTAGCAAGATGATAATAGTCAAATGATTCACAGAAATTAACCAAATTGTAAGTAAATAATTGGAGGGCTTGATAAACGCTGATACCGATACCACGTCAATAATTATGAGGGCTATATAAACAATAGGGAGATTCACCTATCAATTCATACTGTTGCCAATCGTTGGTTCTTCACCTATTGGGTGGCATTTTCGGCGTTTTTATAACTCTTATCGAAGTACACAAGCTGGAAAACATTTTATGATCTGATAAACACGGAACACTTGACCAATGGTAGGCCATTAAACTGCTGCCACTAATGCAATATATAAAGCGGCAATTCCCTTTAAAATTTATGCCACATCCGTGGACATAGTTCCACCTGTCCAACGGTTCAACTCCAGTTGAATTTCATTTGGCACAGTCACGGTTCTACCAGAAAGCTGATTATCCCGTGAAATTTAACGAGGTCCTATCTGTAACCGATTAGATAGTACAACTCCCGGTCCGTATAAATCACAGCTTACTAGGATCTCCCCGATTAAAATGTCTATGGCCTTTCCGACTATCTCCATTGAAATCTTTACTAGTTAATCAGTTCATGCAGTTCCCTTCAATGTACGTTTATTCGATTAGCGGCGGTTTATATTTCCACGGAGATTATATAAAAATTGTGATGTTAAGTGCAGCCTTATCGCCTACACGCTAACGCAATATGCGATAATATTTTTAGAAATATTTTTAAAACAATACCTATGGGAGTGCTGGGAAAAAACTGCCAAAATTATTCGGTTGTTTTTTGTTATCAGCTGCCGAAAGCATGTCCACAAATTCGCGTGGCTTCTCCAAGTACGGGATTTCACCTGTGGGTCATCCCACATCCCAAGTCGTTGATAATACTAAATTTCCGATTTTTTTAGGCTCCCCGCCTAGACCTAAAATATTCTTTTGAAATCCTATTTTTTTTTTATTTAAATTGGGCTTCAATAAACAATTGGTAGTCACAATATTTACAAAATAGTAGGGGAGAGTGGGGCATTGTCGTCACTTTTTTTTTAATTGCGTAATTTGTTGATAAAATAACTTATTTTTATCATGTAATATACATGGTTGGATTCGGAAAAGATCTGGCTATAAAATGCAGTAAGTATTTCGGACATCCTCTCACTTGTTTATTAATACGAAACTGTTATCTGAAAGAAGTCAAAATTGGAAAATTGAAAAATCGTGGGGCAAAGTCGTCACCCCCTGGGGCAAAGTCGTCACATAGAATAATGAATGCAAATATAGGAACCCATGTGCACAAAACTATTTCAACTTGTCAAACACACATTTATTGATATTCATACATATAAAAAAGTGGAACACTATATCTATTTTTTGCAAAAATTTGACACATTCAGATCTAAGTGAAGGATAGAAAGCAAAAATCAGAATTTCTTTAAGATTTTTCTTTGGGCGACCTCTTTTTTAGAATTTTATTTTTTTTGAAGAACATTTTGGAGAAATTATATTTTATATTTAATACTTTACATAAACAATCACAAAACAATAATAAATTGATACGAGTTTGTATTTCAGTCTGAGATAATACAGTGACGACTTTGCCCCACCCGTTGAGTGACGACAATGCCCCACGCGACATTTTTTGATAAAAACATGAATAACAAATCGAAACTCGAATCAGGTGTTACACAACCTACCATCTCGTGTTCGCCAAACATTTCTCAACAATAATAACTCATCTTTATACTTCTTTGATCAAAAATGTACTTGGAAGAAAAAAGTTCTGCGCCGGAGAAAAATTACTTTTGAGGCTCCGAAACACTTTCTGATGAATAAATAATTACACATAACCTATAATTCTCCCAAACTCCGTTGGTAATGTAGGAATAGTGCAATACACTTACGCTAAAAAAATTGGGTTGGTAGCCCTTATATTTTTTAAGATAATAGCGAGTGACGACTTTGCCCCACTGACGACATTACCCCACTCTCCCCTACATATATTTATTTTTCAATTTACTTAATCCAACTGCTGACCATTGAAAAAAAAAAACATATTGTAATTGGAAATTAATTAAATTAGAAAAAACTGCATTTGAAATCTGTTAAACGTAACAGAGGGATTGGTGAATACTTTTCGAACATACTGTAAAAGCTTTTATAAGCTTAAAAGCCTAGCCAACATTTCATCCGGCGGAATACTTTACAAAGCTTTATGGTGAATGTAAAATAAACAAGAACACAAAAGCTAACACTCAGAAAAAAATAAATTTCTTTTTCTTCTTTGGTAATATTTGCTATTAATACCTTATGGTATTATTACCTTAAGGTAGCGTTACTAAATAGCTCTAATTTAAAATAGCTAAACCTACACTATTTGGATGTATCACATATAATTTTATTAGTTTTATTTATATTATTTTAAGAAAAGGAAAAAAACAACTCCCCACCATACTATAAAATTTGTATACTATGAAAAATCATTGCAACATCTTTCTTATTTTGAAATACCTTCTTTGTTCTCTTACAAAGCAAATTAAATCAATTCCTAAAGTGAAACTGGCAGTTGCAATTCGATTGGCAGTCGCCGTTTATTCCAACAAGAGCCGAGAAGAAAGTGCGCATCTATCATTGAACTGGCTTTCGGATTTTATTCCCGATTATATGACAACATAACCCGCCGAGCTCTGATTCCGATGTCATGTTAATGAGATTGTCATCATCAAAGTTGGCATCGGATTACTTTCGCCTGAGCTGCACAAAGTTCCAGTTGTTTACCTCCTCCACCGACCCACTAAACGCATGCAAATGATGTGATAATAATGTCGGTAGGGGAACGGGAATCGAGGAGGTGCCTTTCCTCACAGACATATATGAATGTTCACCGGGGGTTATTTAAAAATAATGCTTAAACCCATTTAAACGAGAGGTAAGCAAAGCAATGAACGTGTCCGGGCATTTCGAAATATTCTGAGGGTGGAAGGTGTCCTTTGGCGAGGGGTGAAACGGTTGGGTTGGCATTACAAGTGTTTGGCTAATTAGCTCCGTTTAATTGTGCGACACCAGCACAAAGACAGAGTCACAAACAAAGTCAGACAAACGAAAGTGAACTGCATATAATTGACTTGACACGCCCCCAACAAAATATCCAAACAAAGAAAAGAAAAGATATTCTAGAGGCGAGAACTGCGATTAATTTAATGCAAAGGTTATCTCGTTTTTGTTTGTAATGAAACAAAAATTCTAGATTTAAATAAGTTGTGTTATTCTGCTTTGAAAATAATAAAACTTAGTTTATTAATAGCTTTTGTTTCAAATAATCAAAGTATTGTGTGTATATTTAAAATTCTGCAACAACATAAAATTGTTTTTAATTTTATGGCATTATCGGGTTTTCATTTATATCAAAGTGAAAATGCTATGAAAGCTTTTTTATTTGGTTTTCCCAAACGATCCCTGATTCAGGGCTAAAACTTTTTGCTCAGCTTTCACCCGGTTCTATGGTGTAATGGTTAGCACTTTGGACTCTGAATCCAGCGATCCGAGTTCAAATCTCGGTAGAACCTAGTGATTTCTATTTTGCTTATCTTTTCTCTATATGTTTTTTTATATTCCAGTTTAATCTCAGCACTGTCGTAAATTACGTAATTAAATTCGAAAACGGTGTAGTTTAAAAATGCATTGTTTGCTTCTTGCATTTTTGCAACTGACCAATCAAATCCGAAACGGCTGTCTTTGGCCACGGGATTTTGTGTTTCAATTTAACAACAAGGCTTCAACGTGAAATCAAACAAACCAACTGAGCACACACAGACAGTTGCATTTGCATATGTATGAGGGCTTCTGTCTGGGTTTCAGTTCCATTTCAGCTTCTGTTATTTCCTTTTAGCTTTAACTGCAACGAATAGTTTTGGGTCTCCAATAAAACGGCATTGGCCATAAAAAGTGGCAACTCATTTCGCGCTGAGAGATACGAAAATGCCTGAAAGCCAAACAATTGAAAATGTGGAGCTCTTTCATTAGCCACTTTGGCTGCCAACTTTGGCCCCAACAACATTGTTTTGAATAATTTGTCAGCTTAAAGTTTTTGGGGCAACATGGCGGGCATCTCACACACAGTGAAAATGGAGACTATCAGCAGACCGGGCGTATACTTGACTTTAGCCGACACTAAGCTGGCCATTATGAGTGTTTAACCAGCAGCAGCGTCGCCACCAAGTTTATATCTTTGGGTTGCAGTTAAAATGAGGAAAACTAGAGTTCGCTTTATATGCGGTGAAGAAAAGGTTATAAACATCATGATAAATATTTTAATTTATAAAATACAGACTATATAGGAATGACAACAAAGATAAAATTATTTTAGAATTGATAATTTTATATGGTATTTTAGGTAAGTGTAGTTAACTACAGTTATTACGATAGTTTAATAAGATGACGAAAAATAACTTTATTTTTTATAAAGGTATACTCAAACCCTATTGGATTCCAAGTGAAAAATTTGTATTAATCCTCTCTATCCAAATGTTGCCCTGACAATAAATTTGTGATCAAGTTTTCCGCACATTTGGCCCCTCAATAACTTGGTTTGTTGTCCTTTGACCTGTGCTTTCCAACAATAGAGCCCGTACAAGGAAAATGCGGCATCCAACACTGGATGCTAATAATAGCAAGCGGAGGAAACCTTAATCAATAATCGATATTTGACAAATTGCGTAACAATTGACTTTTCGCATGGCTTTAATTTCATACCTCGAGTGTCGCCCTGTCAAGAGCTAATTAATTGGATTGCTTGAATTGGAGAGCTGGCCACTTGACCAGCAGCCAATCCCTCTGCCCCTCAGCTCCATTTATCCTCAAGTTCACTTGTCAAATTTCAATAATTTAGCTCGTGAGCCAGACAAACTGAAGCTGTCAACGATAAGCCAGACAAGCAACAAAGACGAACATTTTGCAGCTGATTTTCTTAACCCCTTCGGTGAACTTGTTTTTGAGATAAAAAAATGGAAGGGAAAGAGTGGAGTTGGGTTGGATCAGGTTAGCTGGAAAACTGTTAACGTAAAACTAAACGGGATTCGTCTCGTGGCTTTTATTTCATGCGCTTCGTTGACTCGCTCCCACATAAAAACTCACCAAAAATTTTGTTGATTGCATTTAATGTGGCGAGGTGCGATTGTTATGGCCTTCCTCCCCATTCGCACTTTCCACATGATGCAATCAAGAGTGAACATTCGCGGTGTCTATTAAAACCAGAATGGGTCAAACATCACATGGGTTGCTAAATTTAATCACTAATGCTGCTCGACAGTTTGATGACTGCATGGATTTATCGTGCTCAGAAAACCAAATTGATTTTTTAAGTTAAGGGGATTCTTAGGGTCATCTAATTATTTTTTAACGCAAATAACGCCTGAATTATGATGCATCTCTTTTTATTGATTAGAAAATGTTTGCTGTTTATAATCTAAGTCAAATGGCAGTCCAAAAGTTAAATTACGAGGAAACTAAAATTTGTTAACATTTTTTTTAGATTCAATCAATAATCAATCTTTGTAATCATCGTTGTTTAAATAACCAACTGTCTTATCATCTTGCCTTGTTTTTTTAAGGGCGTTCCTTATTCTATCCAGAAACAGAATAATTGGCTCATCAATACTTGGCGGAATCAAAGGGAATCCAGAACCATGGGTTGCTCTCTCCACTGGAATAAGTAGCATACTCTCATCCACATGAAACATCGATTCAACCATCTTCAACATCGTGAACACAAAGTTACTGATAAGCTCGATCGGTCCGTGCCTACAAATCACTTCACCCAATGTTTGGAGAAGGTTTTCCTTTTCAGGGATGTCTGTCATTAGTAGTTTTTGCTTTAACAGTTTCTTTACCCCATAATGCATGCGATTGAGCTCTTTATACTCTTTATCGGCCAAAGGTTGATAAATAAGACCACTCCATTTCTTAGTACTGTTAGATAATTTTTGTTCAGTCATTTTAACACACTTTCTGTCCAAATCCGATGAGATTGTATTAGCCGCTTCATTTTTTGCTGAATAAATAAATTTTATGAAACATATTAGTTAAACTGCCATCAAGCGCATTACACTTACCAATTTTTTCCATATAGCTTAGCCAATCCGATTTACTTTGAATTCCAAGACTGGACAAAAGGTCATTTAGCGACTCGGAGTATTTTTGGCGGCCGATTTGCTCACGGTTTATTTCCTTACATCGTTTTCTGTTCATTATTATTTAATATGGTAAAAATAAAATACAACAAATATATTGTAAAACAACAAAAAATTTTGTGCACATCAACCAAAATTTTAAAACAAATAACTACGAATTTGTACGTTGGACAATGTATTGAGTATGAATTACATTTGCTTCCACGACCTTCAAGATATTTTTTTCTACCCCTACTTGATTCCAAAAATTTGGTCTTATCTTTGTCAACTTTCAAGCCAAGAATTGTCGCATTCAACTTTGACCAAGCACGTTTGCCATTATTCTCGACCATGAAAGCAAATTTTCCATTTACTTTGCATAAAGAAAACATTTAACTGCAGGTTTTCTCGCACAACAATTTCCTTTCATCGGTTCACTATCGTTGAGATTTTATTTTCTTTCTCTTTTTGGGATTGATAAATCGGACCGATAAAGAATTATGAAGCGTATCAATAAAAACAAATATGAGAAGTCGCCGAAAAAACGAACCGGAATGCAATAACAAAAACCAATAATACAATTTTCATAAAAAATGAATGCTGCAATTTTTCGCTGTGGCCGCTTTTAAGTGCTTGTAAGTGAATGCATTTGTATGAATAAATATTTTTCTGTTGTGTTTTCCTACAAAAACTTTCATTCGAGTGCTTAACTTTGGTTTTTATGAGAAAACATAAGGGTTATATGAGGCAACACATTCTATTGGGGAAAAGCCTAATAGAAGTTGAAGTAAATAACTTCTGCTTAAGTATCTTTAAATAAATTCCTTTTCTGGGGAATTTTTGCTCTTATTTTGTAAGACCTTTAAATCTAAATAATCTCTTCATCAAGTAGTGAACATGTCAACCCAAATTTCGGATAAAACTCTAATATCGTTTTGTGGCCAACTAAAGTCCGAGTTAAATTAATTAGCATTTTTATCGCGATTATCGTTCTGACAAATTTAATACCACCATAAAAACGTACTGTCACATCCGGGGATTTGTAAGCCAGAAATTTAAACCTTTAAACGGCCAGCATTGGTGGCTCTTTGAGCTGCAGCAATTTATCAACAAATTAACGCCCACTGAAGAGAAGCCACAAAGTGTGGAAAAATTGCCGCCTCATTTGGGCCAGAATGTCAGAGGTTCCTCTTGGAATAAGGTCAATGGCCAAGGGCCAGTTCCTAAGCTCCTAACCAAATCCGCGGTAGGCCCTGAACGACCATAATAATAATCAATATTTCCTCTGGTGGCAAAAGACGACCAAAAGACACTGGCAAGTAGAAAAATCCCGAGTTGCGTGTTTGACGTGTCACTCGAAGCCAACTGGTCAAAGTCAGGGGGTAAATTTTCCGGCTTGGGGCTTGGGAAAACGAGCAGCAAGCAGAATTTCCCCGATTTGGCATCGTCAACAGGAAGCACATTAAGCATTGGACTCCTCCCGAAGACGTGGTGGAAATGGGGGAAGGATAATGGACGAGGTGGTGGCATTCGGGGACATTTAAATTGAAATGGCCTATGATTTGGCAGATTTTTTTTTTCGGCTTGACTTGCTTAAAGTTGAGCCTCCTCAAGGACGACAAAACACACAGGACACGTACTCGGAAAAAGAGAATGAACAAACCAGGAATAGAATGCGTCGGGTCAGAGGATAGTCAAACGATTGCTTTTTATGGTGATGGGAATAGTTTATAAGAAGATAACAACTTTCAGTTAACTTAAATATGAGTTGGGTAAATTCACATATATCTTCCCAAGGACGCTTGTTTATTTCACTAAGTAAATAAAAAGGAACTTTTTTAGGCGTTAACGAAATAGAAAAGCTGAGACTTTAAGACTTACTTTTAAAATAAGCAGCTAATTGAGTTTAAAAAATAAATATTTATTCCAACCTTATATTACTAAAGTTACATCTTACATGACACAACAAACAACTAAAAGCCACTATTTAGTTAGAGATAGTAAATAAACTCCTACAGACGCATTTTTGTGCTATCTATAACACATCTTAATGAAAATCTGAATATGGGTATGTCGAGAGTTGTACAATCATGGACAGCAAAATCTGGTTTTAAGAAAATATTGTTACCTCGCACCAATCATAAATATAAAATTTAGTTGTGTCACACAATTTATGCGGCCGTAAGCAATCTACATGTACAATGTTCAAATATATGTCTTACCACACTTTTTGCTATTTATTTCCAGTTTGAATTATGGTTCTCCTGCCCTAAAACATTCAAACCAAACTAAGCCGAACCGAACGCACAGGAGAACTAAATTAAAAAATAAATAAATAAACCGCAAAGGAAGAGCCAACAAAAAAGTAATAGAGATATAGGAATAGAGGGACATATATAACGCCGCAAAAGAGGCGGAGTGGGCGTGACATGGGCCCTGGGACTTTGACGTGCGTGGGCCCGATAAAAATTGTGTTGTGTTGCCTACTTTTTTCGGTTAGACGCCCCTCCACAAAAGGGTAAATCGGATCCATTCGAAAGTTTTCTAGTCCAAGGCGCGTGTGTCGGTCAATGAACTCGGCTCCTCTAATGAGCTTGAACCTTATGAATAAGCCAGATATGGAATCAGGACAATTAATAGCCAAGTTCCTGGCTAATCGGAGTTTATGTGTGAAAACCATTCGTTGACTTAACATTAAGCCATTGTGGGTGGAAATGGAATCTAGAAGGGGGCTTCATTTGACTGGCATGCAGTCTATTTGCATATTTATCTAAGGCTCGGAGCACTGGTGACAACATCTCCACCGCCCTTGTCGGATTTGCTGGGGGTAAAAGTAATGGCACTTTGATGAGTTGCTCACAGGGGGTGGCGTGTGCAATGGATGTGCAAATAGGGGTCAAAGGTGCAGTGCCAGCGCTAAAATACTCGGGGATTATGCCCAGCCAGTTTCAGAATAGTCGCAAAGCTATATTAAGCTGCATTAAAAATGTGCACCGAAAAAAATAAAGCTTGTTTGAATATAGAAATATTTTAGAAGCTATTTACAGATGGTAAATCTTTTTATTATTGTTAAAAAATAATATATATTAATAAATTATCTAAAAGAATATCCGAACCTATAAAAATAATATAATTATTGTGATATTGCTGTTTATTTAAATAAAACAAATATTCAGTAATTTCGATTTTTGGTTGTTTGTATATTTTAAAGAAAACACAAATAAATATTTTATAATTCTTTATAATTTAAAATACATATCTTGATGATACTTATTGGTTTTTTATACCATTAGGGAAAACAGCCCATGATTCATGTCTCACTGAATTTAAATAAATCTTTTCTAAGAGCATCTGACAAATCCTTTTACCGGTGTATCATATACAACTGTTGAGTATAGCTAAAAAAAAAAATTGAAACGAAAATTCAAATCAAATATTTGTGCTAAGGCCCAGTGGAGCAGGCCGGGGTCAGCCTCTACCACCCATCCACCAGCTCACCCACCACCTCACCCACTACCTCACCCACTGGTCGCCCACTTGCAGGCGCAATGGGATTGCCGGCTTAACAACATCCTTAGATTGGTTTGTGCTAAAGCGCGCCAGGAACGCCGCTCGTGGAAAGCATGGAAATTGGCGCTGAGCAGACATGACAGGGCAGCCTGGCAAACTGGCAAACTGGCGAGCTGGCGGACCTGCAATCGGGCCAACGGGCAGACGGCATCCCCAGTTAACCCGGCTAAATGGCAGGGACCCAGCACATGCATTGGCATCGGCAAACAGGATAAACGGGAATTTGCATTTTATGGCGTCTGCGAATGCATTACCCCAACTCCCCAAACAACAAGCTCTTTACGGATTGCTCCCACGCCCGACCCTGTAATTGTTTAAATTAAGTTTCATCGAATAGCGCTAAATGCAATTAAAGTCAAACGAGAGCCGCAAATTATGTGGTCGCTGTCACTTGATTCGCAGGACATTCCCCGTATCCTTGCGTCCTTGTCACTGCATCTTCACATTTCGGGGGCAATTAAAATGTCAGAAATGTTGTGACTCGTCTCGTCCTTCGGTGTTGCTTTACACTTTTAATTGTCCCCGACAATGCAGCTTGTTTATCTTTCTTTCGCCGAAAAGGACACAACGTGAGCCAGAAAAGTTCATTGGTCAGCAAAGTGTAACATGCAGTGAACAAGGTTTTAATTATTTCTGTATTTATATACATATAAAAAGCAGTTTCTGTAATTTATTAATATAAACATGAACAAATAGTTCAACAAAATATAACTAAATTTTATCTAAACAGCTGTTGAACTTAAAGTTGATGATGTTTTGCTCCCTATTACACTATAAAGTATTTGTCAAATAAAAACGAAATGCATTCGAGCAGTTGGCTGAGTTTCTGCCAGATCCCTCATGGCTTAGAGAACCTTTTTTGGTTGGCAAGCGATATCCACAAATTTGCTGTAATTCGAGTTTTATGCAGCACTCGACATGCAATTTTGTGTGTTCCACGCTCATCTCGGTTGTCTTCGGTTTCAGTTCTTGCTTTCTCCATGGAATCTCCCCTTCTCCATTCCAAAAGGTTCTCAGTCAACTGTCACACACACATAACGAATGAGAGCTAAATGATGCGGTCTTGGATATTTTCCATCCTGGCCATCAATATGTCAGCGTTCATAAGTAGGTCGATGTGGGTAAAACGGGTGAAAGGGCAGAAGAGAAGGTTAAAATGTTGCTTGTTTGCTGCATGTTTATTGTGTGGATATTGATCCCTTATTTCCCAAATGAACCAGAATTAAACGAAAATTGACGGCCTTAATATTCTGCTTAAATAACGAAAGATAACTTTTTCTTTTAGTTAAAAAAATCAATGAAAAGGCTCCTCTATGTAAAAATTCTAATACCCAAAACTAAAGTATGTGGGTAAACTTCCTTTTAAATTTTAAACAAACCGTTCGATTTACCTTAAAACTATTAAAATCCGAAGGCGGTGGCAATTTGGACAATCAATCATTATAAATATAACCGTCCCCTTTTCAGCCCTGTCTAATTTATGATAATTTCAAAAACACTCATTGGATTTCCTGGGGCCAATGAAAAGTTGATGAATTATGTGTTAAATGCGCGATTCTCTGCATTTGGCAGTTTTTCCAATGCTAATGAATAGTTTATTATGCTCAATGAATGGCTGAGAGTGAAAAATATGCAAAATGAGTTGTGATCCCCTGAGGCAATTTGTCAAACCATGGGCGGCCTTACTAAGAACCATATAAAAACTAAATAATAAAAGAATTTAAAGAGCAGCCTTCGGTGAAGTTCGAGTCAAACTGCTGTTCTCCTAATTGCATAATTGTGGGCAAAGCAGCTTTTGTGGGAAGTCTGGGGTCAGCAAAAAGTGCACAGGGCAAACATCCTTACAAGGTCATTACACACACGCTCACGAGGACTTGTGCCTGATTTAGTATGTGTAAATATTTTGCTCTCCAAAGGCCCCCTTCAACATGAAAGGTTCCCTGTTGTAGTTATCGTCGTTATCCTGTTTGTGTGTGCATGGTCAGGACTCTTGTTACGAGGACACTAGGGCAGGAGTTCCTCCCTTCACCCCCTCGAACACTCCCTCTGCTCCTAATGTTCTATATCCCGCACTAACACACACACTCACACACTCAATCTCATACGCCATTTGCTGCAACTTCCGCTTCCGTTTGGGTTGGCCGAGCTCAATGGAGGAAGGGAATAAAGTGAAAGAAGAAGAGAGCAGGGGGAAAGGGGGAGTTGAGTTCTCAGCGTGGCGAGCTCTTGAAAATTTACGAGGCCTTTGGTCCTCTGTTGCATTCCTCAAATTACCGACACGCATATTTTATATTGGGCCTGCATTAAGGACCAGATCTCGCAATTCCGCTCTCCATTTCTCGGCCCATATCTATTTCTCTGCCCCATGCCATGGCTATCTTGTGCACTTTGTGGCGCTTTTAATTAACGTAAATTTATGCATAATGCGCTCGACCATCCCGATTTTCAGTCCCTTCACGGCTGCAAGTTACGAGCCATCAGTGAAATGGGAAAATTTGCAAATGAAGGGGAAAGAAATGTAAAGTATTTAATTTCAATTTTTAAAACTCGGTTTGTGGGTTGTTTTTATTAGATTTATTATGATAATATGCTAATGCTATGTAATACAAGATAATAAATCTTTTCGGTAACGTACGATATAAAACATAAATGTAAAATAATTACCCAAAATACACAATAACTGAGTGACATCATGGACTAATTGAAAATAATGGTCGTTAAAAAAATGTTCTGATAATTACACAAACTAAAAACATGTCAAACTTAAATTTACACTTCTTGGCCACACAAACATTTCCAACTAAATGTGTTCAATTAACAAATGACAGTTTTTCTATTTGATTTTTTGACAATTTACACATTTTTCGGTGGCAGTGTTGGCGAGTAAAATTTTTCTGACCTCTGTCACGGCATAACAAATCGAAATAGAAAATCTGGAAAATATTTCCAGCGGCTAGGAATAATAGCGGCAACAGAACAAATAAATTACCCAGCAATAATACAATTTTCTAGTTTCTCACATAAGCCGCTTTCAAATGACTAAAAATAAAAGAAACTTTCCCCTCTTTCGCAGTGGGCCATAAAAAAGTTTTCTTTGTAGCCAGCAGATGTAGGAAATGTCGGAAAAGCGACAAGCGGACTCCAACAGGAGCAGCAGAAACAGCAGCAATAGCAGCAACAGCAGCAACAGGTGTTTATGGCCACTCAATGAATGCCGGCGTAAATCTTGCATTAAGCAGTCCTCCCAGCCAGGCTCGCCGAAGGACCTCCCAGCATTTACGAGCCGGGACCGCAGCTACAACGGCCACCGGAACGGCACAGGTTGGCCAACACGACTTTACCGCCTTTACTGCGCACTCTCTGCAACATTTTAATAGGACACAAAAATTTAAGGTAAACTAAGATCTGTTTTTGGGATAAATGAAATCATTTAAGCCATACCAAATGGTTTGAAAAAACATTAAAAATTGTTAAGAGACAAGTTTTCTAAAAGGAAAATAGTTTGTTCAAGGTATAAATAACTTTATTGAATTTATTGAATAGCTAATTTATTGAAATAAAAAAAATATTTTTAAACAGCAGTCATAAACTTTTTTTTTCAATAAAATATTATAAAGATATAATTAATTTAATCACTTATTCGGTAAGCCTCAAGTAAATTTTATTTAAACATTAAAAGTGAGGCTTATAGTTTAAATCAGGAATTAGAATTATATTTGTGGTCAATTTTATGCTAAAACCACTTCTCCCAATGCAAAACAAAACCTCGATCCAAAAAGAAGCCAAAGGAGTGACGCAGTGGCAGGCGTTTTGGCAACATTCCTGCATGTTGCTGGCAACCTGCGATATATGTTGCTGCTGTCGCAGTTGCTGCTGCCGTTGTTGTTGCTGCTGCTGCTGCTAACTGGAGGCTCCTCCGAAAACGCTTTTCGGTTCAGTTCGCTTTGTGCGTTCGACGCGTGCGGTTCACTCTGACGGATAAAAAAAAATAATAATCGAGCAGCGGATTGTCCAGCAAACGGATTACTCGACTCCAAAACAGCTGAGGTGCCACCAAGTTTTGTAGGCGCGTGAACTCGTTACGCATAAATTAAATTTCTGGGCGCTGACCGCGTTTTTAACGGATCCAACGGCGGCAAATTGCGGCAAGGAGTCGTCGACAATACCGCTGCCGCTTTCCTCTCCACATTGCCGCCGAATTGTTGTTGTTGTTGCCTCTGTTTTGGTGTGTGTTTTTATTGGCGTTAAAGGTCGTTTACTTTTTGGCGGCATCAACAACTTTTGTTGCTGTTTTGATTTTCATCTCCCCAGCGTTTGTGTTTGTATTGGTGCCTGCATTTGTCACTCCGAGTGTGTAAATGCCCGTGTGTGTGAGTGTTTATAACACACTTTCAATTTTCAATAAAAACACAAAACGACCAAAACCGCACAAAAATATAATAAAAGTTCGCACACTGATCTATGACGTCGATTTATTTAACGCAGCAGCTCGTGACGCTTTAAATGCCTAGAATATCGTGATCGTGATAGCATATATAAAATAAAATCGAATGCATATACGACACGCGCTTTGGTGATAAGTGTAAAACTGTGCCAGCAAAAAATAATAATTACTTCAAATTCGGTATCGTAAAGTGATATGGAATTGAAATTTACATAAAAGTTAATCGAGATAGTGGTATTATTCACATGTTAATCAAGTGACGGATATGGAGAAGTCTTTTAAAATAAAACATAAAAAAAAGGGTGTTACAAATTCAAATGTACTTTTAAAAGTGTGTTTAAATAGCTTAAAAATATTTTCAAAAGCAGTTTAAAATGTGAACGCTATCAGAAAATGAAAGCTCAAGCAGCTTTTCAGTTTTTAAACTTATCATAAGTTTTAGATTCTCCTGAATAGTTATCTTTAATATTCTGTACAGGATGTTGATAAAACTTTATACATAATGGTTTTCTTAACAAAGCAGTTCCTAAAACAAAATGAAAGATTTATTAACTCCCTAAGCACAATTTGCGCGCAGTTGAATGTCTTCAGAGCAAATTTCCCAAGGCGAGCATAATGCATGTGAATGCTTCGCATTCATTACGACTATCTGTAGTCAGATTTCGTTTAGCAGCGAAGGGAAACCCCCAAAAAAGTGTCAATGCACCCGGGGCAGAATGAGTCTCAGAAAGCCATCAAGTATGGCAACATCAACCTAGAGAGCGCGCCCCGAGTGCAATTGTTAATTATGTATGCCAATCTGGTAGCCAGAAATGTTCACATCACTTTAGCGCCAAAGATACCAACCAGACAGCCGAAATCTCATGCATTTCATTAAGCTGGACACAAAGAAAAAACGCAAAAAATTTAAGAAGGAGTCCGAACTGATCACCCTGGTCAGCACCACCCACTGACCACGGGCCACAAAGTGTTGACGCGTGTTTGGATTGCCATTTAGGCCCCGAACAGAGCAACCGAGTAACCGAAATTCCCCACGATTCCAATTCCCACTTGGCCAGCATATTTAATCAGAGCCAACAAGTCTCTTCGACGATGCAGTGCGCATCAGTTTCAACTTAATTTGTAATCCATCAGCGGTCATAGCGTAACCCTTTTCTTCTTTAATTTACGAGCTTAAAGTTTTCGGAAAGCCAAAGAAAAAAAAAAAAAAAAAGGTTGCCTCGAGGCGTCATCAATTTTGGCAAATATTCTTTCTTGGGCAGCTGCCGCTGCTTGCCGCAAATTGCAGCTAATTGAAAAATGTATACAAAACAAATAACGAAATTACAAAAAGCGAAGCCTAAGTGCATTTCCAAGGCGAGCTGGGGCAAGTTAACGAGCCGCTTGCTTTGGGTGGCGAGCGGGGTTTTCTATTGATGACGACAGTTTATAAAAATTACGCATGAACAAACTCATTTTCATTATGAAAAGCCACAGACACAAAAAAACAAAAGCGCTGCAATGACAGACAGAAGTGTCATGCGAAAGATAAGAAAGTCGACTAAGAGTTATCCTTTCAGTCTAAAATAGTATCGTGATTCAATAAAGAAACAGATAATTTACCCGCTTACAAAAACAATATATCACAACTTTAATTTAATTTAATTTTATTTATATTTTTTGTTATATTATCTTGAATTATTCTTTTAACCAACATATACATTCTAAATTAGAGTACTTTGCTAGCAAACAAGTCTGGCGACTGCAATCACAAATTGGTAGCGCAAAAATAAACATTTTCATTTAAAATGTTATATTTATTGAATGGCGACATCGCTTTTGATATGATAACTCAAGCGTGGGCGTGGGCCTCTCTGTTTTTTTCGATCGTCATTGGCGGAAATTGTTGAACAGTGGGAAAAAGTGCTCAAGCAATTGACACGATTCCCGAAATATGTGTCGCGATATATGGAAAAACTCAGCCATAAACCGTATATGTATGCTTTTCATGGTGTTAATCAAAAAAGCTGTGCAAGTTTTTTAATGATGTTGCCACATTGGTGTAATTAGGCAAATGGAACGGGACGCAAAGGGAGTAGGAGAAGAAGATGCTGACAAAATCGTTCAAGCTGAAAGGAAAACTTTTGCCCTAATGCAATTTGCGCATTTGCCACAAATGGAAAATTTTCTACTTGGCTTGGAGCATTTTCCATGGCGACCCTTAGCCCTCAAGGTGTGACGATGAAAATTTACCCTTCATTGACTCAAAATGAGGTTTCACTTTCTTTATTCCCTTTAAGGGGTTATATACCTTTTTTCAAGTTCAAAAAATCGAAAATTTTTTTATTATTTTTTTTGATGTACATACTTTCAACAATTTTTCTGCAAAATTTTGTAGAGATCGGGGCACTAGAACCTAAGATACAGCCGTTCGTAGCGCACGGTGAACATGACTACCTAATGTCCACCTAAAACTTTAAACGCGATTATCTCGGAGTCGCATTTTTGAGAAAAGGTCATTGCGGTGAGCACGATATCTCGGTAACCACTACATCGATCGATTTGAAATTTTGGGGGATTGTTTGTAGATACAATAGCTAGTTCGTGAACGAAGGATTTTTTTTTCGAATTTTTTTCTATTTTTTTGGGGCGAAAAACTAAATTATTAGACCTCGAAAAATCGATTTTTTTGAAAAAACAATCGCTGTAACTGTAAAAAATTTTTTTCGTAAAATCCTTCGTTCACGAACTAGGTAACACTATATACTAACGTAGTTTTTTTCATTTTTTTTTTAAGTTGAGCCGTTTTCTTGTTTTCATGCTCACCGCAAGCCTCTAATGAAAAAGGACTTCTGCGGGAAGGACTATAACTTCCACAATACTCAAAATTTTCACTGAAATTTTATACAAATTAAGTTAAGGACACGTACTTTGATAAAATTTTTATTGAATTTAAATAAAACAATGGTAACATGCTAAAAAAAAATAAATAAAAACCATGTATTTCTCTGGTGAAAAAGGTATATAACCCCTTAAAGTGGGTGTGCAAGAATGCGTAATTAAGTTGTTCTATCAATTAATTCACAGTACACAGGACAAAAAATAATCATTGAGATGGAAATTTTCTCTATATTTTAATTTTATTTAATTTGTCTTAAGTTTTACAATTTTAATGTTATCATTTTTGAAAATGGTTAACATATTTAATGAATATAAACGTTCTGTATAGGCCCATTTTAAAGCTGATAAGCGAATATTCCGTCTTATTTATTGGTCCTTAAAGTTTCAACATCATTTCAGGCTTAGTTCCCCGAAATGGTTATAAGCAAACCGCAAATGTCAGTCGGCAATTACGGGGTACTAGAAAGGGAACCTCCTCCATCCTCAGTGGCCTGCCACTGACATCTTCAACCACCCATTCGACTGTTACCAATTTGGGAGCTATAAAAATGTCTGCAGCAAAACAAAACAGAGAGAAATGAATGAGAAGGGAATTTTCGGTATTGTTATCTAGTGCAGCGGTCAGAGTTAACCGGGTTCAACGGGTCGTATGCGTAATCAATTGCTGCAGCTGTGTCACGTTCTCAAAAAGATAGCCACAAATAAGTAAGCCCCGATCTCTGCGGGTCGATTTACTTAATCGAGTTTTGGACACATTTTCAGGTCAGTTGCCAGTTGGCAGCTGCCTTTGTGCTCGAAACTCTATTGATTGCCAGCCAAGAGAACCGAAAAAAATGATACAAATAACAATAATAAACAAAGTGGCATTTCCATTTGCCAAAATGTATTGCGTGCACGTAATTTCTCCAGAAATGAGAAGGAAATTGCGAAGAACAAAAAAGTTTAAAAGCGAATCAAGGGTCAAGATTTCGGGCATTAATTACTTTTGGGAATCTCCTCAAACAAAGATTCGAAAAGCGATTTCAGACACATTTCGTTCGCTAGACAATTGACCCAAACTGCCAATAAAATTGAGTAGCATGAAATGTAAATAAGAAGCCTTCTCTCTTTCTGGCTAATAGCTTGATTATGACGGCGATGACGTTGCCAATTTGCACCGCACACCGCCGAGGAGAATGTAATGAGAAAGCCATAAAATAAACAGTTGAATAATCGCCAATAATGAGAGCTGCCAGCGAGTTGTTCCCATCACTCCCTGGGGCCATCTCAAAGATACACGATATCGATTCGACAGCAATCCGCACAACAATAACATCGCAAAATACATATGAGCATCTCAACAATGGGGCAAAAGAAAGAAGCCACGAGATCAAAGCGATCAAAGTGCTCCGATCAGTGGGATAAGGCCAAAAAATTATCGGCTGGGAGGTGTGAACTTTTATGTGGCCTCAGCTTTGAAATTGATAATTGTTTGGCAGCTCTAAAAATAGATTCACATTCAGATTATGGGCTAGCAATGTTTATAATAATATTCGGATAAATGATACAAAATCTGAACATTTTAATTGATGATTTATATCTAGGCAATAATTTTGAAAAGGTATTCACATTTTGTTTGGTGTTTTATTGCCTTGATGATATAAAGCTTAACAAATTCTTTCGTATTAAAATACAAACTATTTAATTAGTTAAATTTCATACTCATCAGCCGCGTTTCTCCTTTCGAGACTTAGTAGAAAATTGATTTTCTCCTTAAACAGAAATCACATTTAATTATTTTGCTCTTAAAACAGATTCGAGCGCGCCAAAAAATTAAATAAATTATGCAACAGCTGTCATTAATAAAGTCGAGCGCGAAAAAGCCAAAAGCCAAAACGCAACAAAAAATCGAAAATATCCCACAATGAATCAAGGTCAGTGTAAAACAGCATAAATGCAACTGCAGCAGCAGCGGCAGCAGCAACAACTGCGGCAAATTGAAGTTGCATTTTGTGTTGAAAATCCAGTTTTTTATTTGGTAAGGTGCACTTGGAAAAAAGCACACAAGCAGAGATATACGAAAAACGCACTCGAGTGTTCGAGTGTTTTGTATTGCCTATTGATTTCTTTTACACACCGAGTGAGCTGAAATTGATTTCGATTTAATCAAGCCACACACAAGTTTGCATCTCAGATTGAGGAGAGCTAGCCGACGCACTGTTTTTGGGGAAATATAAATTCACTCCATGTCAAAATCAATTTTCAACAAGAAAATTAAGCTTTTGCCAAATCGGGTTTCATATTTTTCATATTATATTTCCCACCGACGTGCACTCACATTTACACTCGCATCGATAGAATGCCTGAGTTCTTTTTTTTTTTGGGGCGTGTCAGTGTGTCTGAGCTCTTGTAATTAATCGCTGCGAATGCAAAAATTTATGAGATTTTCATGAGATTTTGAAGCATTCTGCGGAGTTATGTGGGTTGCCCGCGGATTGGCATTGAAGTGCGTGGAAAACCGAAAAACACTCGCGGCGACTATGTGCCAAACTGACCATATATCAATTAAAGTCACAGTCACAACAAAATCGTGTGACAATTAAATCCGCAAAATACCGAAACGATTGACTTGGCAATCGTTCAGCTGTGAGAATTTGCATGGCTCAGCGAAAATCGCAATTGCGATAAACCGCTTTAACGATTATGTGATAAACACTGTGATTGATCTGTCACAATACCCAGTCAATGTCAACTAATCAGCCAGGCGGCTAATAGCGATATAATTAGTTAATTAAGACCTGTCCAATTTGTGTTGGATTTGGGAATTGATTTGGAGGAGATCTGAGGATTGAAAACAAAGAGGATTGGACCAATTTACAGGGAAAGGAAAAGCAAAACGAGAAACAACTATTGTTTATTACTGTTTTATTGCTTTACTTTACGCACAAATAGGCAAAAACTTATGTACTTTAACTCCAAAGCACTTTCACAGGTTATTGACAAGCAAACAAACAATTTTCCGAAACACTTAACAGGAGCCAGAATGTTTGGCTACCTCTTATAGAGTCATGAAAAGCGATTTTAGCCGCCTGCCAATTTCAGCAAACAATCACAATCTGGAAAACGTGTGCTTGCATTTGTCTGCCTTTTGGTTTTGATTTTCCTCCCACCTCTTTTACTCTGTTGTTTTGTTTTGCTTTACCTTTTCCTTTTTCTTCACACCCAACTGAGGGTGTAAATATTTGAATTTTCCCATTCGTTTGCAGATGGTTTAAAGTTTTCGATAGGGTTGGGCTAAAAGTTTACCTCGAAGATTTGTTGCTAGGGGAAAATAAAATCAGGGTAGGGTAAGAAAAACAAAACCATTTTTATATTAGATAGAGATCTAATGCATAACGGATTGAGTTCTTCGCCACAAATATTTTTATTTGCTTTTTTGAAGCACGCATTGCTATTTTCATCACCTTGTCGCCAACCTGTACAAAATCTTTCAAATTCGCATAAAAGATGCTAAATATTCGAGTGTTTATAATCGATTTTCATAGTAAATAAATAACAATCGATGTTTGTTTACAATTAGCAAAGGCGAGAGGAGCGAATAGATTATTATTCATGAATGGAAACGGGCAGGGCCATAAAATACTCCCCAGATTCGATTAGAGGCAATTGAAATCATCATAGTCATCGTTTGTGGTATTTCTTCTGATATTTCTGTTTCCTATCATAAGGATTAAAAAAGGTGTTTTGGACTTGCATTCAGTATGTTACAAAAGCATTATTAATATTAAAGGGAAGGGAAAGGTTTTTCTTGCAAAATTTGTTTCTGCTAAAACATATTATTGAATAGTTTTGTTATCTTGTCGAAATGTAACGATAATTCTGATTTGTCGGCATAAAAGACAATCATTCTTTTCCTATTACACTTTGCCATAGGCCATATAAATTGCTTATATCAGGTATCTTTAAGTCGACATTGTCAAGTATTTTCCGCGTCTTTTTGTATATTTTTGCCTTATCCACGGGCCACGTTTCCGAGGTGGCCAACTATCCGCGCAGTTGTTGCTGTTTTCGGTTGCTAGTGGCGAGGTCAGTGGAACATAAACATGCCATAAATCATCCGGCAAAAGTGTGAGCGATTTTGCGGCGGCGGAGGAGGAGGAGGAGGTGTTTCTGCCGGTGGCTCGTGCTGGGAAATCTCTTTTATTTTCGGACATATTTTTGTCCTTCCTCATCCTGCACCGAACACATCATCGTGACATTTAGGGGGCGCACAGAATGTGAAGTTAAGATTCATTTAGTTGGCTGGCGAAAATACATACAAAAAAAGCGATTCGTCGACACTTTGCAGCCCATCGCAAATCTAAAACTGTCAACGGACTCATTAATTATGACTCTCGGTCATAGTGCTGAAAAATGGGCCTTATTCCACTGGTTCAGCAGGAAACATTCTGTGTCAAATTTGTCATTCATCAGCTTTGTGTGTGGGCCCCTCAGCCTTTTGTTTCTGACAGGAACAAGGCTCGGTCCTTTGGTCACAAGTTTTGGCCAGCTCCTCATTTTGGCCCATTGTTTATATGAAGTGTTTCATGGGCTGCTGGCTAATTTTGTACGTTTATGGGTTGAAAAGAGGGAAAAACTTTCTTTTATGCAGCCATGATGAGGGTAATGTGACAAAAAACTTTTCAATATTGTGGATGTTTGACGGATTCTATTATTAAATTTCAACAAGTAATCTTTAACCCTTCGAACTTTTATAAATTTTTGCAGAGTTGCCAAACAGAATATCTATTAGATTTTCAAACGCTTATAAATCAAGTTGCATACTTTAACCGTAAAGAGGCAATAAATTATAGTTAAAAAACCGTGAGTGACGCCTCATTATCGCATCCCCTCAGACAGCATCAATCACCGTGATAACCCGACAAAGTGCTGCGTTTGAGCCACGTTAAGCGCAAAAACGCTGGCAATCAAAGTGAATTCCATTTGCTGCCGCATAAAATAGCCATATATAAAAAACCAAACCGAACCGAACCGAACCGAACAATGAAGTGCAACTGAAGCGGAAAGTGAATGCAAAGTGAATGAAATAGACTCGAACTGCGACACAGAATTGTGTGAGTGTGTTGTGCGAGTGTTAAGAAACCGCAACGGCAGCCGAGAATCATGAGCGAGAAACGAATCGCACACAAAACTGTCATCAAATGACAAATGCTTGACAGCATCAATCAGCAAAAGCGACGACAGCCACGATGGCAGCCCGTTGCCGGTGGAGCTGGCGCCTGGCGCTCGCTTTTCTGCCGCTGCTGCTGCTGCTTGTGGCACTGCCTCTGCTGGCTTCTGCTGCTGCAGCTGGCCATGATGAGACCAAAGAAAATCCCCTCAATCGCCGGGTGGAGAAGCCACACGTCCACCTGCAACAGGAGCCACAGCCACAGCAACAAGCCAGCGAACAGCCCGCCCAACTAACTGTGAATAGAAGTGCCACAACTTCAACTGCCACTGCCCCTGCAACTGCCACGCCCTCGGGCATCAGGGAGAACGTCATGCTGCCCTCCGCGGATCCGGAGAGGGAGGCCCAGATCCTGTACGAAAAGTCCTTGCAGGAGTACCACGGCAGCCAGCTGTCCTCCACCGCCTCCTCTGACGTCATCGGCGGGAAGCGAACCCTTCACGCCGTCTGCGAACGCTGGCTGCAGAAGCACTGCCACTGCACCGGCAGCCTGGAGGTCCTGCGGCTCAGCTGCCGCGGCATCGGCATCCTGGCGGTGCCCGTCAACCTGCCCGGCGAAGTGGTAGTACTGTGAGTATTAAACCTAAATTAAAACTTTTATTTAAATTTGATAAAAGGAATATGATCAGAGATATAAGCAGAGTAAAAACACGTGATATATTTCCCATTATCATATATACTTCTCTCAAGTAATCATACTTATCTAAAGTAATCTTAAAAGTAATTCTCGAAAGAAATTAATGTTTAACTTTGAGATGCATCTCTTAAACATCTAAACTATGTAACTCCAATTGAGTTCGTATAATCATGTTAAAAATCAAAGTGTAATTTCAAAAGAAAAACACTTATTTATTCATAACCATGTAAACTAACTACTTTAAGAGTTGTAAAAATAAGTTTTTATGCGAAACGAAACATTTTACACCCATTTGATTTTAATGTTTGCCTTAGAATAAAAGTTCCTTTAAGGTTTGATTAAAATACAGCTTGATCATTTCAACTTCAAGAAAGTGTTGGGCAAACCATTTGTTAAGTATCCTATTGGTAAACCCTATACACCAAAAACCCCTAATACCTGCTTAATTGTATCGATTAATAATTCCCAAACTCCCCTTATTAAGCGATTATTATATTAGGCCGACTCACAATCCGAGGTATTGAACCATTTTCCGCAGCTGGAATTCCGCAAATCGCATAATTACAAGTCAATTTCGCAGTCTTCGGTCCGATTCGGTGGCGGACGATTTTGGCATGCGGTTTAATCTAATTACACATACGCCACGTTGTGCAGCGTTTCGCAATCATCGTCATCGTCACCATCGCCGTCCCGTCATCATCAGCGTCAGATCTGCGACTGCTCACGTATGTGAGTCACGTTTTCTTGCCGCCGACGGGCTCTCTCAAAGGAGTTGGGAACCGCTTTTGGCTAAGCCAAAGTTTCAGCTGATTAATGGCCAACTCGAACGGTCCATAAATAAATAAATAATTTATTAATTAACGCATCGCTCTGAGACACAAGTCATAAGCCATTAAAATCACTTGAAACCTGCATCCTACATTCACTTTCAATTGGATTCTTCTGATTTTTTTGAAGACTTCTTGGCAAGCGAAACATTTTTTCGTTGCCTGGCGGTTCATCTTCATTTTTATGCCATTTTCCACTTTGCGGAGATCAGAGGGTTAGCTCAATATGTTTCCATGCCATTTCCAGTTTGATTGATGGCCCACAGAGACTAGCGCCCAACCCCAATCATTTAAGCCTCGTTTTCAATTCATGACAATGGCAAATGTTTTCTCTTTGCCTTATTGATGGATGAAATTTTGGCATAGAGAATGGTCCAATACAGTTATTAATTTGTTTATTGTTTTGTTTCTGTCATTCATTTCGCCAACAGAGATTTGGGCAACAACAACTTAACCAAGTTGGAGGCAAACTCATTTTTTATGGTGCCCAATCTGGAGGAGCTGTAAGTATAAGTCCCTGATTAATGTACCCAAAAGCTGGTGTAAAAATGTAACAGTGCAGTTTTATGGTTTCGTTTAATTAATGATAAATCTGCCAATTTCATTCATGGTGCAGATTATCCTTCCCATTCCTAATTAAGCCGCAGTAAAAACACCCAGCTCCCTTGGGGTATTTTAGAAACCGCAAAACTTCCCCGTTTTTAATCTGTACTGGACTGCAGCAACGAGACTAAAAATATGACAACAGTATAGAAACTTTCGTCATTTCAGCAGTCAAAGTTGCCTTCGCCGGCCAACATGGCAACTCATTATTCAATTTCACAGCAAACCCATCCGCAACAAAAAAAATCACAGCGGTCAACACTAGACCCACGAACCCAAACCAAACCGCAGATCCCCAACCCCGATTTAGGTTGCGACCCTTGGTAATATAAATTACTTGATTACGCTGTATATTTCAGCGAGTTGGCACGATTAATTACGCCCGACTTTGCTATCCTTGCAATTTCCTGCACTTTCGCCGACGACACTCGACTTTAGTTTGACTTTATGCCGGCTATATAGCTATAGATATAGATATACTTACTATTATTGTTGACCAAGGGAAGGTTTATTTGCAGAACTTTGTCCGACAATAGCATCATTAATATGGATCCCAATGCATTCTATGGCCTGGGTAAATTGAAACGCCTGAGCCTGCAGAACTGTGGCCTCAAGTCCTTGCCGCCGCAGTCCTTCCAAGGACTCGCTCAGCTGACCAGCCTGTAAGTATGCAAGGAAAATTGTTTAAAAAAAGTAAATACGATCCACGGATGTGTGTGTGTGTTTGAGTGTACGTGGACGTTTATGTTTGCTTTTAAGCACTGCAATTAAGTTGAGGATTGACCGCCAAGAGGAAGAGGAGGATAAGAGTGTCCTGCCAGGACTTCTCAGCCGGATAATTTGTTTGTTTTTGGGCAAACACACTGCAACACACGCATTTGCACTCGCCGAGCAATTACACGCTATTTTCTCATATTTTTTTTCGCTTCTCCGTGCTGTTTTTCGCCGACGCCTTTATTTTGATATTTTTGCAATGGCTGAAAGCACAGACAACTGAACGGCAACGCCCTGGTCAGCCTGGATGGGGATTGCCTGGGCCACCTGCAGAAACTGCGCACCTTGCGACTGGAGGGGAACCTCTTCTATCGAATTCCCACAAATGCGCTCGCCGGACTCAGAACACTCGAAGCACTGTGAGCAGTTTGACTTGCCTCCGTTCAAGAGTTCCTTAAACTAATTATAATATCATCCTGCATGTCCTGAAAATTTGTAACCCAGTGAATTTGGCCAGAACCGCATGTTGACTTGATTATTTAATCCGTGTTGCAGTTGGTCGCATTATGCATGTTTTTTCTATGTTTTGGCATGCACTTTTGTTGAACTAAACAAACCCATTAGGCTAATTATTTCATCATTTAATTTATGTGCGGGGGGACTGTCTATAATTTCATGTTACATGTTTACTAATTTATGGGCTAGAAATCTGGCTCACTAGCTAGAAAATTATTTAATTCAAAAATCCAGTTGATTTAAAGACAACAAACCATTCACCATGGGAACCCATATAAACTAACCAAAGCCAATAATAATAATTTTATGTGCATGTTTATACCGAACATTGACCCCCTAACTTCCTTCATCCGAAGAGTATTACCATTTTTAATCTATAAACTTACTCGAGCCACTAAAAAGCATTGAATTATAAACGAAAGTTAGGGGATCATAAAACCATGCGACTGCTCATAATTTCTCTCTTCTGCTTCCACTTGAACCATCGACAGCAATTTGGGCAGCAATTTGTTGACAATAATAAACGACGAGGATTTTCCGCGAATGCCAAACTTGATCGTGCTGTAAGTAATTGAACTCTCCTGCCACCTATATTCATGTGCACAAGTTGAAGCGTTCATTTCTCCTCACTTTGCAGCTTGCTGAAGCGAAATCAAATCATGAAAATCTCCGCGGGAGCTCTAAAAAATTTAACCGCCCTAAAAGTTTTGTAAGTAGCAACAACCATGCAAGAGAACTTCGAATACTTTAAGAACTTTGCTCAGGAAGCCCAAACACACTACATAGACCAACGAGACTTGACATAAACCCACTGACACCAAGGCGACCCAAAAAACTGCAATTGATATGAAATAGGAAATTACTTATTTTGGGAAAAAAAGCTAGATGATGGTTCAATGCTCTAAATTATGGAAATAAGCCACTGAAAGGTTTCTAATTAAATTTCAAATTTGAGATAAAACAGAACTGCCTAGGAAAAGTTTAAATTAATTTTCTGAAAAAGAGAAATTACCATTTTAAACTTAGAAGTAAAACTATTATTCTTCTGATTGGAAATCAATCAAACGTAGAAAAAAAACTACAAGTTATCATTAACTAAGATTTTAATGGCTTGAAAACTTTAAGCACTTTTATTTTTAATCAAAAGCAGCCGAAATACCCCATTAAATGTGCCAGGAGTGTTAAAAAAAAAAGCTATGATACCTCAAGCGAACACAAGTGGCAAGTGGAAATGGTGTTTATCCGTTTTGCGGCCATGGCTCGAATAAATTTCAATTTTACAGCAAAAGCGTGGAAAACTTTTCGCTTTTCTTTTTCCCCCTTTGCGCGCTGGGTTCAGTTTGGTTCGGATCCGACAGCTTAAATTGTCGTCGCCATCGTTGACGTTCTGCGCTGCTGTTTACCGCAAATTTTTGGCTTTTGCGCTGCACGCTTTTCCGTGGGCCCATAAAATCCGCTCGACTCCTTATCCGCCATATACATATATTGCCATACATATATTCCCACCCACGGCAGGCAGGAGACAAATATGCAAATTTATGTTGTGGCTGACAGAGTTCCATTCTTTGAGCGAACTAAGGAGGGGGCGTGGCCGGGCTTTCGAGGAATGCATTAAGTGAAAGTGAAAAACTTTCCCCGTGCATCGCGTAAATCTAAACCTTTGCGAAGAATGAGGGAAATATTCCCTGTGCATACTGCCGTTTGTCTTCAGATTTATGGGAGCGGAGTCACGCCCACAGAAAAAGGAGTCAGAGTGGGTCATATGCGGTGGAAAATGAGATTGAAAGTTGCTGGCGAGAGCATCTGTTGTTTCCAATCCCCACTCGCCATGTAGTTATCAAGTTTACTAAAAAAAAACAGTTCAACAATCATGTCGTATAAATATTGTATGTGTAAGTTTGTACTACATTGAATATTTAACAAAAAAAGAAAAAATGCTTACATAAAAATTGTTACAATAATAAATCAAAACCATTAAGGTATAGTTATGTTTTTTCTAAAGGTTAAATAATATTGTTCACACATAACATAGTTTATTTATTTATTGAAATAGCCATTTGTTCTTTTTAATATCTGTTATTTTGAATGTTGAGTAATTAATTGTTAAATTGAAGAGTAAAATCCTCTCACCATTATTGGATTTGCTTGAAAGTTTTATAAATAATTGAAATCAATGTAGTTTGTATAAAAACTCTCGTAAGCTTTATGTTCACGCATAAATTTGCATCCTCAACCAGGAGTCGCCCTATCGGAAATGGAAAACCGACCGCTTCGAACTACGTGACGTCACGTATCGAAACTGACCCCAAACAAAGTCATGCAAATGGCTCTGATTTCTTTTGAAAATATAACGCGGGAACAAAATTTGCAACTCAATTCCTATAATCGAAACCAAGAAATGTATTTCAAACCATCTTCTACTATTTTTCCTTCGCAGAGAACTGGATGATAATTTAATAAGCAGTCTGCCCGAAGGACTCAACAAATTGTCGCAACTGCAGGAGCTGTAAGTATATCAGATTGCCCAAAAGCACAGGTGTTCGACAAATATTGGTCAAAGTTGGGAAGAGGGAGAGCGGGGAGCACTTGCCACTGCCACTGGTGTTGTTGACTTGCCACGACATTTCCCAGTTTGTGGGGCGGCAAACAAGCGGAAACCGAAAATCATAACGCATCATTACTTGTCGAATTTACGGCCACATCCAGCCGCAACCGGCTCGATTCTATTCCATATCCTGTGAAAGCTGGCTATGCATTTTGTTTTTTGCTTCCTTGAAGAAGGAGCACAGAAGCAATATCGCTAGTACGGCAGCAACATCGCTGCCACAGCAGCAACATTGCGACGACGACGACAAAGAAGGTCCGTTGCAACTGTCATTGCAACGCTGACATCGTTTGCGATTGCAAGAACTCCCTAAGGAAATTCAATTTCTGGTAAACAGGATAATTATGAGCATGTTAAATGTTGCGATAAAAGCCACGCTGCGCTGCATCCCCAGAGTCAGTGCATCCATGATTGGGGAATTAAGCGGGTAAATAAATTTGTACGAGTGTGGCAGCAGAATGTCCACCCACTTCGACGACATGTGTGCGGTTTGTATGGCAGCGGCAAAGTGGCACAAACAAAAAATCAAATTTAAAAGGATTAAAAGCATGCAGTTAGCGTCTGCGTTCTGTTGACTCCACTCGCAAAATAATGGGAGTCAAGCCAAGTCAGGGCAACAAACTAGAAGAGATAAACAAAAAGATTTTTGCCAGTCGCAAAATAAAGTTAATTTGTGTGCTTTGAAAATTTAAAGGAAGTGTCGAAGAATTGAATAAGCTTTGTGGTTGATGACTGAATTTTCGCACTGGCAGCTTGCTTTCTAAGTGAACTCAGCTCGACACTTTGCTGCCTGATTTCCCCTCCAAAAATGCTGGCCAAGAAACACAGAAAGACGTTAACAATATGAACGCCCAAAAGTATGCTCTTGTCACAGTTTATTTTTGGCTCCGTTGGCTTGTTTGCAAGACTTGCAACTTGACTTTTAAATGCAGCTGCATCCGAGTGCCACTTGCCAGCAGTGTGTATCCGAAAGATACTTTTCTTGGCATTGGATAAACGTTTTTATTAAATTTCTGCCACTCTTCTACTCTGACCCTCCAGCTCCATCACCAGCAATCGACTGCGCTGGATAAACGACACGGAACTGCCCAGGAGCATGCAAATGCTGGACATGAGGGCCAATCCCCTGTCGACCATTTCGGCAGGAGCCTTTCGGGGAATGTCCAAGTTGCGGAAGCTGTGAGTATTCTTAGGGGTTGACTTTACGAGATTCGGACCGAGTTGTGCTTGGCTTTTGCACACACTAAAGAGGTGCCAGGAAAATTAAGCTCCTTCCTTTCCCAGGATTTTATCGGATGTCCGAACTTTGCGTTCATTTCCCGAACTTGAGGCTTGTCACGCCCTGGAAATACTGAAACTGGATCGGGCTGGCATTCAGGAGGTGCCAACGAATCTATGCCGTCAAACGCCAAGACTGAAGAGTTTGTAAGTTAAGGCAAAGTATTTGTTTTATGTATTAGAAACTAAATACCCTTACCTCTTTTAATAGAGAACTAAAAACTAATTCCCTAAAGCGCATCCCAAATTTAAGTAGCTGCAGAGACTTAAGGCTGTTGTGAGTATCTCACTATCAAATAATGTTGCTTAAAATATAATGAAGTTAATTCTGAACCCAGAGATCTATCGAGCAATCAAATTGAAGCGATTCAGGGAAAGCCCTTCAATGGACTGAAGCAGTTGCACGATCTTTTGCTCTCCTACAATCGAATCAAGTCCCTGCCACAAGATGCTTTTCAGGGCATTCCCAAGCTCCAGTTGCTGTGGGTCAATATAAAATCAAGATAATGCATAGATCCTATAAAGTTTATTTTTATACTCTTAGAGATTTGGAGGGCAATGAGATCTCGTACATACACAAGGAGGCCTTCTCTGGTTTTACAGCCCTCGAGGATCTCAATTTGGGCAACAACATCTTCCCTGAGCTTCCCGAAAATGGACTGCGTGCTCTGCTCCACCTGAAGACCTTCAACAATCCGAAACTTCGGGAGTTTCCGCCGCCTGACACCTTTCCCCGGATCCAAACGCTCATACTCTCATACGCCTATCATTGCTGTGCTTTTCTGCCTTTGGTGGCCATGTCTGCCCAGAAGAAAACCTCCCAGGTTCAGGAGGCGGTGCTCTTTCCCTCGGATGCCGAGTTCGATATGACCCTGTGGAACAACAGCATGATGAACATCTGGCCACAAATGCGTAAGTTAGGCATTTCCAATTTTAAACTAAAATAATAATAACAAATAAGCCTTTTCTATAAAAGTTCAAATAATTTTTTAAGAGTCAAGCACTTCTTAAATCAGTTATTTGTATAAAAATATCATATGACTTTAAAATGGGTACTTTTTATTCCGCGTAAAAGTTGTATTATATTTATTGGGTAAATGTATTTATTAAATTAAAAATATTTTCATTTTTACAAATCAATATATTCTAGTTTCAAAATAAGACTTAATTCTCACTCCCCCTTAAGAACCTTATCACATTTTACTTTCTCAGTGAAATAGTATATATCGATATGGTGGAGCATAAAACATAGAATTATTTCCCCAGATAATCTCAGCAAACAATTGGGAGCCGCGATGCACGATCCTTGGGAAACAGCTGCCAATTTCAACGAGGAGCAGCTGCAGTCGCAGTCGGGAGGACAAATCGCCACCAGTTACATGGAGGAGTACTTCGAGGAGCACGAGATGAGTGGCCCGGCCACGGGATATGGCTTCGGAACGGGACTCTTCTCCGGCATGTCCACCGAAGACTTTCAGCCGGGTTCAGTGCAATGCCTGCCGATGCCAGGACCTTTCCTCCCCTGCGCAGACCTCTTCGACTGGTGGACACTGAGATGTGGAGTTTGGGTGGTTTTCCTGCTCTCCCTTCTGGGAAACGGAACCGTGGTCTTTGTGCTGCTCTGCTCGCGATCCAAGATGGATGTACCTCGATTCCTGGTCTGCAATCTAGCAGCCGCGGATTTCTTTATGGGAATTTACCTGGGCATTCTGGCCATTGTGGATGCGGCAACTTTGGGCGAGTTCCGGATGTTTGCCATTCCGTGGCAGATGTCGCTGTTGTGTCAGTTGTCCGGATTTCTGGCGGTGCTCAGTTCCGAGCTCTCGGTTTACACATTGGCGGTGATCACCTTGGAGCGAAACTACGCCATCACCCATGCGATTCACCTGAACAAGAGACTTTCCCTGAAGCAGGCGGGTTATATAATGAGTGTGGGTTGGGTTTTTGCCCTTCTCATGGCACTGATGCCTCTCTTGGGTGTTTCGGACTACAGGAAGTTCGCCGTTTGCCTGCCATTCGAGACCACCACTGGGCCGGCCAGCTTGACCTACGTGATCTCGCTGATGTTCATCAATGGTTGTGCTTTTCTCACTTTGATGGGCTGCTATTTGAAGATGTACTGGGCCATCAGGGGCAGCCAGGCGTGGAATACCAACGATTCGAGGATTGCCAAACGGATGGCCTTGCTGGTCTTCACGGACTTCCTCTGCTGGTCACCCATTGCCTTCTTCTCCATCACCGCGATCTTTGGCCTGCAATTGATTTCCCTGGAGCAGGCAAAGATTTTCACGGTTTTTGTGCTACCTCTGAATAGTTGTTGCAATCCCTTTCTCTACGCCATCATGACCAAGCAGTTCAAGAAGGATTGTGTGACGCTGTGCAAACACTTCGAGGAATCCCGCGTTGTGGGCGGCGGTGGTCAGGGTGGGCGTGGCGCAGTGGCTCGCACGAAGAGGGGTGAACTCCCACCGCCGCTTTTGCCCGCTGCAGCGGTTGCTCATCCGCCCGGTTGCCGCTGCTTAAGGATGCTGCCCAGTGAGATGCCCAACTGGCACAAGATGGAGCAGACGCCGAGCTTGTGGCAGAGATTGAGGACCTTCTGCTGCGGGGAGAGCAGACGGAGACGCAAGCAGCGACGCCAGCCGCAGCAGAGGCGGCAAAGGGCTTACACCGCTGCCGCTGCGAATCCTTATCAGTATCAGTTTGCTGAGCTGAGGCAGCAGCGCCAGAACCGAGCCAGCTCCATTTCCAGCGAGAACTTCTGCAGCTCGCGATCCTCCAGCTGGCGGCATGGACCGCCCTCCTCCGCTCCCGTGCCGCCTGGAAACTGCAGCATGCCGCTGAAAATGCTGGAGCCACATGGACATGCGCATGCGCACGGCAGGAGGCGCCACTCCGCCTGGCTGATCACCCGCAAGACGTCGCAGGACTCCAACTTGTCCAGCTCGAGGAACGACTCCTCTGCTTCCGCCACAACTGCAAGTACTTCCACCTTCCGGTTGTCCAGATCGAGTGCGGGAAGCAGCACACCCTTGCCCTCGATTATCGGTAAGTAATTCCATATTCCATTACTCATATAAGATACGCTCTTTTAAGGAACGATAACAAAAAATAACTATTAATGTGAGTCCGTTTAAAAGAGCATACACTTTAATTTCAAGCACCAACTTGTTTAGTCTTTATTGAAATAATAAAGCTAAACCAAGTCTAATAAATTATTAATTTATCTAGAGCTAACAATAAGTTACAATGCAACCGCCAACATTGAATAATAGATATAATCAATTAATAATTAATAAGTAATTAATAAAAGTTGTATGTAAATCTAATATATATTTATCTAAAATTTATTACGACACTAATATTTCTCTGTCATAAATATTACCGTGATACAATAATACAATACTCTTTGGTATTCTTTGAATAAAAAATTATTTTGTTTAATTGACTTTTATCTTTTGTGACCTCTTTTTACACACAGCCCACAACGGCAAGGCGCAATTGGATGCGGGTAAGCCCCGTCTGGTGCGCCAGGAGGCTGTCCAGGAGGAGGAGGACTCGTCGCCACCCCGCCTGGGAGTGCGGTTCCTGCCCACCATTCCCTCGGCGGCCGACAGTTCGGTGATCATGGAGGATGGCGACTCGAACAACACGGGAGGCGCCGCCTTTCTGGGCATGCCACTTCCCGGAGTCTCCAGTGGCTTCCTCATTGCTCCCACCAGCACCGCCAACACTGCCAACAGCGCCACCACACCACCACCGGTGGTGCTGCAGCCGGCGAAGCCACCGCCCGATCCCAACGACGCACCACCATGATGGTGGGACTGGCGCTGGCGGAGGATGGGGGCATCCAACCGGGAGACCTTTCTGTAGAGGTCAAGGGAACAGGACGAAAGCTGACTGTGTTCATAGATTGTATACGGGGCGGGGTGGGGAGTATGGAAGCTTAAGGAAGCAGGGATGGTCGAGGGATTGGGCACTTACTCTAGTAAAGACACAAAGTAAAAAAAACCCGCTTTAGGCATCTGAACAACACGAAATAGTTTTAGCATTAAGTAGCCAATTTGTTAAGTAAGATCATACCGAAGATCGCGATCCAATTGAATCTTTTTGAAGCCAACACTTGACTCCAAAAGATGAAAGGATTAGTCACGAGTCTAGTTTCTTGATTTGGTGTCGCATTTATTAATATTTCATGAAATAAAAAATAATTTTACAAATTCCATTTTTCAAGTCACAACATTTTACTATATTTTGCATCAGTAAGTTTTCTATGCAGATATGTTTTTATTTCGTTTAAACCCCCTTTTTGTGTAGAAAATATTATTTCAAATCTTTTAAAAAAATTTAAAAACGGAAAAATAATTTAGTTACATTTCATTTAACCCAAATGGGTACCCTGACAACATTTTGAGAAACTGGGCGAAATTGACAAAGAGTATTATGTATTACATAATTTATTATGGTAGCTTACGTTCTTAACTTTTAACCATATGTGTTTAGCATAACTATATATTTATGTAAATGTGTGTATTATATTCGACGATGCCAAGCATCTTTCGGTGTAGAACTTAATCGAACGAAACGATTGTAAACGAAACCAAGCCATAAACATTCAAATTAAACTATTTCCACATACTGAAATCTGTGTTTTGATTTTTAATGAGATAAAATAATTTTTAGTTGATTTTTATGCTTACTTAAACTAGAAAGTTGTATTGAAGATATATAAGATTCTTATAAAAAACAACCCAGTTGAGAAGCTTTCAAAACATATTTTCCCCGAATTCAATTAGATCTCTATTTAAATATTAGGCAACTACAATTTTTCCTAAAAGGTTAAGTAAATATGTTGTAGATATATAGGCTTAAATGTAATGTTAAAAGAATTGAAGTTATAATCCAGGAGCCTTGCTTAGTCCCCCAAACCGATTCCCAGCTCATCGGCCTCCTCGCTGTTGGCCTGCATGATTCCATACGAGGGGTTCTCGATGAGATTGCTCCTCTGCTTGTCGCCTCCACGACGACGTCTCTGCAATTCCCGGAGCACCAGGAGTGGTGTCATCACCAAGCCCAAGCAGAGCAGAATGGCCAGGATGAACATGGACCAGTGGAAGACCAGATGCTTGCCGGTAGTGGGACTAATGAAGGAGGCGCCTCCCTCACAGGTTTCTGGTCCCGTGCATTCTTCGCCAGAACGACATCCTTTCGAGCAGATGGGTTCGCATTCACTGGTGCTTTGGGCCAAAAACCGATAGCCCGGCAGGCAAGTACACTTCTCCGGCGCCAAGCACTCGGCATTGATGCACTGCTCCCGGCACTGCGGACGACACGAGTTCGGCTCACTGGAGTTGGTGACGACATGACCAGGATCGCATTCACAGCGACCTGGAGCAGAGCAGCGGCCATTTTCGCACCTGGGAAAACAGGAAGGGACACACTCGAACGACAGTTTGGTGTCCTCATAGCCGGGAAAACAGGCACAACTATTTGGCTCCACACAAGTGCCGTTCTTGCAGCCAGGCGAGCACTCCGGATCGCAGATGGAAGCGGATCCCTGCCTAAGTTTGTAGCCCTCGTAGCAGCGGCACAGTCCCGATCCTTCGCAGTGGCCATTCACACATCCCTGTGGGCAGTGGGGTTCACAGGGACCGCGGGCCCATCTCTTAGCGAAACCTACGTCACACTGACAGATCTCCGGGGCGATGCAGCGACCATGCCCACAAGACTGGCTGCAGATCGGCTCGCAGACACTCGATCCCTGGGTGGGACTTGGCCTATAACCCGTGAAGCAGCGACACTCGTTCGGAGCCACGCAGCTGCCGTGCAAACAGGACCTCGTGCAGATCGGGATGCAGTAGAAGGAGAGGAGAGCCTGGTGGAATATTATTAACAAGATAAGTGCAAAGGGAATCGGGTAAGAAAATAGGTGTCGTTAGAAAAGTATTTAAAAAAATAATGTTTAATCCAAAATTAATGCCCCATAACTTTTTTTTAATGATGTTCGAATTGGAATTGGTAAACCTGAAAATGCTTGTGAGAAAGTCCTCTAAGAAACTGCATCATTGGTTTGGTTTCGATTTTTGGGTCGATTTTTTTCACATTTTTATGATGTTACCCCTGTCAGAAATCCGAAAAATGGCTTTCTCGGAAAATGGCCCAAAACCAGCACTTGAATACCCATAACTTTTGGATTGGTATACCTCAAAATGATTGTGACAAAGTCCTCTACGAAACTGCATCATTAGTTTTGGTTTTGATTTTCGTGTCAATTTTTTTTTACATTTTCCTAATGTCATTCGAAAAATTGCTTTTTCGGAAAATGGCCTAAAACGGCCTTAAAAATGTCCGATTTTGATTTGTAAACCTCAAAGTGTATAGAAGCTCTTTGAAGTAAAATTGTACTTCACCTTATGGTTTCTATGAACTGTATTCAAATAGCAAATGTTTAAATGCCAACCTGGTAGCCATCCAGGCAGGTGCAGACGCCCGGACTGCTGCAGATTCCGTTCCGGCAGCTCCTTGGGCAGAAGGGCTCACACTCGGTGGAACTTCCGTTGACGAAGGCGAAGCCCGAGTCACAGTCACAAGTGTCCGGAGCGGTACAGCGGGCGTTGCGGCCGCAGATTGGCCTGCAGATGGGAGAGCAGCGGTGCGGGGAGACCTTCTCGAAGCCCTCGTGGCATTCACAGCGACCGGGGGCACTACAAAAACCATTTTCACAGCCAGAGCGACACGTGGGTACACACTCATTTCGCGATCCTTCAGCGAAGACATGACCTTCGGCACAGGAACAGTGGCCTGGTGAAATGCAGGTGCCGTTCACGCAACCAGGACTGCAGATCGGTTCACAGCTCGAGGACAGACCGCTATCCTTGTGGGCAAAGCCAAGCTTGCAGACACACGTCTCCGGTTGAACGCAATTTCCATTGAGGCAGCCGCTCGAGCAGATCGGCTCGCAAATCCACGGCTGTCCCAAACGCGGTTCGTGGCCCGGAGAGCAGCGGCACTCGTTGGGCGCCACACACTCGCCATTGAAGCAGACGTCCTGGCAGATGGGCACACACTTCTTCAGCTTGTCGTCCCGCTGGTAACCCGTGTTGCACTGGCACTTTCCCGACTCCAAACAGCGACCGTTGCCGCAATCCTCGGCGCAAATTGGCTCACATTCCGTCCGCGATCCGTTGACAAACCGATGGCCAGGCAGGCAGTCGCACTCGTCCGGAGCCACACAGCTCCCATTCACGCAGGACTCGCCACACTCCGGCTCACAATGACTGCGATCCTGGCGATTCGAGTAGCCCTTGTCGCATAAACACACATTGGGCGAAAGGCATTTCCCTGTGGCTCCGCAATCCTTGCACTGCGGCACACACTCGCTGCAAAATAAAAAGTTAGGGAGTCTGCTCCTTGAATATAATGTCCTTACTTTTCTTCATTACGGATATAGCCATCGCAGCAGAGGTCATGGAACCCCATGTAGGTCTGGGAAAAGATAAGCCAATGCATTAAGCCAGGACAAAAAAATTATTTTCTTATCATGAGTACAATACTGGATTAAAATAAAAAAAAATTACACTTTTTAACACCTGCAAAATTATTAGATTTTCAACATACGCGTTTTTCAATCTGAAACCTCAATGAAAATCAGGACTAAAAATTCTAGTTTTAGCATTTTTTTTAATTATTTAAAAACTTTTAAAATGTATTATTCACATCCACAATCCAAATTTAATATACAAAGTAAATCTTTCTTCGCGCCAAAAATGAACATATGATTTACACTAAGTGTTTATTAAATTTTTTTTATAAATATTTCACTTTATAAACTTGTCACCAAAAACCTTATTTTTATTTTAGAAATTTATACATCAGCTTACCTCGGTTCTGGTTCTCCCCACCAAGGGACCACAATTTGCAGTGCAGTTAGGCAAATTTTGGTGTTTCCGCATTGTTACCACAGTTCCGCGCATTTTCACAACTCTTGAATTTCACAACGGAATACTTGAAATCAAAATTTCACAGATTTCGACTATTTCTACTCACGGAACTCGATTAACACAGGCCTGCACCTGCAGACCCGTCAGCACAACCAGCAAAACGACAAACATATTGAGATTTAGTCCTTGAAAATGTATGACTCAACTAACGACTTAAGACAACTGTTCACTTTAAGTTACGCTTGACAAATGATCAGACAATTGACTTTCCATGGATTCGATGGGCAAGTAACTCGGACTTAAGCGCTTATCATTTTAACGTATTATTTCCCTCTCTCTATCGCCATTCATATGAAACAGATACCCATGCGTTATAATCATATGTGTTTAATGAACCCAAATGCAGGGAGAACAATAGCCCCACAGATTGCGATACGAGTCCAAGTGCAGTCCACTCGCATTCAGATCCTTAACGTTCAATTTGCCAAATAATTTACTTCAAATTTGCTTATCGTTCAGTGTCCGTGCACTTAAACTCTATCCGCTCTGGAAAATTTTTACATTTTTTATATCTAAAAAAATCGAGATCCACATAAAACCTAAATTCAGCAAAAGAAAGCATATTCTTAAGAACTTTCAATTCTCTCCAAATAAAGTATTTGTTTAGATTTTCTTAAAATTTTATTTAATGAATAGCGTACAAACATCTTAATAAAAATATATTATACAAAAAACCTTCTATATATTTTTTATTCATTCTTACGTTTACCCTTAAGCAAAACGAATTTCAATCCTTAATTGATTAAACATAACATTTAATAAAAATAGAAATATGTACAGAAAAAACAATGGCAAATTTAAAGCATTTGCCAGCTTAACTAGCGCACAGAAGCATGTATAATGTATTATATTGTGGTGTACTGGGGTACTGCCTCGTTGATTGAAGTGTTGATTTCGTCGCTCGGAGGTCTGCGATAGAGAATTTGGATCTCTACAGCTTTTCAAAGTCCAACCAGATGCCCCCACGCAGGCCAGTTACGATATTGATGGGGTCAAACTCGTTGTCTTTGCGGGTTTTGGCATTGATCTTGACATTGAACTTTGAGATCAGCTCCACGAGGGCTGCCTTTATCTGTGCTGTGGCAAATCGCATTCCTGGAGAGGATAAAAATAGGTATTAGGTTTTATTTATATTTATGGAACCTATTATTTAACTGATTTTGATTTGCTATTGAAAGCTTTTTGAAAATTATTAAGGCAGTAATTTGTATGTTATGCCAAATTCTTTTAAGTATAGTATTATCTGATTTAATAATTAATTTCAAAGTTTTTTTCTACCAAGATTTCTCATAAAGTTCGTATATTTACTTTTAACTAACCCAGTCCAGATAGCCATTATTTAATATTTAATTTGCGAAAATTGATAAAGTTTTATTGGAAGTCTACTTACCAATGCACACACGCGGTCCATCTCCGAAACCCATGAAGACACCACGTTCCTTAAAGGTTTTCGCCGCGTCGGGCTCCAGGAAGCGTTCCGGTTTAAAGGACTGTGGTTCAGGGAAAAAGTCCTCGTCTGCCATGAAGGAATAATGGGGAACCACCACAACGGTGCCCTTCTCCACGACAACGTTGGGGCCATCCTTGTTGGGAATCTCAATCGATTCGGTGCAGAGTTTGTTGGCAATAAAGCCCGGCGGATAAAGGCGAATGGTTTCTGCAAATTCAAAAACAGTTAGCAAAAGAATGTCGAGTTATTATCCTTAAAAACCTCACCCTGGATACAAGCATCTAGGTAAGGCAACTCGTTGAGCTTATCGAAGGCGATGATGCCATCCTGCAGATGGTCGCGTATCTCCCGCCGCAGAAGCTCCTGGGCCTGACTATTTCGACCCAGATTGAGCAGGGTGTGGGCCAAAACCGTGGCCGTCGTTTCGAATCCATCCAGCAGGAAGGTCATGGAGTAGGCCAGCAACTGACGGTTGTCCAGGGATCGCTTTTCCCCCAGCTGCAGAATGTAATCCAGGAAGTCCGTTCGCTCGAACTGCTTTCCATTTGCCAATTGAGCGCGGCGAGCTGCGACGGCACTTCCCATCAGATCGACGAAGAAACGCTCCACTTTTTTCGGTACGAAGCGCATTTTAATCAGGTGACTCAGCGATGGAAAGGCGCTGATCACTACAAAGAACAACATGAAAGTCCAGGGCTGGTTAAAGAGGTCCTTGATGTTCTCCACAATCGGTGTGGGTTTATCCGTGAAGCTCTGAGCGCCCAGGCCCAAAACGCAATCGGTAACCATTTCCGTTGTAAAGCAAAGACTCATCTGTGGGATTTTATTTGTAGCTTTAACATTACTCTGTATACCATAATAATTCCGAATAAGAAAAAAACTTACATGCTTGGCATCGATGCCCTCTGGAGAACCCACACGTATTTGCTTTTCCACCCACTCGCTTAGCTGCTGGCACACCTTGTTTGTAACCGGGTAGACCGTCTTTATCTGTGAATTCATTCCATGTTTTATGAATGTATCGATATATAACTGAAGTGGTGCTTACCCGTCCCATTGTTAAACCGGGTGTCACATCGGCCCGCCTATTTTTCCACTTTTCACCAGTCAGCGAGAACGGATTATTGGCAAAAATAAAGTCAGATTTCTCATCAAAGTACTTCGAGAATTCGTTGTCGTGGAAGTTCTTGAAATTGGTCACAAATACCCGACGAGCCATTTCGGGGCTGACCACCAAAAGCTGAGGAGCTCGACCACTAAAAATGCCCACAACATCGTACTTGTTCTTGTACTTCCTGAAACAAATGAGGGAATATTATAAATAAATTAAGAAATAAATTTAAAAATAATTTCACTTAAGATTTTCCAAAATACTATTCACTCATTACGTGTTTATAAGCTGAAGTCCTAATATTCACCTGTATATGTCGTCCAAATCGTAGCTGACATGTCGCTTTGCCGTGAACATGTTGGGGTAGTTTCCGCACAAGATCTTGGGCTTGGGACCCGGCACCCCTCGCTTTCGCCAGTGACCGTAGTTCCATATCAGAGTGGCGTACAGCAGTCCCAGCGCCAAAAAGACCAGGGTCAAAGTAATCAGCATTATTCCGAACCGCGTTCAAAATGAACCTCCGTACGCGAAGAACTCTGTTTAGTGTCTGCGGCCGAACTGGGAATCGCGCTCTATTTGTAGCTGCTCAATTCTGTTGTTAATCAGGCCCTCGAGAGAGCTGAGCTACCTGGCTCTTTGTGAAAAAGGTAAACAATTCTAAAACTGAGAGAGCAAGCTTCTCTACAACAGCGACAAAAAAAAAAAAACAACACTTCAAGCAATAACTACATGTGTATGAATGATAAGGCCTAATCATTATTGCAGGCGGTCAATCTTCTATAAAGGCATTATTATTTATTTACAATCTCATTTCTTAAAAAAAAAATATTTCTGTTGCAACCCGGCAAGCCAATATGAAATTCACCAAATACCGTTTATTACACTTAAAAAAATTTCTTTTCCTTTTCGATATTTTCTTTAGTAATCTATTTACAATAGAGTTTATTGAATTTCCAAGACTTACATTGCATTGTAAAATTCGTGTTTTTTGTAAAAATAAATCCCTTAAAAAGTGTAGAGCTTTTCAAATTGTACCCACATATAAAAATTATTTGTTCCAATATGGTTATGTAATTAAAAGAGCATATAGCTCTTGATATCCGCAAGCCTACTTTATCTCAAGCTCAACGGATGTATTTAAAAGTATAGAAATAAAATTCTTATGTTATTTCTATTGGGAGCTCAGTTGTAATTGGTAAGCTAAACTGGAAATTACATCAAGACAGTTCCCTAGAATTTCACAATTTAACTCCGTTTGGCATAATGGCGCTAATTCAATTGGTTTTCGGGTACTTGGGGCTTTTAATAGTATTGGTTTCGGGTTTTCGTGGGCCAAATGTTTGTAGTCAAGAGCAATACGTTACCTATTTACGCGCGGTAACCAAAACTAAATCGGAACCATACCAAAAGCATTCGTTTTGGAGCGGTTGGTACACAGATTATCGAACTGTGCACTACGAGGAAGACGAGGTAAGTAACTCGCCTTACTGTAAATAAACTATAGGAAATATGTGTAGACTAAAAAAAATAAAAACAGACATTTTTTAGCGGTCAGCAAAAATGTCTCTCATCGAAACATCGATAAGTTTTCAGTACTGCAACAAATTTCGAATGAATAACCAGAGATATCTAAGTAGGATGTAATTGTATCAGAACAAAAACAAAAGCAAAAAATAAAATCTTTCGCGTTTTTGTTCCATTTGTTTCACAATCATCAAGCTGAGTGGTTGACAAAAATCGTATTTAATAAACTTAATGCAAATGGTTTCCCAAACACTACGTTTTTTGTGCCTGGCTTTAAGTTTTGGCTTAATTTCGGGAACGTGGTATGGCAATAATGTTTGCCCCCAAAATGTAATGGTTTCGTACACCGTTCCAGTTCGCAAGACTACTATGGTACCATATCAGTATTATGGCTATGGAGGTTGGTCGACAAGGTATAGACAACAAGTCCATATGGAAAACCAGGTAAAATTGGTTAAATAACTCATGTTTTTGTGTGTTTTGGCTTAATTATGTCGAACTAATCATGGTATATTTGTGGTATTCCCCAGATCGCCTACAAATGGGATACCAAATACAACTGCTGCGCCGGATACACTGGCTCCATCTACAACTGCCAGCCAGTCTGCGAGGGGAAATGTCCAACCAACGGCTTCTGTAATGCTCCAAATCAATGTAAATGCTACGAAGGATATGGCGGATCCGACTGCCATCCGCTCTGTCCACAGGCTTGTGGCAAGAACGAGTTTTGCGGGAGTCCCGGAAGGTGCAGCTGCCAGAATGGCTACCATCGGAGTTCGTCAGGCGGGAACTGCCTTCCCATTTGTTCCGCCGGCTGTGGGGACTTTAGCTTTTGCTCGGCGCCCGGCAAATGCGAGTGCCTTCCCTCGTACGAGATGCTGGGAAACGGCACCGCCTGTCAGCCGATTTGTGAGCCAAAATGCGGCAAAAACTCGCATTGCCTGCAGCCGGACTTGTGCTCCTGCCTGGAAGGATATGTAGCCGACGATCTGGGCGACTGTAAGCCCTCGTGCTCCGCCTGTCCGGAGAACGGGATTTGCATTAGTCCGGAGGTCTGCGCCTGCGATCCCGGCTACGTGATGCGGGACAATCGCTGCGAACCCTTCTGCGAGTCGCCCTGTGGGGACTACGAGCAGTGTGTGGCGCCCAACGAGTGCCAGTGCTATCCGGGCTACGAGATCGCCGGCGAGGAGAAGAAGTGCCAGCCCAAGTGCAGCAGTGGCTGTCCCAATGGCTTCTGCTTCAGTCCCGAGCAGTGTGCCTGCAAAGAGGGCTATCTGATGGGACCGAACAGCACCTGTGAGCCGCAGTGCAGGCTGAAGTGCGTCCACGGCCGATGCACTCAGCCGGATGTGTGTGAGTGCGAAACGGGTTACCGCTTCCGGGAGGACTCCCAGCACGTCTGCCAAGCGGTATGCGAGGCTGGCTGTCGCAACGGGGATTGCGTGGCACCCAACATTTGTATTTGCCATGGAGGCTATCAACCGAACGATCCAGATCCCACAAAATCCATTTGCCAGCCGGTCTGCCAGACGGCCTGTGTGAATGCCACCTGCTCGGCACCGGAGGAATGCACCTGCCTGGCGGGATTTACAAGATCCACGAACACCACTTGCAGGCCCCACTGTACCGGTGGCTGTGAGTCTGGCGATTGCGTGGCGCCCGGTGAGTGCCAATGTTGGCAGGGTTTCGAAAAAACGGAAGAAGGCTGCCGCCTGCAGACAACATCGACTACTGAGGAACCCGAGACCACAACACCCGAAACTCCGGCCACTGAAACCACCACAGTTGCAACCGCTGACATGGTCCACTACTCAAACTGCTCCGTGAATTGCCTGTGTTGGGTGGAGTTCGATGGCCAGGGAGTCCTCAGTACGGCCAAGTGCGCGAAACTCTGCGCGGATGATCAGGACAAGCCGTGCCTGAACTTGAAGAGTTGCCACTGCGATCTGCCCAGTGGCCAGCTCTCGTGCAAGGAAGGTGAGGGCTATGAGGACGAGGAATCGAGTGGCGAGGACACGCGATACGTCTGCAAAATGGCAAAGACGAACGGTTCAAAATCGGAGGCCGATCCCATTGTTGCCCAAGGCACTACGCCATCCACGAAGTGGATGGTCATCGCGGGTTGCTGCGCAGGAATCATCCTTGGAGTTGCTCTGGCAGCCGTGGCCAGGAAGTACTATCGACGCACCACCTACGAAACCGATGATGCCATTTACCAGAACAGTACTATATAGTCTTATCCGACTTCCTGGCTGTTCACATATTATGTACTCCTTATGTAATAAAAGTCGAATTTTACTGAAGATTAAATTATTCAAGTTTTTAAAAATTGAGAATTAATCTTATAGCAGACGAACTTACTTTTATAAATAATTGTTTTGGTCTCTTAAATTTATTTTACAAATTATATTTGTAATCAGGAATATTTAAATAGTTGAATTTCGAATCAAATATAAAAGTTGAGTTCATTGGATTACCCATGCAAACTCATGTGGTAAAAAAATAAAAGTAGTTTTTTTTAGCTTTTTGTTCTAAAAGACCCCGGGAATTCCAATTCTGAAATAACATAACATTCCAGTGATAAATTTGTTGGCGGGAAGTCGTTCTTCCGGTTGATATGCACATTGTTTAAGCAAAATTCGTTTTCACCATTTTATAACTTATTTGCAACAGCGCAGAGCAGTCGACTTTTAAGAAAAAAATGTTTAAGCTTCAACTTACTTTTCTCTGTTTAATATTTTGTGCCACTAGCATTGTTAGCTACAATGTTTACAGAAGTGTACGTAAATGCAAACTATTTTCGTGAATTATTGTACTAAAAAAGAAAAAAAAAATTTGTTTTCCCATAGTCGCATCATTTTAAACTCAGTACGCCTGCAACAATTTGGAGCACAAAATATAATACAACCACAATAAAATCAAATATAGATTTTACTACAAAGAATACATATCAAGGGCCAGCAAGGAGCACAAGGAGTTTATATACACGTTCTACTCCGAAATCAACTACACTGGAAGAATCAAGCACACCGAATTTAAATGCCACTCCCACTCCGAAATCGACAACACAAAAAGGTTCATATGAATGGAAAACGATTTTATTTTGGATTTTTGGCATCATTTTTATTGTAGCGATTGTAGCCATTATGGTGTACTTAATTTTTTGTCGCCGTGGACATTATTCTGTTAAAAACCAGAGGTCCCCTACTGCACAAAATTGTCAATATAATCCTCAACGCAGTGCGTGTAAAATTTAATAAATATATGTTATTTATTAAATTAAAAATTAAAAAAAAAGAATTATTAAAAAAAATTTTTTTTTAATTAATAGAAAAAAGATATTGAAAAGTTGTATTTTATGATTTGTTTACAGTTTCTTTTAAAATCAGCTCGTTTAATTTATAATGGAATTGCTTTCTGAGACTTTAGATTTTAATTAATAAAATTTGTACCGAAGTGTCCCACTCACCTATTTTTTATAAATGTTCTAATTTTCTTTAGAAAACTTTACTATGAAAAAAGGGTTATTTTATTACTTATTACTAATACTGGTAAGGAATGTGGCAAATTATAAGAGATTTTAAGCAACTTGAATAAATTTAAGCGTTCATTTTTCACTGATTACTCTATTAATAGGGTGACAAACAAATTCAGCAAAAAGGCAGTAGACAATTCATTTCATAAGTTTTTAATCGTGTTGAATCAAAATCACAATAATACCAAGGAGTACAATATAGATTCAATTTCAGACCGGAACACACATGGTCGACTGCTCGTGGTAGGTGAATCCCGGGTCGCAGATACATCTGTTTCGGCTAACACATACCCCGTTGTTGCACTTTCTGCGAAAGATGGGGGCATGACTAATCTAGTTATATTGTATGTTATATATATAGCATGACTCACTGATAGCAGTCGGCCTGGCAGACGCCGTCCTTGAGATTGTAGCCGGGTGCGCAATCGCACTCGTTGTTCTCCTTGCAACGCCCTCCGATTCCGCAGTCGGGATCGCAGACTGGCTGGCAACCGTCGTCGCTTAGCTGGAATCCCTTGGAGCAGCCGCAGACCTCCGGTTCGGTGCAGTTCTGCCGCGGACTGCTGCCGCAACCACTGCTGCAGATTGGCCGGCAGTAGCGGCGCGTCTCGTCCAGTTTGTAGCCGGGATCACACTGGCAGCTGCCATCCAGGAAGCACTGGCCATTCTGGCAGCCCAGTGGACAGGCGAACACACAGTCGCCGTTGTCGTTCTTCACGAATCCCTCGTAGCACTCGCACTCGCCCGGACTCCTGCAACTCCCATTCTGGCAGCCACATAGTGGTCGGCACACGGTTACTCCCTTCAGGCGACTGGCCGAGTAGCCCGTGCAACAGACCTCGATCAGGGACAGCCGGTTGGCCTGGTCCGTCTGGATGAAGCTGTGGTGCACGAACTTCTCCACCGAGTCCGGTCTGGAAAGAGTTCCAAAATGTTCCTTAATGCATTGGTTACTATTGCAAAGGATATGAGGGAGTTGTAACCGGAAAGTGTTTTTGTTTAAAGCTTGCAAATCAAGCGTATATCGTATTAAGTTTGTATTCGGAAATTTCTTAAGTTATTTTGAGTATTATTTCCCTTTCGACAAACGTCTTAATATATATCATAATAAGCATAATTGAATGGCTTTCTTAATATGAGTGGTTACTTTACAACAATTTTTCAAGGTGAAATTTATAATTGATTTGTTCCTTAGAAGTATTTCTACAATTTATTGCCTATTTTGCAGTGTAACCCAAGACTTACGGAACCCAAATGCGGCACTTGTGCTGCCCTCCAACGGTCGGCGTTTCATGGGATCGAATCATATATTCGCGACTCATTGGCTGCCGTTCCACATTTCGTGGATCCTCGAGACTTCCTTGGGCCATTCGATTATATGACAACTGCCTGTTCTCCAAGTACCCGCCGCGGCCATAGCTACCAGCACCTGGATCCTGAGATACTGGCCTGCGACTGTATCGATCCGAGTAGTTGGGCACATTTGTGTAAATTGTGGGCAGGCAAACCAATATCTGAATAAAGCCCAGACAAAGGCCCACATCCAGTAACGACATTTTGTTTTCAATGTGCTCACAATTTGCCAGCTAAAATTCTACTAATTTTTCCCGCTTGAACACAGATTTTGTTTTGTTGGCTTATCAGAAAACCTATATTCGATGCATAGGCGAAATAGAGAGCCATTTCGTTTCCGAGGGAATCAAAAATATGTTAAGCTGATTTCTTAATAGTTACGACTTGAATTTACCTTAGTCATATGCATTTTTTATCTTTTTTAATTGATTTTAAATTAAATAAGTAACCACAGAATTAGTCGCACAAATATTATATAAACTTGCAGCTTTTAAAAAAACGAAATCGGAAATCACTTTTTGTGCCAATGATTATAGAATCAAAACTAGTCGAATGCTTTAAGTCCTTTATTATTTATTAAGTTATTCATTATTTCTTTTTAATAAATTTTTTATTATATATTATAAACTTTTTTTTAAGTTCCATCTCTATCTGTTGAAAGAAGCAAAGCGGGTATTACAATTAGCAATGAAACCACATAAAACAATCTATAGTCGTTCTCACTTGACATACATTGGCCTTGTGGGCCCTGGGTCTCCTCCTCTCGGTTCCCAATTAAAAGCTGAGAGCCCTCTTATCTTGGCCCCCGGCTGTGATTAGAGACTGGTCCAACTGCGTCGTCGCCGGAGCAGTAAACAAGCGCGACTTGAGCGCTTCGGTAGCGAGACGCAAAGAAGTCTCTTCCGTGGTTCTGGGCGATGTCGCCACTTCTGCGATCCTTGTGCATCCAATCGGTGCTCCTGGTCCTGTTCCTCTGCGTCCTGCACGCCGTCGAGCTGCAACTGCACGAGCAGCAGCTGCAGCAGCAGCGGGACGAGCAGCTGCGCCTGCGCGAGGAGCAGCACCAGCGGGACCTCCAGCGGGAGCAGGAGGCCATCCAGCGACGCCTCTCCTCCTCGACCACCAGTCGCAAGCCCTACATCATCCCCAACGGACTATCGCTGCCAAGAAGGGGGGAACATCCGGACAAGTGCTACCGCGAAGTGCCGTAAGTGAATGGATACAAGAGCTTTCATAGCCACATATTTATTTACATTATTATTTAAATTTTGTTGTTCTTTCCTGCATGGCAAAAACGAACAATAATCAAAATTCTTTATATCAAACAGTACTAAAAAAATATATTTTAAAATATTTTCTAAAAATTGCCAAATGAAAATTTAGAGCATTTAAATTTTTCCTAAAAAAATCTTGGAAATTGTTTGCTAATCAAACTAAACCTTTTAGTTTTAAAGGATATTTAAAAGATATTTTAATTCATAAAATATGCCATTATCCCTTTGCCAGAGCCGTCTTCTTCCAGTACGACAAGGAGGTGAAGATCGTGGGCAACAGCACCACCAATCGGTACTTAAACGTGATCGAGGTTTGCTGCAAGGGATGGCGGAGGTACGAGTACGATTGGAGCCAGTGCGTCCCCGATTGCGGAGAAAGGTGCCAGGAAAATGGATTCTGTGTGGCCGGAGGGATCTGCCAGTGTTTCGACGACTTTGTCCTCAACTATCGCAACAACTGTGTGCCCACTTGTCCACTGGGCTGCCCGCATGGAAGGTGCTTCCTCAACGGCACGTGTCTCTGCGATCGGGGATTTGAACTGGATGGATCGCGAAAGTTTTGCCAACCGCAGTGCAACACCACCTGTGGCCACAACGAGGTGTGTCTGGAGCCGGGAAAGTGCTCCTGTGCCGAGGGCTATGCCCGAGGATTGAGGGAATCAGCTGCTCTGGGCTGCCAGCCCGTCTGCATTCCGGACTGCGGCTATGGCTACTGCGTGGGTCCCAACCAATGCAAGTGCTTCCCCGGATATCTAAAACGGAATGGCGGGATCTCCTGTGAAAGCTCATGTTACCAGTAAGTATTTTTGATTGCTACCACGACGATACGGAATTCAAACTGAATAAGTTGAAAATTCAAAAGAAGAAATAACCTTGGTTTAATACAAAAATCAGTTTATACCACTGAATGAAAGTAGACTATTCACAATTTTAAAGGGAAAACACTTATTTTTGGTGTTTGGCCTTAAATGCTAGACTAATTTGGCTTTCGTTTAATTGAATAGATTTATATTATACAGAACCAATCTTACACATTTTGTCTTAAATGCAGCGATTTAAAAGCGTTCATGTTTTTTAAAAATGTTTCAATAACGACATCAAAACCTTTGCTTAATTTTTATATTTAGTAAGCAAAAACCAAGCTTAAAATTCTACTCATGTTTATTAGAACATTAAATTTAGTTGAGCTTCAAATTTTTAAATAAGTGACATGGCAAGAAATATTCTGTTATCGTCTAAAAGAGTGCTATAGTTCATTAAATTTAAAATTAAAAAAATTTAATTGTTTTTAGGCGCTGTGAGAACGGCTTCTGTGCGAACAGCACAACGTGTGTGTGCCAAAATGGATTCCGCTATGATGAAAACACAACGAGTTGTCTGCCGGACTGCGGGGATAACTGCGAGAACGGAGTGTGCATTTCCCCGGGAAACTGTCGATGCTTCAAGGGCTACGTTCGGAATCGCGAGCGATGCGAGGCGGTCTGCGACAGAGGTTGTGGATTCTACGGGAAGTGCATTGCCCCAAATGTTTGCGGATGTGCCTTGGTTCCCGGTCCAGATCGCACTTACCAGCGCTGCGAGCACGGACTGTGCAACTCGATGGGACGATGTCGCTGCCAGGTGGGCACCACGCGATTTATCGACAAGTGTATGTCTCCGGATACGGTGACCACTTACGCCTCGATGAATCCGATCCGGGTGAACGCCTCCCTGATCCAGGAATTCGATCTGCTGCTGGGCAGGCACTTCAATCTGAGCACCAACAGCTTGATGTGGTGGCTCTGAGATAAGGTTCCCCCAAAAAATACTCGCTAGTGTTCAGAGTCACAAAGAAGTCACCAATAAATACTCATACATTTCTAAAAACTCTTAGTCTTATCAGTGGGTTCATCTCTTTTTATTTAAGGAAGTTTTCGAGATACTCTTGAAAATAAAATAACTAAGAAATTGATTTATCTACAAAAAAGTTGAACTTATAAATAAGGTACATATGTATATAGATTGGTTGACTTCATTTATTTACCCGGCCATTTTTGTTCTATCATAATTATTTAAAAGTCAACATTTTTTTATTGTTCTAAAAATTTATTTACATAATAAAAACTACATTAAAGCATAAAGAATAAACAGTAGCTTTTAATCAAATAAAACTTTGTTAATTTTATTTGTTATCTGGCAAAGCAATATACCCCACGAATGCCGGGTGTGGAAATAGTAATTATCTTCAGACGAATATAGAACATTTCTTTCTCCGAGCACTTAAAAGTCGAGCTTGACACAGACTACAATTTAGTAGCTCCGAGACGTTGGCGAGCACGGCGCTCGCGTTTAAATCCGACCTCACTCTCAGTTGAAAGCCGGAGCGAAATGCACTTGACATCCATGCTGATTGGCCTTCTTATCGCCGGTCTGGCGATCGAGCTACCCACGCCCACTGCCGCCCAATTTTGGAAGAGAGTGGATACCGCTCCAAGTTGGCACAGGGAACTTCTGGCCGAAAGACCCTCTGGTATTTGCTACAAAACTCTTAGGTAGGTGAAATATAAATCTTGATTCCCGGAATGAAGCTCAAGATCTATTTGCTTTCAGCGTGGATACCGTCAATCCGAATTCCAGAAACCGACAGATCTCCTACTGCTGCGATGGCTATGTGAATAAGGGCACTTCCCAGATTCTAAAGTGTGAACCCATTTGTTTGGAGGATTGCTCGAATGGTGTGTGTTTAGCACCGGGAAATTGCCAATGTGGTCCGGGATACTCCAGAGAAAGAAAACGTTGTCGCTTAACCTACGATGAAGATTAATAAACAAAAGAATATATTAGAAAATTAAACCAAAAATGTAGCTAATTTAATAAGTTTATATAAGTTTTAAAATCAAAGTACCTTTACCGAGGTCTTTAATTTTGCCGAATCTCTTATCTTGAAATATTTCCATATATTTTAAAAAGCTTCCCCAATTGTTGTTTAGAACTTTCATCAACATGTTCAGCGACTTTATTGCCAGCCATTTATCATCTTATGTGCTCATCTACATCTCATGGGTACCTGAAGTCATACGCAAAACATTTCTTGGAATTGCCCAGCAGCAATGAGTTTTGTTTACGAGCCGCACAAATGATAGAAGCGATCGATTCGGTTTGCCGAGAGAGAGCAAACCTTCGCTCCAATGGCGAGGTGCTGATTAGGAGGGGAACCAGAGGTCGCCGGAGGCGATATGTGGCTGAGAAGTCCGCCAGCTTCGCATCGGGAGTCGATTAGTCGAAGTGCAACTACAGTCGCCACCGGACGTGGACTCAGTTGCTTCATCAGTTTCCAAACGTAATTGGTAATCCGTAATCCGTAATCCGTGAGTGACATCACCATGAGGTCATCGTGTCAGCTTCTGGCTTTAAGTGTTCTGCTGGCCATCTGTTCTCTGGGCCAGGGACAATTCAAGACATCTGGCATCAAGACACGCCAGCCGGCATCGGGAAACCTCCAGCTTTCCACAAATGGTAATGGCTACAATCAAACCAATTTTGGCTGGAGCAGTTACAACCAGAGCAACTATTCCTGGAGCAAACAGAACCAGAGCAACTATTCCTGGAACAATGAGAACCAGGGCAACTACGGCTGGAGCAACCAAAACCAAGTTAACCAGGGTTCCAGTGGATCTGTGCCGGCCGAAACCTACCAACCGGCCACTTTGCCTCCACTTTATGGACACTACGTACAGGCGGTGACTCCACCAATTCACCGGCAACCTCAAGTCCTCGATGAAACGGCCCTGTTCATCAATAAAACCCGATCTGCGATGGCCAGCGGTGTGTGCTTCAAGGAAGTTCCGTAAGTGTTCCGGGGATAACCGAAAAAATAGTCCCAACCGGGTGGAAAACATTTTTGTAATTCCACTTAAAGTTATCGCCCATTTCGGAGGGCATTCAAAAACAAGGCAAACAATTAAAATAGTGAACTAACGACCTCAACTTCCTCCGCTGGCCTGATAATTAAATGCGACTTGATTTTACGAGTGTATGTATGCCAAGCTAATAATGTGGTTGAATTTAATATGCAACGGGCAGAAAGTTCCACGATAAGCTCAAAGTTAGTGCTTTGCGATTTAGTTTAACTAATTTAAAGGGCTTAATATTGGACATCTTTGATAATCTGAAATATTTGGCATTTATATAGAACCTAAATAAAAGATTTTTGTATTCTGAAGGGAAAACTACAGTGCTTAAAAAGCGGTGCTGCCAACTAAATTGCGGCTATGCATGTTTTTAAAAGCTATTTCAAATACAGTTCGCCTCTCGAAAATATTCTTAAATTGAAGAATTATTTATTCAAAATAAAGACTTTTATTTATGCGCTTTACCATAAATGAATTACTTTTGAAATTATTTTTTGATACTTTATAGAACCGCTTCCCTTCTGCGAAACTCGCGGGATCATTTTGTGGGCAACGGAACCACTCCGGACATGAGTCGCATCGAGGTCTGTTGCGAGGGATACGAGCGCAACCCGCACATCTACCGCAGATGCGAACCGATCTGCTCCGATGACTGTCCCAATGGAATCTGCACGGCGCCCAACACCTGTGTCTGCATCCCCGGCCACGTTCGCACCTCCGAGGGCAAGTGCATCTCCACCTGTCCCCTGGGATGTGGCAATGGGGCTTGCAACGACAAGAACGAGTGCCTTTGCCGCGAAGGTTACACTTTGGAGCCCACGAGTGGCAAGTACTGCCAGCCGAAGTGCAACCCCGGCTGCACCTTCGGCAAGTGCGTGGCGCCCAACAAGTGCGCCTGTCTCGAAGGATACCGCCTGGCCGCCGACGGATCCTGCGAACCGGTCTGCGACAGCTGCGAGAACGGCAAGTGCACCGCTCCGGGTCACTGCACCTGCAACGGCGGATACCTCAAGCTGCAAGGTCGCTGCGAGCCCATCTGCTCCGTGTAAGTAGAATTAACCATTAAATGTTAGCCATATAGAACTAGAATTTTATGTTACTTTTAATGGCATAAAAAGCTAACACTGGCCTAAAAAGAAGTTCAAAATATATAGCTTCAATATTTTCCAAGCCAGAAAGACACAGATTCAAGATTAAATACAAATTCTTAAATTTTCGAACATTATCAATTAGGATCAATTAAGCTAATAAAAACAGGTGTTTGTCTATTCAGAAGATGCATTAAAAATAAAGTTTTATGAAACAAATCTATTATATTAATTTGATATATTTTGATATATTTTAACCAAACCAATTAACTCCTAATTTATCCCCTTCAACTTAGCCCCTGCAAGAACGGCCGTTGCATTGCCCCGGACGTTTGTGAGTGCACTTCCGGCTTCGAGTGGGACCGGAAGTCGTCGGAGTGTGTGCCAAAGTGCGACCTGCCCTGCTTGAACGGCGTCTGCGTGGGCAACAACCAGTGCGAATGCCGGACAGGATACGTGAAGGACGAACACCAGCGCAACATCTGCCAGCCCCACTGCGCCCAAGGATGCCAGAATGGATTCTGCAGTGCCCCCAACTTCTGCATCTGCAAGCCGGGATTCATCAAGAGCGGCATTAAGGGACGCCAGACGTGCCAGGCCGTCTAATTTCGACCTAAAATCTTTATTGTTTCTTCTTAGACCAAATTGAATAAACGCCCGATCAGGGCATTAAACTCGTAAGCCAGCTGAAGAGTGAAATGCTTTCTCCTCTCGACGTTGTAGAACTGTTGGCTAAGTTGGTTGGGTCAATGAAGTGCGTCTCGCCATTGGGACAATTACAGTGCTCCACATCATCACAACTTCCGTTTAGACAGTGCTGTTGCATGATTTTTGGAATATAGATTTTTCTAACGACTCTTGAATACCGAATTTAATTTCATCAAAATCGGACGACTATATCAATAGTCGGAAATATAAAAAATTAATAAAAGAAATCGTCAAAGCTTCGATGGTGCTTCCTTTCTTGTTTTTATTTCTTTTACCCAAAATCTTTCAACCAAACCTCATATTTAGTGTTAGTTTCAGTGATGTGAAAAATGCCCAGCACCATCGATAGTATCAAAATGGGAAAGAACCCGAACAATTTTGCAGCCGACGAGACTACCTTGTATAATTGTACCATGATGGGGCCGATCTGGTCAGTCGTTCCCGAAACCCGAGGCGTGTGGTTTTCAAAAATGAGCGGAAGAATCGGCAAAGCCGAAAGTGGTGGAGATAAGGAGCAAACGAGTGATGGGGAAAAGACTTTACCAGAAACAAGAAAAAATGAGTCAGAACATTGGGAAGATGTTCGGGGAACAAAGCGTCCCAAAATCACAGTCAAAAACGCTTCGGTTTTAGAACCAATCTCCGATGGAAATGAGGAGAAAAACGCAGCTGGATCTTTGGTTTCGAAAACACCCGAAATATTTTTATTGAACACCTACTGCTGGGAACGAGTTTTGTCATATTTGAGCGTGGGTGACCAACTGAGACTGGCTGCATCAAATCTGCGTCTTGAACCGCTTTTTGAAACTTTATGTGTGAAATACAAGCGAATTACAGAAAGCGTCACGTCGGAAATAAGCGTATACGAGCTCTTTCAATTGCTGGAAATCGTTAATGAGAATGTGATCAGCTATGAGTCATGGTTGAGTTTTCATGTAGATGCAGATTGGAGTTTGTGGCTTCTGCGGATCTTTTGTCCACGTTTGCAACACTTGGGAATGATTATTGAACGGCCAAGATGGAATGATCTGTTACAGTTGAAGAGTCTTACATCCCTGCACGTCAATCTTGAATTCTCGACGGCAAAGACGAGCAGAAATTTTGTTCTTAGCCTAGTGAAACTGCCCTGCCTCCGGAAACTGAACTTAGAGGCAGAAAACTATAGTGGAGATGGTCTGCATGTGCTGGAGAATTTAGAATCACTCGTGATTCGTATTTTTCCAGGAATGAATGCCGAGTGTTTGGCCATGGCCTGCCTGAAAATGAAAAAACTCCGCCACCTGGAAATTGAGAATTTCATTAAAACACCCACCGCGGAGAACTTTAGGGTAATAGTGAACAACTGTGGCAATCTGAACAGTTTACACTTAAGCAGTCTTATGGGTTTAAATGTGCCCTACGAAATCGTGAGTCAGTTGCCCAAACTGACGCACTTGGAGATTTTTCACTCTCGCTTTCTGAGGGCAGGTTTCATTGAGGGACTGATCCACAAAACGGGCACTCCGCTGGAAAGCCTCAGTTTGTATGGAAACCGCTTGTGTGCCGATCAGGTGGAGCAACTCTGCGAGATTGCCTCGCTAAGGGAACTTTTCTTCCGCTGCGATACTGTTCCCTTGAGTGGCCTGCGTAAACTAAGAAACTTGGAAATTCTTAACCTGATTACGCTTGAAATTACCAACCACCAAGTGTTGACTATTCTCGAAGGCTGTCCGCGAATCAGAGTGCTCGGTCTGCATGCTACAAAATTGATTAACTCAGATTTTGTTCGAGATGCAACTCGATTGTTCGGATGCCGAAAAATCAAAATCTTTCTATTTGGTCCATCAGTTACTCGGAACTTTATGGGAACTTTAAATGGAAATAGGTTTATTCAATTCGAACACGGTTTTTTGAAACACCCTTGTTGATTAATAATTAATTAAGCAGCGGACTAAAAAGCACATTACTTATTGAGCAGTTTTGAAGTTATATCTAAGAAATCAGCAAAAAGCCAAATAAATTCCCTTTATTAAACGACACAACCTTACGACTTTTAATTTTTAACGTGCCAGGCCGTCTAATTTCGACCTAAAATTTTTATTGTTTCTTCTTAGACCAAATTGAATAAACGCCCGATCAGGGCATTAAACTCGTAAGCCAGCTGAAGATTGAAATGCTTTCTCCTCTCGACGCTGTAGAACTGTTGGCTAAGTTGGTTGGGTTTCAGGCAGCGATCAATGAAGTGTGTCTCGCCATTGGGACAATTACAGTGCTCCACATCATCACAACTTCCGTTTAGACAGTGCTGTTGACCTTCGCCACAACCGCAGATTTCGGGGGCCACACAGCGACCGTATTTTCCACAGGATCTGCGAATGAATAATGCCATGAATGGGGGAAGCCTTGACCTTGCAAAACAAACCTCTCACACTTGGGTCTACACTCGGTTCCGTGGGCTTCGTATCCTTCGAAGCAGCGACAAACTCCTGGCGCAATGCACACTCCATTTCCCTGGCCACAATTGTCGAGGCATTGAGGTAAACAGCTCGTGGAGTTCACGTCGTAGCGATATCCTTCGCGGCAGTGGCATTTGTACCTCGACTCACAGAACCCGTTCTCGCAATTTCTGGAAAGTATTTTGAACAGAATAAATACATTTCAATTCAAATAAAAAACACATTTAGCTGGTTAGTTAAGATGGTAAGGTAATAATAAGAAGATTAATGTGTAAAATTTTGAAAAAGTTAAAGCTAACAAATAATCGGAATATTTTAGTAGGTTCAATAAACAAATCCAAAGTTCACTCAATACATTGAACTACAAATATACTTCACTCTGATGATAATGGAACTATTTTTACTTATTAATTAATACATTCGTTTGTGTTTAGCTTACTTTTGTATCTTCTATAATATTTGACTTAAACATGTAGTCGAATAGATATATAAAAATATCATTTCGGGTTCAAAATACTTACAGGTAACACTCTGCTTCGCAGACATTTCGGTTTGGCCGCTTTATGAATCCCGCGAAGCACTCGCACTGGTTGGGAGCCACACATTTTCCGAATCCGCAGTCTGGAGCACAGACTGGTTGACATCCCAATTCCGGAGTTCTTCGGTACCCGGGGGAGCAGTCGCACTTCCCAGGTGCCACACACTCCTCGTGGGTGCCACATGCCTGCGAGCACAGGGGTCGGCAGAACTTTCGGGTGTCCTGATCGAGAACGAATCCTTGGTGGCAGGAACAGGTGCCATTTAAGTAACACCTGCCATTTTGACAGGCAATTGGACAGGTGTGAATGCAGGCTCCGTGCTCATTGCGAACAAACTCCTCGAAGCATTCGCAGTTTCCCGGATCGCGACAGAATCCATTCCGGCAGTTGTCCGGCGAAGTTGACGAGCAGTCTGGCACACATTTCTGGGAATACTGATCTCTACGGTAACCCGCACAACAGACCTCCACGCGATGGTAGTAAATGGTGGATCCATTGCCGCGCACCGGGGAATCCTTCTCGATTTGGAAAAACACAGTGCTGTAATCGAGTAATCTTGTTAATCTTTTTTGACGTTTCCCGGAAACTTAAGCCTATAATATAGCCTACATTATAATACAATGTATTATTTATACATCGAAGCGTAGATGTTTGATTCGAAATATTTTACAATATTACAAGTAGTTAAATTTTGTATCATTCATGACGAGAAAAAGCATAAAAGTTTTGTATAACTTACGGCACCTCCCGATGGCAAAGATGTTGTTGGTGCTCCCGGGTCAGACTCAGAGACTCGAATTCTCCCAGACTCACTATATCCCCGAAAAGCTCCGTAGAATCGGAATCAATCGGGACAGGAAATGCCGCCAGCGTCAGCAGAGCGGTAAAAACAAGCGACGGTCCGCAAAAGTGCATGCCGCCTTATTGTTTTGAGCTTCGATGTCGAGGAGCGAATGAACGAGCTGACATGGGATTTTGATGTATTATGGGACCTTATCAGCATTGGCTCTCATTCTCAGAAAACGATCCAAAAACACCACAGAAAAGAGCGCACAATTTAAGCTATAAATATTGTGCCTTAGTAAAATGCTTTACATCAAATTTAAGATATATTTCAGGCCTTATAGCTATTCAGTTAAATATTCGTAGTGAATTATGGCAGATAGTGGACCTTATAGAGGACTTATTTAAACCGCATTTATCAAGAAAGTTTAAATTTTATTCCTTTTTGTATGCATGAAAAATAAAAAAATTTACATAAACAAAATTCTGAGTTGTAATGTACATTTATTAATTAAATTTTCAAATATATTTCACGCATTATGGGCATATTAAGCTTACCTAAAATATATGTAATATTTAAAAAAATACTTAATTAACAAAAACATATTTGGATATAATAAAAATGATTTGTACAGTTCGTTAAATTTACCAAAGTTTTAAGTCTTTAATATCTACAGGAAAAACTTATGTTTTGGTAAGGCATTTATATTAATAGACTGTGTTCTTATAGATGGGCAACTCTTTTGGCTGTGATTTGTGCTGGGACCTGTAAGAAATTTGAGTTCTGAGGGGGGATTATCAAGTGGGTGACATGATGGGATCTTTGATGGGGAAGATGACCTCCGTTGGAGAACTGGTCATTTACTGGCATCACTTGTGGCCTGGCCGGCAGAAATGCGGAGGCAGTTGTGGAGTGCTGGACGTGTTGGTGGTTCCGTGGGTGGTGCTGATTCTGGTGGTGGTGCTGCTGGTGGTAACGGATCTCGTCGTACAGATGGGAATCCAAACTGCCCTTTCGCGATTTTGGTGAAACCACTGAGTAGAGAGACTCCTTTCTAGCATAAGCGTAAGGCGGCGTTTTAATCGATGAGTTATTGCTGGGTGTGTCATATAATTCTGGAAGTGTTGCTAAAAAACGTAATACAAAAAATTTAATTTAATTTAAAATTTAATTTATACATTTAAGTCAGTGAAAGGACTATTATTAGTAAAGACATAAGAATCTTTTATAAAAACATAGTATTAGGGTTTCCTTGCTTGTGTTTTAGATATAATAATGGTATTAAAATATATATTTTTCCTGTATATTTTTTTTGTTGAAAATATATATAGCTATTTTAAGGTCGGCCGAGACACTTACATACCCTCGTTCGCTTGGGGCTTGACCGCAAAGACCACTGGAGGTTCGGGCAAAGGTTCGTGAAAGTTCTTGCCCAAAATAGCAGCTTCGGTGAGAACCACTTCCGGATTGGCTGGCAATGTGGTTACCATTCCATTGGCATTGTAAACATCAGAATTCTTGTGGAGATACCTCCGGTAAACGTAAAGTGATCCCACTGCGATTCCAATCAGCAGAAGGAGCATTATGCAGACCAGTGTTGTTACCAAACCGGATTGATGATCCGCTGCCGCCTTGCTTTTATTGGAATCGGATCCCACAAATCCTGCGAGATGTTCCTGCGGCGAAGTAATCCCATTTGTGATGACGTGGATAACCTCTGGAGTTGGGACACCAGCAGCAGCGGCCGAATGGAGATTCTCGAGGAGCTCACTGCCCGATTGGTGAACTATTATCTTGGGGGAGTGCTGGGCATTCTCCTGATTCACCGGCTGCTTAATCAAGATGACTTCGGGAATTGGAAGAGGCGTTGTGGGTCGTGGAATAATACCCATCTTTTCCAGGGTGGAGTTAACAGTCTCTACGATTACATGGCTCACATTTAGCTCAAGTGGATGATCCTGCAGGATGCAGGCACCCGTTTGGGGATTACAAGGTTTCTCATCGCAATCGCAGGCCTTGCGGCACATTATGCCATGGGTTCCTTGAGGACAAGGCTGTTCGCAACTTAGTAATGGAAAGACATAACAAAACTATATTGAAGGCTTCAAAAGTAAAAAGTATTACTTACAACTGCCCTGTCCAACCAGCTATGCAGTGGCACAAGCCCGATTTATTATCGCAGGCTGCTCCATTTTGGCATTGACAAGGATTCTTGCAGTCCAAACCCCAGCGATCGTGATCACAACCTTTGAAAGTAACACATTGAATCACATAATTATATAGATTAAAATCATTTCTTACGTTGTGTGCAATGCTTGCCAATGTAACCTTCTTCGCAACTGCAAATGTCGGGCATTACGCAACTGCCACGCCCACAGCCGCCCCGGCAAATCGGCTTACATGTGGCTTGGCTGTCTGAAAGATTTCCCTCGTAGCCTTGGCAGCAAAAGCGAACAGTTCGCGTTTTGTTTAATTTCTGAAAAAATATTTAACAAATTGTGAAAACCACTTTAAAGAATTTTATTTTACAAAATTATTATTTGCTCAAAATTAAACTTTTTTTTATTACAACATGACAATTACATTTTGTGTCTATAATTGTTTTTTTACATTTGTTTTATGTTTTTTAAGTAGGTGAAAAATACTCAATTTTGTTAAAAATACATAGATAAATTATGAAATAATAGTAAAAGACAAATATGGCAAAAATCTTTATCTTTAAATTTAAATATTTAATGATATAACAATGAGCTTTTTCTTAGTGATCATACATCAGCCAAAGCCAAAAAGTATGCCGTATAAGCGTTCGTTTAAAAACCTCTGGACTGCCACAGAAATTCATTTGATCTGCGACGCTGAAGAGGGCATCGTTGCTAGAGTCCATTAATTGGATAAACTTGCCAAGAGCTCTCCATCAGCCCTGTCAACGCCTCAGTGTCACTTGCCCCTGTGGACTTTAACCCATCTCCGCTCAGTTACAAAATTAAGATGGAGATTATTGTAAGTTGTTGAGTGAAGGGCACAGTACCGCCCTCCAGAAGCACACGCATCGCCCCCGAATACCCCTTGAGTTGCCAATTTAATTGGATAATCAGTTATCCGGGGGAGCTTCTCACACTCATTCCGCTTCCAGATTGAATCCCAGTCCGTTTCCCGACTCACGCATTGTTCGTTGATGGATTCGTATCTGAACGATGGATGTGTATCTGTATCTGCGTCTGTAACCGCCTGCATATGTGTCCACCACAGATGAATGAGGCGGAAATTTTAATATAAACAGTGAAATTCGATTCGAGTTTGGTCTTCTGATTCATTGTGCCTCTGCATAATTACGGTTGCCTTTTCAAATGTTTGTCATATACAGTAATTGAATACAAGTTGAGCAATTTTCTACATGTGCCACTCGACTAACCGCACCACCAAACCACCCAATACCGCCACCCCCTCCCGGTGGTTAATTTTCTTGTTGTTGTTGCCCATCAATCAGCTGCAATGAAAATTTTTCTTTGGAAAGCTATCGAAAATCTTTCGGCACTTTGAGGCTCAAATTACAACTAGCCCAGGTATCAGATCCTATTCCCTCTTTGACTCGAACTTCTTAAGGCATTCATGTTGATGTTAATTAATTAAATTAAATTGGCGAATTAGTGGCAACATTTCCTGACCAAAAGCCGAGTGTTGGCCAAGCAGGCGTTGACCAAAATCGCAAGGAATGCATGCGGCAGGGTTAGAAAATTATTGCGACAATCGGTGAAATATGTATTTTTGGGGTGCGGGCCATTAAGACGATTCTCCGCAGGCACCCTCTCACATGGCGAGAGCCCCGAGAGCTCCAATTAAAATAATTATGAAATTAATTCGAGGCAGGCAGCGAGCGAGCGATCTCGACTCGCACAAATCATTAGACACGAAACCGAGAGAAAAAGCCAAAAAACTAAGCCAAAACTGGCTGCCTCTTGTCATGGCGATGGCGATGGCGATGGCGATGGCGACGCTTGCAACTCGGCTTAGTGATGCAATCGAAAGTGTGTCAACAGCTTTGGCATCAAGTCGCCGCGCACAAGTGGAGCTCTTAATGCCGCTGATCGGTTGGCCAGGCCATCCAGCCTGGCCATAAGTGCTGGATTTTCCGCTTTTCATTTGCACTTTCCATCACTGACACCATGACATAATTATTTTGCCAACCCCCAGTGCAGCATACAAAAAATAAATAACAAAATAAATAACTGAATAAATAGAAAAAAAAAATAACCAGCCGAGCCTGATTAAACCCCTCGGATCAGGCAATTGCAACCGGATTCTGGCCAAGCTTGGTCAACACTTGGCCGCTGCCGTTGTTTTCCTCGCTTTTCCCACTGCGCAAAATGGTCAAAATGGTAAAAATGGTCAGGCGGTGGGTAGTGTGGGCCTAATAGTATGCTTGTGTGGCACAGACAATTGCCGAAAAATAATAATTATTTATTGACACTAATGGGGGATCAGCTATCATCATTTATCAATGTTGCATTTAACAAATTGTGATGTAAGTGTAGTCGTTCTTGTTTTTTTTAAATAAATGATGAGGGATCATTAAAAAGAATTTGATAAATTAATGTAATGACTATTATTTTTATAAATACTATATTGTTTTGTTTACTAGATTTAATAAAATTGAATGTATATATATTCTCTTTTTTCTTTCTAAGATGATCAACAAAAAATATTCATAACCGGAAATTGTAAAAAATTTTAATTCAAATTTTAGATCTCTCTACCAATGTATCAATACATTAACAACGCGTATACGCCGCATGTGCCCAGTTGTTCAAGAAGTTTGCCAGTCAAGGACACACATAACTGGATTCTTCGGGTCAAAACCGGTCGCATGCATCTCGGCCGGGTGAAGTGCATCTGCATCTTCCTGTGGCAAGAGCACAGCTGCCACAAGTGCCACTCATTGCGGCTTCCGTTCTCCAGTGCAGAAGGACAGGAAACCCCGTCCAGATTGACCAGAATTGCGCAATTCAACTGGTCGCGAACAGAACCCATAAAGCGAGCGATATTTATACATACGCTGCGAAAAAGTAATCAAAGTCGGTCATCGAATCGGGGCAATTTATGGATAACGTCGCGAGCGGCTTCCTGGTTGGGCAAATCGAAATCAGGTTTCTGGCGCAGACTGCCCCAAGATGGCGGGAAAAGTGGCCACGGCGAAGGTGTTGCCACTGGCTGGGATTTCGATGATGCAACAGATGCCCGCAAAGGCAGAGCCGGCAGTGGAACACCTGCGACCATTTGGTGGATACCCCTCGGTGCTCCGGAGGCGAATTCAACTCACCTGGACCCTCACCACCTCGCGCATTTCCGTCTTGTAGGTGGCACATCGCGGCGGGATCTCCATGCACCAACTGGAGGTGCGCACGCGCACCGGTTGCATCTCGGGCACCTGGACATGCTCCACGTAGGGCTCCTCGCGGATGCAAATATTCCCGGGACTCTGAATCGCGGGCAGGGCCACGGCCCCAGCTTCGATATCTTTAAGGTTCTTATTGATTTTTAGGCTGCTGTTTTGACCGGATCCCAAAGGTATCACAATTGCAAGGAGCAGCAGCAGTTTTCTCATCAACTTTTCACGAGGCATTTTTGATTTACTTATTTCGATAGAAAAATTATGAAATAACAGTTTCACATCATTTCACAGGATGTTTAAATTATTAAAGCTTTAATAGATCTAAAAACTGGAATTTAAGGAAATTTTAGAAAAGACTTTTTAAAATAGTTAAAATACTTTTAATGGAACACAGTTTTTTAAGCACTTATACAATTTCAATTAAAATGACTTATGTGTCATTATATTTAGGAATCCATTGATGTTGTATTAATATAAAGGATTAAGTTAAGAAGTCCATTTAATGAAAGTTAATCTTTAATTTTTTATGTATAATTATTCTTTTTTTGATCCCTAACAACAGTTCACTTTCTCTTATTCTGTTTGAATTCTGATCCCAATTAGGATTTAATATTTTTTCACTTGTTTGATATGCGCTGCGTGTACGAATGGATCGCGAGTCTCGTGAAAACTGTTTCCCCGTTGGCGCTGATTCTGTTACTCACCCGAATGTTCCTTCTCGAAATAAAGTAAACTACGACAAAAAACGCCAACAAATACAGTAGTTATTGCAAATTGTCGTCGTCGTCGAGCCAATAAAGGCCGTTCGGGGAGGTGAGGGACTGGAGATCGGCGAGTGGAGAGTGGAGAGCGGAAGTACGCACTGCACATCCAGCTCAACAATTCTACAAAGCGAAAGTGAAATGTAAAGCACCCCGTTAAACACACGGAAAAGTCTCCACTGCAAGCGAATAATAAAACTGAACTCCCCAAAGCGATTTTTCGACGAGGGCGATGATTGCATCTAATTGAAATGTTGATCATGTCCTTAACATGCGGCTGTCATTGCGGGGCAAAAACCCGACTCTCAACGCATTTTTCGTTGTCACTTTTGTTTCGATTCGCCTTGCGCTTTTCTTCAGCCTTAATTTGATTAACTGGAACCACAGATGTGTGGGAGAATTCTACCGAAGTAATCCAACATGACTAAAGATCAAATTATATAGCTACAGAATTCTTTATTTAGGAAAAATAATTATATACATTCAAATATTAAGCTCAAAGCCCAACCATTTTCTTATGTTTCTATGAGTGATAGATTACTAATTGATTACTCACAAGTTAATTATTTTATTTTGTTTATCTATAAGCTGTCAAACTTGCCTTTAAGTCTCTCAAAACTTAAGTGAATGCAAAAACATTCTGTTATCTATAATATAATTGTTTTGATAAAACAAAAAATACCTTACCTGTTATTTTAATAACTTAATTTCAATGATGTTTACTTAATTCATAATCAACTTTCGCATTAATCAATCCGCTTACCAGTAGCACCTGTGCTGTCAACATATCATAACAAATTAACTAATAAATTTACTCAAGTCAGTATAAATGAAATCTTCTCAGATTAATAAAGATCATACAGACTTAACTGGTTGAAGCGAATTTAAAGTACTTTGCACCCCGCCATTAGTATCTTCTTCATTTAAGATGATTACAAGCTGACGGAAAGTATGCGGCTCCACTCAACTCACTTAGCCAAAGTGTCTTATTTCTTAGATAAACTTTAGAACAATGCCACTGAAATGACCGTGCACCACCGCCCCAAACAAAACCCGACACGCCCACACAAGTGTTGATTGTCTTGTTTACACCGAAGTTGCTACTCTTGTTGCTGTTGTTTTTGCCCCTGCAATTTATTAAATCAAATTTATACACAACAAAAAACCAGTTGGCCACTTCACCAGAAACCGCAGTTGGGGTAGCAGCTGCAGCAAAAACAAAAGCACAACAGCAGAAACTGCATCAGGTTTATTTATTTTATTTGATTAAATTGTGAGCAACAACGAGGCAAGCAAAAACAAAACAAAAACCCAACAAATGAGTGAGCAATGTGCGTGCGACGCCGGAGTTCCAATGACCCGCATGGGTTGCAATTGCAATTGCACTCTAAGCTGCCCCAGAGCCCCCGAAATCCCTCTCTCATTCGATACTGGTTTTGCAAGAGGGGTAACCCAAGAACAATAGTGCATGACAGGATTATGGAAATCTTTAGGGATCCAAAAGAGTTGAAGTAACTAGAAAGTGATTTAAATTGGTTTACTTTTTATATAAATAAGTTTCAATTTGTATCCATAATAATTTGGTTCTATTTTATTCTAATAAGCCACAAGGTATCCCCACTTCGATCAATCATCAATTTTAATTTTCCATTTTGTTGCAATTTTTAGGGTGCAGCCAGTCGGGCAATTTGTCAGATTTGCGTTTATTTTTTTTTATTCGTTTATTTAATTTTAGAATTGTGTGTGTGTGTATTTTTTGGCATTGATTCAAGTTCAACTTGGTTATAGGCGCGACTTGAATAAGCGGAAGTAGTAAGTGGAACAACATTTTGTCTGACTGTTTGTTTACAGATTCTTAAAAAAGGTAGCATATTGAAAAGATCAGTGGAAAAAGGTAAGACGATGGCTGTTGCATGAAGCCAGCATTGTAGTATCCTCCGAAAACTTGAAGACCGGCAGTTTCAATGCTCCGTTTGCAGTAGTCTCCATCGTAGTTCCATCCAATATATTCGTTTGTTCTCAGATTCTCCTGGCGTAGCCATTCCTCCAAAGGAGCAAAATATTCCCGAAGAGCACTGCCATCCAAGCGACCATCCCTGAAAGTTTCCTCAAGGACCTCTTGCCACGGTTGAGAGGCTCCCTTGGACATCAGAGTTCTAAAGTTGTTAAGAGAAAATTAGTAAAACACTAATCAATAACAACACAAAGTTTTATTACATTTTATTTACATAATTTTTCTTGCAGCTTTAATACTTTAAGCATTTTTTTAGGAAAATTATATAAACAATGAATGAAAATGAACAAAAGTAGTTTAAAAAGATTTATGATGGCAGTAACATATATCTGTTAAATGGTTTTATGTTGAAATAAAAATTAAAAAAAAAAACCAAACAAGAACACATGTTAGTTATACGTTTATACTTTTTAAATTGAAATACAATAACAGCCTTCATTATATAAACAATGGATGGAAATGGACAAGAGTAGTTTAAAACGATTTATGATGGCAGTAACGCGAATCTGTGAAATGGGTTTATGTTAAAATCAATATAAAAAAGAACATCAAAAATACATTTTGCCCATACATTAATTCTTTTTAAATTAAAAATCAATAACAGCCTAATGCTTACGTCAAAAACTAGAAATATATACGGCAATACACCATTTGGCTAATTTATTCTTTAGAATTTGATCAAGTTCAGATGATGTTGCTGACTTTTATATTATGAAATTTAAAAGCTTTCCAGGTGTTTTTAATAAATATTAGTTTGTTTGTTTAAATTATTGATTTTCAATAAATATTTGTCATATAAAAGCGTTGTAAACAACTTACTTGAGAATATTTCCTGCTGCTGGCTGTCGGTAAATGTCGCATTGGTGGAGTGGCTTCCTGGGATCCCCCGGGATGTATTGTCCAGATTCACGGCAAAGACCTCGATAGATTTGGAACTGCAGAACCGTGGAGAAAAAGTATCTGCAAGTAGAGGGAAACATGTATTTAATTCATGATTTCGATTTCGAGTTAGACCGCGGTCACGCTTCTTGGTCAATGTAAATATTGTCATTTGTTTCAAGTGAGAGTTGAGAGCTGAATCAGTTTGTGAGTTTGGTGTTGGCGGTTGTCAGTTTTTTAAGCTGCACTCGACGAGTTGTCCGAACGAGCGGCATTCTGGCTCAAGGTCGAGCTCCAGTTGAAGCCTTTAACTGAAGCAATTCGCTGCGGCGGACAAACCAAAGTCGTTCTCTTGCAGTTTCGAAATCATGCAAAAGTCAATTTTTGTGGTCTTGTAATTGCCATTTGCTTTATGCTCATTTAATCACATTTATGTTTATGGCATTTTTATTGTATTTTTATGGCGACGGCTGCGCAATCAAGCAGCAATTATACAAAAGGTAACTTCGAATTGGCTTTATCCTAAGCAGCTAAATTTCGCTTTTAAATAGGAACTATAATTTCGAAGAAACACTTTTTTCTTTTGTGCCAAGTCACTGTTTATTGATTTATAATCATTATGCAATATGTTGGGAACGTTTGGGGATTTTTTAAGCATACAAAACTAGCAAATAAGTTGAGGGCCAAGAACAAGTTCAACTAATGGATTTCTTTTGTTTCTCTTCTTTTCTAAATGAGAGGGAAGACTTTATAATTTGTTTTCGGCCTTCTGCTTGGGGGTTCCCCATTCAGAGTTTCAAACATGAAGTTGAAGTGTTAAAATAGAGGTCTTGGGTCGTTCGATTCCCATTATCACCCCCGCCCCACATAATACCAATGTACATTCCTCCCAGCGAGAATGTTGCAAGTGGGGTTGAGGAAAAAAAAAATGGCATTTTTAATGCTCACTTTTCACAATGTTCGATCACGGCTGCAAGACTCCCAGACGTAGAGACAACGTGCCCCGGCACCATTAAGTGCATCAGCATCGGCAACAGTAACAACAACAGCAACACTGCAACTGCAACTGCAACCACTTGGCTTGGTGGTTCAGTGGCTCAGTGGCTCAGTGGATCGGTGGATCGCTGGCTCTGGTGGTGTGTTATGTTTTTGGCACTTGGCAGCGGTTGCCACATTGCCACATCGTCGCCACATTTTCCCAGAGACGCGACATGACCCAATAACAGGGATTAGGCAGCTGCTTTAGTTGGTGTGGTTCGTTGTGGTGCTGCTGCTGTGCTGTACTGCTATACAGCTCCACTGTTTTACTGCTTGCCATTCATTCGTTCAATCATTCAATCAAACACTCGGCCAGTCTGGCCGTCTTGGTCCAGTCAATCAGAGCCAACATTGTCGGCAATTAGTCCAATTTTTGTTGCTGCCAGAGCACCTAAGCTGCTCTGTGCTAAAATTAAATGTTGCGAAAATTCTTTTCAACGTCTTGGCGACATGGAACATGTGTTTCATGAAAAATATGCGAAAAATCTTTAATTTTTCAGAGAGACCACAAAGCGAGTGCGATTATCCAATGGCCGCGGGGCGTATGAGCGATGTCGTTTATGCGATCGCTGCTAATGATCGGTTTTCGGGTTCTCGTCTCGTTGCCGAGCCATTCATTTGGCCAATTGTTGAATGGACCAGCCAGCTGAGCGATCGTTGGCCATTTTCCCCTTAAGCAGGCGATCGATGGCAATTGACATTTCTGCTTCTGTCCGTCTTGTTTTGCGGACAATCAAAAGACTTCAGCCGCTAACTTCTTGCACAATGCCGGTTTTTCGTTTTTCGCGATTTGTGACTCTCCACTCAAGGAAAGCAAAGAGGAAAATTTTCATTTAACTAGTTTCTGAGTGCCTGGCTTACCCACACTAACGAATCGAGTACTCTAGTTTTTCCGTAAATGGCGTGCTTATAGATTTCTAGTTTGAGCTTATAATTTAATTCAAGTTTGATTCTTCCAACTGATGTGAATGTCGCCCGTTGAGGTCACACTGGGTTACTGCTGTCTCGGATCGCTTTTGGTTTAGTTTTCTTACTTAGTTCAGTAGTAGTTTTCTAGCCAGTTGCCAGTTGCCAGTAGCTGATTGCCATGCCCCTAAAGTGGTTCAATGTCCATGACTGACTGATTGACTGGCGGACCCATGAGTGCATTCAATCGTTTCGCGAAAACTTTTCGGTCTGCCTCAAATTATTGTGCCGCCTGTAATTTGCTGCTAATGTTGTTACTCTTAGGCCAAAAAATCACTTCTTATTGTTTCGCTTGACAAAGCGAAAATTGCTTGAGAGTTACACATTTTTTGGGTTTCTTGTTTTCTTCTTTTTTTGTTTTGTTTTTTACGGCCGACCTTGACTTTCATGAGCATGTTCATCGGGTGGAAACGGGTCAGGTTTTGTAATGGAGTTGGCAGTGGGGGAATCCGAGAGCAATATCAATTAATTATAACACTCCGAGTTCATGACTTTCAAGTTACAATTTTGCGACAAAACATTTGGTTCATGAGGTTTTAATGTTGTGAATTTTCCCACATTGATTTAAGGCCCAGATTAGTACTATTAATTTTGTAAGATCACTTTGTATTGCAAAAATTCCAAAACAAATTTTCTGATAAAATTTTACTTTAAAGCACTGGGTATAAAAATGAAAACGATATTTTATATAATAAAATTATTCATCAATGCAATTATTGTTATTATATTGTCCCGTTTTTTGTATTAAGCCCGAAATGTCAAATTGATTCCTTTCGGAATATTTAATGGCCATAAAATAATTTCAATCTCCCACTGGCCGCACTAATTCACAACTTTTAGATTTATTTAAATATTACCAAAATTTATGCGCATTTGTAATGTGCATTTTTTGTAAACAAAAATTGAAGCCAAGCAAAAAAAAACTGGTTGGTTGTCGGAAATCGTTTAGGCTTTTCACTTGATATGTCAAAATGCCAAAAAGTTTGCACAGAAAACGTGGCCCGATGCCGAAGTGAAGCCAATGGCCGGGGTATTAGGCATACGCCCTGTTGGCCACACCGCTCTCTTGGCCAGCAAATCATTTAAGCGCCATGGGCGTGGGGTCTAAACAAACTAAGGCGACCACGACAACGAATGGCCAACAGCTTCCTTCAAAGATCGCGACTCAGATGGCTTAGTTTTATTTTATTTCATTTTTTTTTTTTTACCGCGCCGACTGCTTTTTTTCTCTTGTCGTTTAGAAACATTGCGGATGCAGTCGCTCCAAGTCGGCAAGAAGTCGGTCCGGTTTTTGTCTTGGCCATAAATAGAGTTCGAGTTGATGTCGACGTGGATGGCGATTCAGTACGTTGCACAATGCACTTTCAGTTTCGGATTCCGATTCCGATTTCAACTCCAATTCCGATCCGTTCGCGGCAGCACATTGCTCATTTTCGAGAGAACGACACAGCCAATTGCTTTGTAATTCCACTCTTAATTGTATCATTATTTATTGTTCTAGATCCGCTATTTGGTGCCTAATTAGCATATAATTCGAGTTCACTTTTGTTTGTGTCTCGATTGTCGCCGCTAGATCCGTGCGCATAAATCAATATCTACTTAGCCCAATCGCCAGACAAACAAATCCAATCCAATCCAATTCAATCCACTCGAGGCAACCCAGACTCGTGCCAGCGAACTTGATCTAATTCCTTTTGGAATCGCCATAAAGCGGCTATGTTCGCCGTAATGATTATTTTTATTTTTTATCATTTTACGTTATTTTTTTAGGTTGGCTGGTTTGCAAAAAGTTGTAAAAGTGTTTGCCGTTTGGCAAGGTAGGCAAAATAAAACGGTTTAAAAAAGAATCATTTGCGCTGGCAGCTCATAACTTTTATGATGATGGACGGTTCGAAAAAGTGACGAGGATCGCTTTAATGCTGAGGTCAAGCTGAATATTTTGCGCTCCGGTTGTTTTCAAAAAATGGTTAATAAAAATAAAAAAAATTTTATTACATGTGTTTAAGTTAATTACCTCGTAGGGTTATTGATTTATGTACATTTTTTGGAAATAAAAAGTTTGCCAAAAAGCAATGGCTTGGATTGACTTGATTAAAAATTTCGTTACACGTTGGTTTGTCTTGTAAGTCAACATATTGCAGATTGAAAAATCCCAGAGCGCTTTCCAACTTACAATTGTGTGAATAATCGCGTGCAACTTGGCGTCGCAAATGAGTGAAGATTGCCACCGAACGCCGGCCAAGTTGCGGCCCTAATAAGCCTAATTATTATCTGGCTAATTTGGGGCCTCTTTGGCATTCCCGAAGACCAAGTCACTTGGCCGGGCTCTAGAAAACAGACCGCAACAGCGTGCCCAAGAGTCGCAACAGCCGACCATTAACACACTCCGAACAATTGGCCATAAATCAGCAGGCGGCAAATGCAACAAGGGGGCAACGAAGAGGCTGTGGACACTGGGCTAACTGCAGTTATTGTTGTCGTTATAATCAATGAATTACGTCGCATCGGTTGACCACAATTTATGGCGACTTCGAACATGAGAATCCGCACAGCGACTAAAAATGCAAACTGACTCGAAGCCGAAAGCCAAAAGCCAAAAGCCAAAAGCCGAAATGCAACGGCAGCAGCTTTTAGGGGAAAGGGGTTAAGGGAGGCGAATGAGGTTCAATCGCCTGGCTTTGATGTTGCAACCGCATCCACAAGCAGCATGCCACGCCCCCTTCTCTTTACCTTTGCGCCCAGACCACCCTCCGAATCGGAGTATCTGGTGGTTACGTCTGACAGAATTGTAACGCTAGCTGTTGTGGCCAAACAGCTGCAGTGGGAGCTCGGCTGACTTGGCCCTGTTCCAAGTGGCCAAGCACAGAAAACGACACATTTTCTGCAGAAAAGTAAAAGTGGTTAACTGCACAAGCAAACTGTGGTTGCGTTCGAGTCTCGGAAAAGCCATCTAACAGAAGTAAAGACCCAGAACATTGCTCTTTTGTGGTCAAGGGCGATAATCAAATGCAAATCAAGTTGGCCCATAGACGTAATCCAGTTAGTCGCCATTAAAAACGTTAGATAACCCATAACAGATTATCAAATGCTTACATTAAAAACGATCGCCTTAATATTCATTCTAGTGTTTTTGTTTTTTGGTGATTACAGAATGATATGCAAATTTAACAGGCGGCCAAATGGATTTTGTTATCAGTAGCTTTGTAGTTTTGTCTGCTTCTGACGTCAAAAAACAAAACTAGGAAAAAACTTAGCCTAATTATGTTTGGAAAATGGATATGGATATAAAGAGAGCAGTGTGCATTTTGAATAATAAGCTTGTTAATAAAGCCACTGCTTGTTCGATAATTAAGATCTGCATACAAAGCTCAGAGATTGAAATATTCAAACTAGTGTTATAAAATTTAAATTTACCAGTTGCTTATCATTTGCTTGCCAGAAATCTAAAAAGTGTTCTAGAATATCGCTAATAACGGCAGCAAAGATGTCATATATTTTTGATAGTTGTCCAACGGGTCAATAAGGAATAAACCATTAATGGTTCGGAATAGCAAATATCGTTTCTCGATACAAATTAAACACGCTTTTAGACAAGCTGTTTTATTTTATTAGTCCAGCTCGAAAAAAACTCAAAACAAAACATTTTTGAATTTGGAAAGCTGCTTTTTATATGCCGATCGCTAAATGTTTGTTTTAGTTTGATTGCCTTTGTAGAATCTGAGTTAGACAATAGAAAATGCTAATTTCTTTCCCGACAGCTAAGACTAGACAATAGGATTAGTCAATCACGGTGCACGCATATCATTTTGGCTGTCAGATGGTTGGATGGAGTGGAGTCCAACATTCAACAGGTTTCATTTTGCGCATTAACAAATAATTATGCTGGCAATTGCCAAATCACGGACTCAGCCCGGCTGATATGTAATCTGATTTTGTGCAAATGCAGCGGCAATTTTCCGTCCCCTTGCAGCGTCGACCCACAAAGATAAAGGCCTTTCACTTTTGCGGCAGAGTGCAAATCTCACGCATGCCACCCGATCCAAAGTTACAGTGTTCCAGTCGCAGTTGCAGATCCATTTGCAATCCCAGTTGGGGTTCCACGCCACAATCTCCCACCAATCGGTGCGTTGCCGATAATTGGTTTCGAATACGAAACCCGATCCCTCTCGGCCCAACGGTTATGCCCAGCTTGCAACGTTGTTGCATCAGCTTGCAGCACCCCCAACTGAATGAAATCCTTTCCGCCACGCGAATTAAGACATTATCCATCAAAGAAGCCGAAACATTCCAATATCGATGCTTCCGTTTTCACCTTGTTGCTGCAGGAAATGCAAACTAGAAATGTGAGACATTCGAAGGTGGTAAGAAAACCAGACAGCCTTATTATGACATCAATGGAAATTGAGTAGCCACAAACCTTTCCTCAGGTGATAATATTATCAAATGATGCAGAAAGCACAAGCTTTGAATATCAAATTTTCGATTATTTAAGCATTATCAAATGGTTCAGAAACAAGAAGACTTGAATATCATATTTAATTTTATGTGAACAGGTATCACAATATCTAAGCAACTGCATAAATGTTCAAAAATACTTGAACAATTGCAATCACTTTTTTTATGAAAACGAATTAATTGTCAGCTTCAATAAATTCAAAATTAATTCAATAAATCCTTTAACCGCTAAATCTGTTTTTATTTATTTATTTTGCTTAACTGTTTAAAGATTTATATAGCTTATGCAATAATAATGGTTTCTTTAACCTTTTTATTTATTAGTCCGATAATTATAAACGTTTTATAATCAATTTGAAATTGATTAAATTCTAAGTAGGTACTATGTTTTAAATAAAACAAGATAACGACCTCCCCCTTTTCCAGATTTATAGCTCCATAATTTAAATTGCAATCCTGATTAATAAATATGTTATTAATAAGCTATATTTTGAGTGTCTTAATGGAATCAAAACAAAAGCTGATAGAATTTGTATTGAGCGGACACAATGTTATTGATTTTTAGAATCAGGTTTGGATAAAACTTCTGATTTCTGAAGCTTGGCAAACAAAACATAACACTTTTGATGGACATTTGACCTTTAGCGGAGATATATCCTCAGAACAGAATGCTAAGAAACCCGAAGACTTTTTACCGAAATAAAAACATAAACAAGAAATAATTCTAGTACGTTCTCTGGGATTTTCCCAAGATAAATTCAAATTCAAGATTTTAGTAATTTATTTAATTTGCTTTTTTATGGTACCAAATTGATCTGATCAAATTTGCACCTATATTTTATGAGCCACTTTCAAGTCGGCGGCTAAAACCACCAATACCAACAAAGCAGGGCTTGAAATGCGAGAGTGTTGGTAAGGTTTTCTGGTATTGGTGAGTGCTTCCGCTTGCCACTTTCCGAGCTGCACTAACACACCTGCAAAGGTGACTAACACACGCGAAAACAAAGCCAAACTCAGAGCTTTCAAGAGAGCATTTAGCCTGGCTTTTACTGGGAAAAGCTTTTGGAAACCGCTCAGCGACTTGGTTTGGCGGCGTTTTCAGTTTCGTTTTGACACAAAAACTCTTTGGGGGTATAAAAGCGCGCCACTGACCACAGACAGCATCCAGTCAAAGGTTTGGAATCGCTTGTGATTCTACAATCCTTCCACAGTCTATTTAGCTGTTACTGAGTTGCTTGTAAGTGAAGTTAAATTTTGTTAGTTTCTAAAATTCGTGTATAACTCTTTGTGAAAACAAAGTCAAATTTTAAGCCGTGATTTAAAAAATTTAAATTTGTGTTCACGTGTGTGCTTTTTAATTAGTTTAACTACTCAGAGAATTCATTCATTCATTGAAATTAAACTTCTTACTGCTGTTATTATTTCAAGAAAATCTATGTTAATTTTTGTAGTAATAACTCAATTGTTTTCTTTGTCTACTTACAGCCTTGGCAAGTTCCAACAGATCCACAATGAAAGTATTCGTAAGTACAATAGACATAAAGAATTTAATTTGTTAGATAAACCATCAATTTCTGATTGATGAGCAAGAAATTCAATTTAACATGTAATTAAGCGTGGGAAGTCTAGAAAACAGAACCATAGAACCGCAATTGATTTCATATAGAACAATACTCATTAGATTTAATGTAGCACTACTGCTCATGTGAACTGTTTGCAATTGTTTACCTATCCATCTTCATAGACTTCCTTAAAGCATTCAATCTGGTAAATTGCATACACCAGAGTTGAACTGCTCGCAAATGAGCAACTTCAACTTGAGCGAAATGGCTAATAAGCGTCTATTAAGCGAACGATCATAATTGGAGTGCCAGCCACGTCTTATAGCAGGCCGTAATCAACTGGGTTCATGTGCCCAATTAAAGCCAACTCCGACAAATCCGAGTGCACTCGCCGAGTCACAAACTGCGTATGCGTAACGCGACGCCGCCAGTCGACGGCAGCCGGAAAGTGGGCGAAGTCTACTTTTGGGGCGTGGCTCTGCAATGCGTTATTTATGCGCCGCACGCACGAATTTCACTTGACCATTTGAATCGCAAAAGAGGGCGATGAGACAACGGACACACAATGCGAATCGGGCGACATATCGCCCTCGCTTTCTAATGCGGTTACCTAATCGATCAAACTAGGCAATGGGTCATAAAATGGGTCTGCCTTTCGGTTGGGTAATGGGTATTGCATATTTTTACACAGAATCGGTTCAGCTTAGCTAGGCTTTTAAGTGGAGAATTGGGGATGTATATAAATATAAATAAATATACAGGTATATAGTAAATAAATAAGTAAATTACCAGTCAATAAAAAACAACATTGAAACAAATTTATTAGACTACCAAACCTCTAAAATAGCAATACAGAAAAGATCCGAAATTGTTTAAAACCACTAGTAACAAAATGTAAGGATAGATTTTAATCCTCACCATAAAGACAAAATCTCACTTGAGATATAAGAAAAATTCAATTTGGAAAGAAAAAGCAGTATTAAATATTTGGGTAAAGACTTTGTTTAAGACTTTTACCTCTGCACACTTAGGAATATTTATTCGGAATTTTACTTTGAGGATATCCTAGCTCTTAACCACTCCTAACCAAGCGCAATTCCGTTGCAGATCTGCTTAGCCGCGCTGCTGGTGGCCTCGGCCTGCGCCAGCAAAACCGAAGGCGAGAAGGTGCCGCTGGAGAAGAAGCTGGACAAGCGCGGCCTGCTCGACCTGGGCTACGGCTATGGCCACGCTGGTCTGGACACCGGCTACCTGGGCCACGGCTCCATCTCCGGCTCCAGCTACGGACACGGCTACGGACTGACCGGCCACTCGGCTCCCGCTGCCATCGCTGTGGGTCACAGTGGACCGGCGATCGCCGTGGGACACACCGCTCCCGCCGTTGCCGTCCACCACGCCCCCGCCCCCTATGTGATCAGCAAGCAGGCCGATGTCCACAAGACCATCACCATCACCAAGGGAATCCCGGTGCCCGTCCACGTCGACCGTCCCTACCCGGTGGTCCATGAGAAGCGTGTGCCCGTCGAGGTTAAGGTGCCGGTGCCCCAGCCCTACGAGGTCATCCGCAAGGTGCCCGTGACCGTTAAGGAGTACGTGAAGGTGCCCGTGCCAGTGCCCCAGCCCTACGAGGTCATCCGCCACGAGAAGGTGCCCGTCCATGTGCCCGTCGATCGTCCCGTTCCCGTCGAGGTGCCCAGGCCATACCCCGTGCCGGTGGCCAAGCCCTATCCCGTCTACGTGGAGAAGGCCGTCAACGTGCAGGTGCCCGTCCACGTGGACCGTCCCTACCCCGTCTACGTGAAGGTGCCCGTCGTCTCGCACTCCGTGGTCAAGCACGCTCCCTCCATCGCCGTCAGCAGCTATCCAGTTAGCTCCATTGGCCACGACTCCACCGTCTACGCCGATCATCACGGTTACCACAAGTAGAGCGGAGAAGGTATAATTTCCATTTGGAGCGAGCGGACGGACGGACTGTCTGGACTGTCTGGAAATGAGCCGAAGGAAACAAAAATCTAGCAACATTTTCAATTTCTTCTACTCCAGCCTCCTCCCTCTCCGAACCCATCCAAAAAACTACAAAAGAACAAAAAAATACAAAAAAAATACCCTCGAGGAAGTCCAACTTCCGACCTGCCACTCTCTGTAGCTGTTAAGAACGCCCCCCCAAGATGATACAACAAACAATGCCTTTTGTAAATTATTTCCAATCCAGCCATCCAATGGAAGCCATTGTGCTGGGCAGAAAAATCCAGGTTTAGGATAAATACCAGCTAACTGTTTGTAAATTTCACCATTTATGGACAGTTTAGCCGGGAATGTTTATCAGTGAAAGGTTTCGCCGCACAATGAATTGAATGGATAAAAACAGAAATATCGATGTGAAAATCTATTAAGGACAAATAAAATAAAAATGTATAAAATATATATCCCATTGTCTTTGTCACTGGTTCGCTGCTGGAAATAGTTTACCATCGGGTTCTTTGTTATCGCATATCTTGTATATATATTTTGTAAATAAAGAGTATGTCGTTATTAAAAAAAGTGTTTTTTGAATGGTGGTCGCTTTCAAGCAATTTTTTTTTTTAAATTTTTTTTAATAAAGAGTAATTTCCTGAACATTTGTTAGTGTTTATCGTACACATTCTGTGTATTTACTAGATAATAGCTGTAATCTTTTAGATGTTATCGCAGATTAGTAAAAAAAAGTAAAACATGTAAAAAAAGAAAAACAAAAAAAGGTTTTCAAATTATTTCCTTAAAAAGTTTTAAAAACTACATAAAGTCACATATCCAATTACAATGAACTTAATACCTTTTCAATGTTTTCAAAAGCAAAAATAAATTTTTAAGTAAATACTTTCGAAAATTTCAAGGCAACAAAAAGGGATACCAGTAATTATTTTACAACAGTCAAATGTGAATTCCTCATGGCTGTAATTAAGTGCAGCTTAAACCTTAATAAATCAATTATACTTAGTCAAAATACTTGTATCTCGACACCTTCCTGGTCCTTAAATCCCAAAATCCTCTCACCATGCCAGTCATTTAAGATGACATGACCCAAATTGGCGAAGCAATTGCAATCAGACGGAAGGAGACGTAAAGTCATAGGCTAATCGATTACAGGCCAACAGATGTAAAAAGCCAAGATGAGCAGTGATCAGATTAAGACGAGACGTGCGCAAGGTCGACCACAGTGTTGGCCAAAGATGACGTGCACTTCTCCAATCCTATCCATTCCCAAGTCGACGTCAGTCGGGTTCATTTAAAAGTCGCTCGTAAATTTCAGTAACATTTTAGCCGCGTGCGTAGGACGACTGACCGACGGACGGACAAACAAAAAAAAAAAAAGAAAAGAAGAGTAGACACATGATATTTAATGTCGGTTTTCAGCTTTTTACGACAAGTGAACGAACTAAGCGGGGTTTTTCCTCATCAAATACCAAAATATCAACTTTCAAACTGCAAAAACTTCTGAGCGCATGTTTGCTTTTTTGATGAATTGAATCAATTAAGTTTAGGGCTATTTAGCATTTGTTTACTTCAAACCAAAAAAAAAAACTGAAAAATCCGGTTCGGCCATCTTACTTATTACCCAAACGAGGGCAATTAAAACAGTTTTTCTAAACTTGCTTACCATATATTAAAGATCAGCGCATTTACTTTCGGGATGATCCGTTTGTGCTTTAATGCCCAGGGGCCAAAGCCCTCTGGGGTTAGACTTTGGTTTCTTGATCCCAAGGACGTTGCTCGTGCCAAAGACGGAACTAAAACAACTTTCTAATAAAAAATCACCCGTTCTTGTTAATTCTCTGACTTAATTTCCTTCGACTACGATTCGATTTAGAAACAAAAGAGAGCCGATCCGCCTGACCGGCGGGACAGAATTAGAACCAGTTCCAGGCCAAAGAATTCATTTCGATTTGCCCGAAGGTCGGCGGCTTTGCGGACAGCATTTGCACACATCCATTTTTTTGGGGGCGTGGCTGGGGCACTCCGCACTTACATGCACTCGTAATTCAGTATTTTTAACCATAATTTGTTCAGAATTATATTCTCTGCTCTTGACTGCGACTCTTGTGCACGCCACCCGTAGGTGTTGTGCAAATGTGCATATTCCCATTCTTATACTCATACTTGTATGTAGTGCATACTGCATTAGTTTCGTTCTTGACTTGGTTTGTGTTTCGGGTTATGCAACGATTGCAATTATAAAGCGGATCTCTCTACCAAGCTTAATTGTCACGGAGCTGAGGGTCTAATTACATCAAATTAGTTAGAACAAGAATGCCAAAGTTGGTCAATTTCCATTTGCTACATAGTAATTAGTATGTCTTAATGGTTGTTAATTGCATGCAGTGAATAAAGCCCTATCTTAAGGTAACTTGATCTCAACTGCTGGTGAACCCTATTTATAATATGGAAAATATAAGTAAAATACTCAATTTTAAATCTTAACTGGTTCGCTCTTTAAATTAAATTTATACTGATGTAGATGTATGTTTTCCTTGTACAACCTCTACTTCAATATGCATAAGCAACATCCGCGATATCAGCGAAGCTCATAACTGGAGCACTGTCAACTCATGAATTATTGGCTCAGTATCCGCCCATAATCGAAAAATAGATCCCACACACGCCGCATCGATTTGCTGGAGGAATTGCCTGAGTTGCAGCATTTACGCAATGATAACCATTCCGGCTAAAAGACAAGACAACAAATTGCGGCAACCGACGGTGGCCAATTAAAACCATATTTCTTGCGTCGATCAGCGGCGGCGGCGGGGAGATCGGTATCGGTGGGAATGACTTTGATGATGGGGGAGGTACGCATATTTGCTGGAAGCTGAAACTTAATTAATTGCCACAAAATGATGGAGACACAATCGCAAACGGCGGACGACAAAAGATGGCAAGCTGAAAACTGAAAACTGAATTTTTCGCAATTCTCGTCTGAGAAAAGGCCACCGAAAAGACGTTCCACATGTTGCCAAATGCGAAACTTTTGCTCTAATGAGCAACTATCCAGTCGTCGGCGATTTGAAGGTCACCGCCAACTTGTCCATCGCCAAAATCCAAGCCGAATGCGTCTGCAACGTCAAACAGTTGTCGACCGATTGCGAAATGAATTGGTTTAATTTTAGTATTTGATTTTTTTTCCTTTTGCCAAAATGCATGTCGGTTTGCTGCCAGCAGTTTGCACAGAAATCACGACAAAAAAAAAAAACTAACTTGCACCAGTTTCTCGATCGAAAAAAACTCAAAACCCAAAACCGAAACCAAAAACCGAAACTCAAATCGCGAACGTAATCGAAGTCGCCGGTGCGCAAGTCAAGTGAAGCGAGCGTCTTTGGCAATCTGGAAATCCCAGTGACTCCTACCCAATCCGAAACCCCCCTCCCCCGCACTGAACCCCATCCAAAGACCCTCCCACAAGATCTCCCCGAGTATCGTATGTGTCTTCTATTTTTGCAGGCCCTGCAAATGTACTATTGCCGCTTCATTTGGCCAGCCAACGGCAATTGAAATACTAGTTATAACCACAATGCAATTGACATGGTGCATGATCGCATTTCAGCTAAATGCTAAAGCCGTTGACCCCGCCACGAAGAGTTGTAACTCAAGATAATATATTAGAATAATAGCAAAAGCTATATAAGCTGGCAATATAATCCTGTTAATTACAGATAACTGTGTCGTTTCTGAACGATTTATTTATTAGCTACAATTGGGTTAATGTAGCACTAATTTAATAGCTGGTTTTATTTCGGTTTAATGGTTCCCTTGCTTACACAACAATTGTAAAGTGTTATTTCAATTAGATTAACTTTTTTATAATTATTTTTTAAGTTGTTATCTGTATTATTTTATTAAATTAAAATCACCATTTATTTAGCACTCACTTTTAACGTACCAGTATTAACAGCTCAAAAGCTCACCCCTTTTTCAGGTTAAGACTTAACTATTAAGTTAATAAAGTCTCTCGAATAGAGTTCCTTTTTTGGATTCCCAAGCACCTGTCCACTCCATCCATGTCGTACTCCAGATCATATCTCGACGCCGGCTTACGACTCGACCTCCTTGACTTCTGGCTAACTGCCTGTCCGAACTCATCTCCGCCCCATCTGATGGTGCATTCAAATTGCAAACAATTAGGCGCACAAATGCTACCGCATCGCATTCAATCGCATTATGCAATCGCTCTTTTGAATTATGGCTGTAAATTGTCTGGTCTGGCCTAGTCTCGAACACGGGTGTGTGCTGCGCGAATCCTTTCACCTGCGTCCACTGAACGAAACAAAAGACTCAGGCAACGAACTCGAGTCCAGCGCGATTTATTCCCATTGCATTTTGCAGTTTCCGTATTGAAAGTGTTTCTCCGCGGCTGTGGACACTCCTTCAAGTTCTCTATCTAAGTCACAAACTGTGCCAAACGAACCAACGCCTTTTGTGGGGATGCCATTCAACATCCAAACAGTTCCAAATTGAATAGAAAAAATCTCTTGGTAAACATCTTTCCCAAAAGCCAACAAAAAATCAAACTACACCAGCGGCAGATTCCCAAATCTGGCTGCTGCAACAGGCAACTGCAGGAGTCCAGCCAACTACCATGCTGCGACTTGCTGCAGCTGCTCGAAAAAAAAAAAAAAAACTAAGCGATACTTTGGAAAAGTTGCATAATTTTTGTTTTTGCATTTTAGGTGCTGTTGCTGCTGCTGCTGCTGCTTTTGTGGCGGCTTTTGGAGTCACCCAGTTAGTGTGTCACTGTGGCATTTGCAGCAAACTGGCTCCGTTTTCTGTCCATTCATTGTCTTCTGTGGGATGGCTGCTGTTGATATTAGTAATTTTTTATTTCACAAAGTCGAGTCGAGTCATGACATGTTGTTGCAGTTGAATCATTTGACTAATTTTTCATTGATCTGTGTGGGCGTGGCAGGCGGGTACTTGGCTAAATGTCAATCGAGCAATTGAAGCTGCCTATTAGTTTGGGTTAGTTAGGCAAATTAAGTTAAAATAACCCAAAAGCTCCATTTATATAAGATTTGTAAAGTTCATTTCAAATTACCTACTTACAGAAATCCATAAACATAATGTACTTTTTGAGTGTAGCAAATTAATTTATTTTATAGTTATAAAATTACTGCCTTTCTCATCATGTATTTCATTTCAGTTTTTTTTTTTTTTTTTTTTTTGTGTTGACAGCTTTGTTGCTTGGGAATTTTGAATGCTTGCTTCATTAAACTATAAATTTACATCTATTTGCAGGGTGTTACACACACTCTCACACTTTGTCGTCTTGCATAAAATGCAAAAACAAAAGTCGAGCAAACGACATAATTCCCAGGCCAACCAAACGATTGTGTTTCGTTTCTTATTTTTCCTTTTTTTGGATTTTGAGTTCTGTTTTTTCTGATCTTATTGTT